ACGGCACGTTACGGCTTTACTCTATGGTTACGGCAAAGAAAACGGACGCAAAACAGAAAAATCCGGTGGCTCTCAAAATTTAAAAAAAAACTCAATTTTTTTTTAATTTTCATACTTAAATAACTCGGATATTTTGAACTTATCTGAAAAGTGGTAAAGAGAAAATATGTTTCTTTCGTCGAGATCTACCAGCCCTAAAAATATTTGCACTTATTTAAGACTCACCCTGTATATTGTCAATCGCGTCGCAAAAATTAATACTTCTATGACGTTTAAAAAAATAATTTTGAGGATTGTTAGTTCAAATGCCGTTATGACGGCGTTTTTTTTTCGATCATTGATTATAGTTGGTGTACGAAAAACAAATTTTTATGGAATACTGACGTGCGAAAATTACAAAGTGAAAATGACTTTAGAAACCCGCTAGCCGAAGAAGTTGGTTAGCGTAAAATGCGACGTTGTCAGGTTTACCTTATTTTCTTTAGGGGAGATACATTGTTATAATTTATATAATATTATTTGAGGAGCTTTAATTTATGTATTATTACTAACAGTGTAGAACTAAGATTTGATATAAAGCAATAAGTATATAATTATCTATTTATTCCTTCTAATAAATATATGTAGTTTAAAGATATGTAACAGTCTAAAAACATACAATACGATTTCCCACTGTAGAAAAATTCACAAAATACACAAGAGAAACAAACAGGCCAATAATTAGATGAGATGATGTACCATTTTCCATTAATTTTTTTTTTTTTAATAAAAAAATACAGGGCGATTATGAGTTTTTTTTCGGCAAAATTTGGAACTTTTTGGATTTTTTTTGTTTTTAGTTAAAAAACATATTTTCTTACTAATATGGCAACATAGGTACTAGATAAAATTTAGAGGAAAAAAAATCCAGAAAAGATCCAGTGATTCTCAAAATTTTAGCAAAAAATTATTTTTTTTAATTTCCAAAGTAAAATAACTCGGTTATTTTGGACTTATTTAAAAAACGGCAAAGAGAAAATATGTTTCTTTTATCGATATCTACTAGCCCTGAAAACATTTGCACTTATTTAACTTCCCCTGTATATTACTTTTATCTTTTATTAGGGAGTCAACATATTAGGTAGTAGCCTTTATATACAAGGGTAGTAGTATTAGGAGTCAATATAGTATTAGGAGTGAATCAACATTTGATATTTGTAAATACAAGTGCTTGGATATTTTCTGCTCATAAGTGTAAAAAATCTTCAAAACGTGTCTTTGAGGAAATATTTTTGCGAAACCCGGCAACACCGCCGCGATCCCATTCCCAAGTCCTGTGGTCGGACATGGGCGCGAACCGATCACAAATATTATTTATCTGAATTTTGTTTTTCATGGCTTAGCGAAATAAAAACCAGGCTCTGGCATGATTTGTATGATTTGTAGATGGGAAAACCGCTCTTATCAAATTTGGTTTATCCTTAATTTTATCTAGTTCTCTCCTTAAAATTCGTATAGTGAGAAACACGGACAAGTTTGTGGGGAAATTTACGCAATACACATCGCTCTCCCATCTCTAGAGGTATTATGCGCCAGGACCGGGACCCGGGATTTTCTACTTTTTTTTTAGTTTTTAATGTTTGCTGTAAAAAATCGTTGCACAATAAAAGTTTATTAATAATATAATAATATCTGTTTTAATGAAATAAAAAATACATCATGTACGTAAAAATAAAAACAATCAGTTGTAATAAATAAAACAATGAGAAACTTACCTACCTCTTGTGATAGAAATCTTTGAGTCCCCTTTATGTCCTTATTTTAAAAATCTCAAATGATTAAAACATCATTAAAAAAATATTATTGAGAATAACTAATAGGTACTGAATATTATTTGTGATTTTATCATTAGATTGATATACTCGTATCCTTGTTTTATCTACTTCAATTTTCAGTTGGCTAAAAGCTATAACCTCATACAAATTTTAGCTTAAAAACAAACTAAACAAAATTTGTTATACTTATTCATGGCTAAGCATTATTATTAAAACACACATAATAATAAAATTATACCTACTTAACGTTTACATTCATTAAAATATCATTGGAAAAGCATAAAACGTGAAACGTAAAAAAACAAGTGCGTTAACCTAACCTAACTTCTAACTTATACCGTATGATCAAAAAAATGCGTCAGCGATGGCTATGAAAAGAAAATCGCTGTCATTTTATATGTAAAATTATATGGGGAATGTTATCGATATTCGTTTCCAAGCCAACTAGACGCCGTTTTTTCGATCTTATGGTATATTTGTTATATTATTAATTATTATTAACTTGCGCGGATCTTTCATTTGAATCTTTGTTGCAATGTTGCAGAAAAAACGTTTTAATCGCCATTCAAAAACAATGTTTCTGTAGCAAGGTTTCATCAATTACGACACAGCGTTTAGAAATTAACATTACAAAGCAAACTGTTTGGGGAATGACTGTTGCAGATGTAATGTGAGGTTTTTTGCTTGGTGGGGTATTATTACTACAATTATTCACTATACTTATTAATTATACAGGGTGGCTCATTTTTTAGTAGCTGGTCCATAACAGGCGAAATACCGAATAATCGAAAAAATGGCGTTCAGTTGGCTTGAAAATCAACATCGATGACATCCCTCATATAATTTTACATATAAAATGAGAGTTATCTTCATTTCATAGCCATAGCTAATAGCTAGTGCCGTTTTTTTTCGATTATACCGGGTGAGTCAGGACTCTTAAATAAGTGCAAATATTTTTAAAGCTGGTAGACCTCAATAAAAAGTCTCTACCTAACCAAACCTAGCCTACCCCCTAAAAATATTTGCAATTATTTAAGACTCTTCGCCTGTATTATACCTATTTTAAGAAGAATATTTTATATGAACGTATGGTCAAAATAGTTCGTAAGAGACGTTGATACAGGGTGTTCTACTTTCTAATAGCAGAACTTTAATAGGATTAGTCGAGAGAAAAAGTTATTTTAAAGAGAAAATTTCATATCTATATACGGCACAGCTGCATCTAGTGAGGATAGTAGCTACATATGTAATTAAAGTATCTACTCCTATATTTAAATTGAATTTACTTTGAAAGGCAATGACTAAAGAATCCAAGGACAAATAACACCCGAGAGCAAATTGTGCCGATGTCACCAAACAGTGCCGCGGCACATATTTTTCTTAACCTAGCTGTTTGAAGCAATATTTATATTTTTTGATAATTGTTTTGACTACGCCTATGGTGTATCATCTTAATTAATTACGAAAAAAACGTATTAAAATGTTAACGAAAGGTACAAAACTAGTATCGACGTATAGCACATATCAAGTACATATAGATGTTAATTGAAATTGAAGAATAATTATCGGAATTCAATAAGAAAACGCTAAAAAGTTGAAGTGGACTGTTTATTTACCTATGAAACGTAACTCCTGACTCTTTCTTATCGCTTCTTCTCTAATCGTTAGTTAGTGTCACACTAGAAAGCTGAACAACTAATCACCATTTGCTGTCCTCCATTCGCGAACTTAGAGTTCCGGGCTTTGCGCCCTGGGGCGTAACGGTTCTGAAAGGAGCGGTGCGTGATAGCCTGGTGCCTCCATATGGCGCCGAACAGTTCTGGAACTTTATGACTCAATTGAATGGAGTGAGAGTATCGCGTTCTTGAACAGTTCAGAGCTGCTCAACGGCGTGAACGGAGGACAGCAATTGTAACACACAACAGATTGTAAAAAAGTTTACTACACACAAACTATTAAAAATCGCTAAAATTGTCGTTGGTGACAAAATGATGACTCATTGTTTGCCACCAAAAGAAAGGTCTCTAAGGTCACAAATTCTGCTGCAGCCCGTATAGGAGCGTTACATGTCCTTATATTCTTTAGTCATTGTTGAAAGGTAATACTGAAAAAGGTAGTACCATAGAGTTAAAAATAAAAGGTAGTACTTATAGGTAGTCCCTGGTATTTGACAATCAGCTCATGGCGACATGCACATTAAAACATACTTTTTTAATTTATTTAGTTATATATTTCATTTATTTAATAATAATAATAAATCGTATTAGGAAAAATACCATTAATATTGTAAATTATAATTTATCTCCTCATAATTATGCCATTAATTTTTTGATTATGTAATATGGGCATTTTGTTTACTCACTTGTTTCGTCGAGCTGCTTGAATCCATTTTTGCTTATGATCAAATTGGTGTGAGAAGCTGTGAAGCTATAACATGTTGTTTCGGAAGAGTTGAATATCTGGCAAAGTTGAGTTACTGACATGTTATTGAATATTATTTCTGATGTTATTGCACCCAACAACCACGTAATTACGCCCTCCTTTATGTGTTTCAGGTTTCAGAAATTGTTTGGCGACTGATTGTCATTTTAAGGTAACCGAACGCCTTTTTTTCGTCCATTCATCTCACGGACATCTTTCTACAACATCATCAGTGATCACCACTCAATCACCACTACAGAATACAAGAATTAGGTAGGTACTTATAGACGGTCCCTGGTATTTTACAATCAGCTGATTGCAGTTTCTAAATACACCTGCAAAAATCTACCTGTTGAAAATATGTTATCTCTTTAAAAATGTCCTTTTAAGTCCTTTACATGAGAAATTCCCATTTATTATAGAATTTCTAAATTATTATGTAAAGAAGTCCTTATTTTATCAATATTACTAGTGTATAAACATATTATACACAAGTGGATAAATCACCGACGTTAAGCGTTTATATTTGACTATTATCGAGAATGCCAAACAGATATTTTAAAATTGGCGTTCCCGAAATCGTTGAGCGACTCCGGTCCTGCCCAGGGCCACAATCCCACTTCCCCTGCCAGGTCAACGTCAACCTGGAACGGCACGAAAAGCGGTCAGCAGAATGTGTACAGGTGTTTTTTAACGCAGTTTGTAGTTTCACAATCCGATCCGGTCCCGTTCCCAAGTAAGTACGACCGATACAACGACATCATTAAGCGATTTGAGACATTCAGGACAACCGTACAGGTTATGTGGGTCTGCGAAGTGTAATTTGTTGATATCTAGTGCATAAAAGTGCAGTGTTCTCATTTCGGGACATCCTACTCGCGGCCAAATCCCAAATAACGTTACTCTCGACCGCTCTGCTTACGTGTTCGGCCTTATTTTTTCATTTCCAAAATAATTTGTTATCTTCCCAAATTTAAATCACGCCGTTTTTAAGTGTTGTTCTAATAAATAAATGGTTTATAGTGACGTAACGTAGATTTGCGGACCGACTTTGCTAGTGGCGATTTATATGACCCGCCGAGAAAAATAGGTTACTTCTAATAAGCTGGGCCCCCCTTCTGGTTGTTGAACTGAATATTTTGCAATTACAGTTAGTTAAGAATTTCTATTGCACAAATTCTTCGTATTCTATCAGGTTTTTTTTTCTGAAAGAAAAATTATAAACAATGTTTTCTTGACTTGTGTATTATCAATTTATTATTGAAGATCTTGAAATGTAAAGTCAAATGTTTTTAAGATGTATTCTGTAATCTTTAATTATATATAAATTATTATTTTTTAGGCTGTTGATGGCACAATTAATTGAAACCCACTTAAAGTCCTACGACAGGTGATCATGGCAAATACTGCCACTGAAAATGAGGCAGATTCTGGTATGTATTGTAGTGTTTTTTTTTTAATATTAAACAATTTAATAAATTCGAGAATAAATTAAATTAAAACAAAATTCTCCCTCTAGAAGGTGTTCTGGAGGGTTGTAATCTCCATTGATTAGATGGCATTAAATAATAAATGTATGATCAAAAAAAACAGCGTCAAGTTGTTGTAAAAATGACTATTGATGACATTCTCCATATAAGATGACGGATATTGTAGTTGGCAACTTACATACGAATATTAAAAGTTAATAAGAAGCATGTAAAAAATCATTAACTTCAACCTTTTTTGACGCTTTATTAATATAAACATCGCTTAACCATAACCTTAAAATCTGAATATTTTAATCGAGATTTTAATATACCTGTAGTATGCAGTTTTTTTATAACTTATTGTCTATGTTATAAAAATAAAAAAAAACATTATACATTGTATATATTTTAGGTAGTAGTATAGCTGTAACAACACAAGAGCATCCAATACAGGAGGATGCTGATCAAACCGAAGACAGAGTAACTGGCTCAAATACAAACTACGATTCTTCAGAAGGTGTGTTTAACATTTTCTTTACATTTTCTATTATATACATGGTGATGCAATTTTTAGTACCTGTATTTTAACAACCTATAGTACTTATTTTACGAATAAAATTTAATATCAATATGGGACCAAAAAGATTTAATTTTAAAAATACAAGGTGTTGTGGAAGTTTCAAATATATTGATGGTTTTTGGCCATGGTTTTTGGCTGTATATGAGCCATAAATTTATTGCAGACATTTCAATTTTAATTTCATAAAATTAAAAAATATCTATTACTGCCCTGTTTCAATTTAAAGTTCTCACATTTATTTGCAATTTATCTCTCCATCATGTCTATTGTTTTTTTCATATCTGCCTTAGTTTCAACACATTGTATTTTTAAAATGGATGATTTTTAGCCTTATATACAGGGTGACCATAATGCTTAAAGTGCCTGTTAAGTACCTAAAACAAAAAATAGTAAATAAAAATCGTTTTTCGATTGTGATACAAAATACAGGGTGTCCTGGTTGGAAAAAATCAACATTTAGTTTTTATTAACTAGCCTTGTATACCGGGTGCGTCTCAAAAGTATCTCACGCCTATAACTTTTTATTTATTTTTTTCGGATAAAATAAACGAGATTTGGTATGTATATGACATAAATTAGGACTGATTGACGGATTCAATTGTTTTCCCTCACTTCCTGTTTCACCGGAAATTACTATAACTTTTGATTTTTAAATGGCACTCTCGGTATTTTTTTACTTTATTCTATGGAAAATTACAGTTTGAATAGAATGACATATGATATGTCAACTTTTGACATTTTTACATATGGTTTGCACCGTCGTTCCATTTGAAAAAATTGAGATATGATTAAAAATACGATTTGTGTATATTCTAACCGGCCAGGGCAAGACGACTATTTTTCAAAGGCTCCTTAATTAAGAATTGGCGTCTTTAGCACGACCACGGCATTCTTTATTGATATTTAAAATTCGATTTTTTAAGCGCAAATGTCAAAAGTTGACATATAATATATCATTCTATTCAGAGTATCATTTTCTACCGAATAAAGTAAAAATATACCGCGGGTGTTATTTAAAAATCTAAAGTTGTAGTCATTTCCGGTGAAACAGATGACCAAAAAAAATTGAATACCTTCAATCAATCCTAATTTATGTCATATCATACCAAATCTTGTTTTTTATATGAAAAAAAAAATAAAAAAGTTATAGGGATGAGCCACTTTTGAGACGCACCTGGTATTGTCAAAATTATTTTTAAAATATGAGCGACTATTACCCACATGATTTATAGAAAAAATGGGATGGAAACATTACACCCTGTATAATCTCCTGTTCCTGGGAAACTTCATTTAAGGATCGTGTCTTATACTAATAGCCATCATAAATATATAGAGTGCAATAAAACAATTTAGATCTGTTTAATAAGGTTAAATATGAGAATAGATTGAGGTAAAGAAATTTTAAAGTGGGTTTCAGTTGTATTGGCATGTCGTTACAGGCGGACACAAATGCAATAGATGCGATTTTGAGGCTTCATCAGCAACATCATTGACCAATCATTTGACCATATCCCATTCGGGTGCCAGCGAAGTCGAAATGGAAGTGGCTGAGAATAACAACCCCCCTGCGGATAGGGTACATCGGTGAGTGACTTCGATGCATTTTATTTTACGAACTGGCTTTTTTTATTTATTTTTTATGTTTGATTAATACGCATCTGGTTGCTTTGAATATTTTAATTTTAAATTTGAATGTTTTGCAATTTTTAGAATTATCAAATATCAACGACAGCTCAGTTCAAGGCAAAAAAATAAAATACAAAAATATTAGGTTATGACAAAACAGTGTTCCCAACTCTCAGAAATTTATCTCCCTAAAAATCTAAAACGCTCGCATCAAAAATCCCCAAAATATCCCTAAAAACCTAAAAAAATATCCGGAAAAAAACCTAAAAATATAAATAATAATAAATAAACAATTTGTTGTGTTTTAAGTGGTTGACCTTGAAACGTCTAATCACAGCAATGTAGCCAACTGTTCGAAACTTTCCATTAAAGCAATATCAAACCTTCTTAAATCCAAACAACTAAAATCCCCACAACTGTTATCCAAGATTCGGTGATTAAAATAAATAAATTATTTTGTTTTATTTATACTTTCCTATTAATTTTGAAAAATAGCAGTAGCGGTCTTATCTCCTCTTTGGTAGCGGTAAAATTCCATATACGTATTGTTTACAAATATACTCAGCCTAATCTCCAAAAAGTGAAGCCCAAACAGTGAAAGAACAATATGGAATTCTGCATAAGTCTATTTCACCCGGATATTCATTTAACTGCGCATGCCTCACCTGAAGAAGTTTTCATTGGTCGATGTTTTTATAGGGAAGTCGTTGACTGACATTTCACCTAACCTTCAATTTTATTTATGTTTTTATTATTTATAAATATGGAGGGCTTTAAAAAGGAGATTTATCGACAATGGGCATATTTGAAATTTCTGTCCCTACTTTAAAGCAAGTTTCTCGGTTTGACACCAGAGGCATTGTAAGCGTGTGAGATTGATCATTTTCATTGTTAGTATACGATTTAATTGTGTTTTGCTATTTTTTTTTAAATTTAGAGTTAATTTATTGAACTATTAGCAATGTACCAATGAGTATGATTAAAAAAATCCTAAACGATAGGTCTTGCTTCGTACCTGGCTGTATAAGTGGAACTTACAGTGGAAGAAAGGCAAATAAAGAACGGGGTGAAAGAAACCCAAGCCTTTTCAAAGGTCCTAATGTAATAATTATTATTAATAATTAATTAAAAAAATATGGATAGATGTTAAGAAAAACATTCAAATTATATACTGTCAGTGCACAGATTAATTTTAACTTAACTCTTTTGAAATAAATTGAGTTCATTATTTATTCATTAATATTTTATTTTCGAAAATTTACCTTTACAATTATTAGATGACATTGAATATAATACATCTTGAATTTAATTGTCTACGAAACAGTGACAATTTGCAAAACTTTGCTAATGACATTAAAACTTAAATTCAGAAAATCTAAAGAAAAAACACTATTGGACACAGGAAACATTTCAGCTTAATGTACCTATTCTCTGGTTTCAGCTATAAAAAGTTATGGGATAGATAACACTGATCAAAGGGTGCAACAGTAGTGTTCATCTTCACTTTCCACTGAAGTTATTCCTGATAAAATACTTTTAATTTTCGCGATTCAGTTTCTGTCAATTGCCGTAAAACCACTACTAGTTTGTTACGAAAGTTTTTAATGTTTTTAAAATGGTATCACACTGAACTGCATGTAAACATATCAATTTTAAATGTTTTTATGAAAAACTATTAATAAATCACTAACACAAACACACCATAAACTATTTAATTCGCATTTGTAATCAAGAAACAACTCTGGAAACAATTACTGTTTACATCAAATCAAAGGTTGAACTGGTGATATTTGTTGCTAGAACTTCTACCTTTTTTGTACAACAGTTCTCGGGAAGATTTATTTTAGCAGCTTATATTTTTCTTCGGCCGTGTGTGCACTAAAAAGAACCATATAATGAAACAATTTTATAATAACAATTTAGAAAAAGAATATCTAAAACCGGCATCTGATATAACCTAACTTCTAACTTACTTTTCAAGCTCAAATTTAAGGTTTTGTATTCACAATTTTAGCCACGCACATTGTTCAATTAGAAAAAACACGTTTGTAAAAGCTAAATCTGGTAAAAATATGCCCAAATATTAACTGAACTCTATAATTTATAACAAAATAGTAATTCTTGCCATAAGAAGCTGTGTATTTTTCAATCTCTTTGATCACATGCGCCCCTAACGGCGATTTTCGAACTTCATTTAGATCATGAAATCTGGGCCCAACATTTTTGCGTTCGATTCGCCTCCTCCTTTTAGACTCCATATTTATAACACATTATCATGGAGTTGGAAAAATATCAATAAATAGTTGGAAACAATAAACTAAACAAAATCACTCCTTTACGCGCACAAATAAAAAGTAATCCAAACAGAACTAAAACAACAATCAATCGGAGTTTGGCGCAATCGCAGTTCAATCCATATCCGGGTGAAATAGACTTATGCAGTTTTAATATGGAGCTGGGTTATGTTGTCTTTTTCTTACGGCACAGAAATTGCACACGGGGTTAAATAGGGAACCCTGAGTATATTTGTAAATAATACGTATATGTAAAATTCCATTGAAATTTTATCTCCTAAAATATCCCCAAAAATTTTACTCCCTAAAAAATCCCCATATAGATTTTTCTCCCAAAATTTAAGGATAAAATCCCGGAGTTGGTAACACTGTGACCAGAACGGTAAACTAATAGGATTGCTCATCCTCATAATACGTACGTTCGCCTCTTCCCGCGCTTCAGCTGACAGTTGTGACGTCATTGTAGTCCTTGTCATGATAGTGTGTATTATTAGTTGCCTATGGTAAACTTATAAAAATAACAGCTGAGAAAATTTGAGTTAATTATTTTATCAATTTTAAATGTGAAAAAGGTGTTTTTAAGTTCTTAGAGCTATAGAGTGTATAAATACGTTCATTTTGTGTTGTAAATTGTGACACAGTGCTTACTAAGTGCCTACGATATTGCTTATTTATTATTTTAAAGCAAAATATGGAAGTACTCTAAAAAGAATGCCTGCAAAAGGGATACTGGGAACTGCTGTTCTTAAAAATGCATTATCCGAGTATTTAATACGATTTATACAGTTAATTTTCTATACTGCATACATATAAGGTGTTTAAATAAATAAACTAAATAATGAACGTTTTGTATCCGGCAACCAATAATGCACGGGTATGTATTATTGGTTGTCGTATAAGGAATAATAACCATGACAACGACTACAATGACGTCACAAAGCGAGTAGTTTTCGCATGCACCTGGCAGACAATTTTGGGTGAATGAGCAGTGAGCAGTCCAATTAGGTTAACTGTTCTTGAGGTTATGATTTCGGCGGCACTTGATATCAAAAATACAGTATGATAGAGCAAAAAAAAGCAAGAGTTTTCTGAAAACTCATATTTTCAAAATTGATTGCATTTCAGTGTTAAAAAGCAAAGATACAGTCAACAGTTTCAGTTCTGGGACACCTGGCGCTGAGAAAGGCGCAATTTTAAACACCACCAAACTGTTCTCTGAAGCCTGAAAATTTGTAGGTAATATTCGAATGCAGTGTAAAACAAAAATATAACAGTCAGACAGAGCAGTATGGAGACACAAAGCGTCAGCTCTACCTAAAACGCGCTGTCAAAAATATAAAAATATTTTGTCACTTTTCACAAGTTTCAGCCTTCAGAAATCACTTGACTGACAATTTTTTTGACAGCGGGCTTGAGGTAGCACTGACGTTTTGTGTCCCCATACTGCTCTGTCCCGACTGTTATATTTTTTTACATTGCATTCGAATGTTATCTACTAATTTTCAGCCTTCAGAAAACAGTTGTGATGTGTTACACCTTTGCTTATTAACACTAAAATGCAATAGATTTTGAAAATATGAGCCTTTAGAAAGTCCTTGCATGTTTTTGAACTCGGCTCTCCGACTATATAGACACACGATGCCGCCTAATGGCGGTATTTTTTCGAATACACTAACAATACCGCCGGCGTCTGTTTAGTCCGTTAATTTTAATTTATTTTACGATTTTTATGCGATCTTTTCTTGGTGTTTTTTTAATAGCATGGTAGATTTAATTTTTTTATTGCATAGAATTTAGTAATTTTATTCAAGGTCTAGGCGTCAATAGTTAAAATATGGAATGTTATCGGAAAATTGCTATTGTCGGATGTGGTGAAATAAAATTTTCGCTTTTTATTTAGAAAACAGTTTTAACAATTTTATTAACATATTTAAATTTTTTATTTCCTGTAGAATATCAAAAAATGTTTTGCATGTTGTAATGTAATTCCATAGTTTTTTGCATTGCCATTAAATCCCTATTCTAAAAATACCATAATACCTAGATAGGATTATACCGGGTAAAATGTCCTAAAAGCGCGATAAAATATTACCGGTAATATTTTATCCTTCATATACCGGTAAATTCGGTTATTGTTAATAAAATAAAATATGCATAAATGTGATAAAACAATAAAACATTAAATTTTGTGGAACAACATTGCAAATTTTAGTAGTTTGAAAAAGTAAAAAAATCAGAATTTCAGTTTCAGTTTTAGAATTTTAAGAGAGCTTTAAATAAGCAGCAAATTTACATCAAAAACGTCGTATTTCAAAACCCTCTCAGTATAGAATAATATGACATTGTGCTATTTTTTGAATGCATATCTTCTATCCCAAAAAATATATAGCACTCCGTGTAACAATTAAAATTTCGTTATACAACTTTAGTTTTAAAATATACAGAGGGAGTCTTAAATAAGTGCAAATATTTTCAGGGCTGGTAGATCTCAATAAATTAAACAGATTTTCTCTTTATCTTTTTTTAAATAAGTCTAAAATAACTAAGTTAGTTTACTTTGAAAATTAAAAAAAAAAATTCCTCAAATTTTGAAAACCACTTGGTTTTTCTGCGTTTTCTTTCTTGTAAATAATCTATTACCTATGTTGCCATATAAGATTTTATGTTTTTTTTTTAACGAAAAGTTAACAAAAATCTCAAATTTTCAAAAAAAAATAGCGATTTTATGTTTCATTCACATTTTATACTTAAAAATTTACAATCATTCACAGTGTCAAAAAAAAGTTATTTTTAATAGAGTATTCTAGCAATAGCTTGCGGTAGTCAGTTGTATATATAGACAAAGTCTAAAGTAGGATTTATAAACTCACAGTTGGATTTGGCTTTGGCGTTGGCGCCGCCGCCCAATTCTTAAAACTGTATATTACCATAAGAGCATTTATAAACACGATTGGCGTTGGCTTTGGCGCCCGGTTGCCGTCGGACTTGAATTATGTTTAACTTTTTACCGTTCGAGGCGGTTCGCCGTCCGTAGCACCACGTAGCAAATGACGTTACAGCCAATAGAATAGTAAAGAGCGATCACGTGATGCTTTGTTTACATCTAGTTTTGAAGTATGGGAATTCCAAATTTATGGTCACTCCCAATAAACCTAATAGGGTTATTTCATCAAGACCATTACTTTCCAAATCCATAATTAAAAATCTCGAACAAAAAACCAAAACTTTAAACACTTTCGTCTCTAAAAACGCCCTATAGACTCTGCTACTCTCAAGCAAAAAGTAAACAAAAATGTAAGGTTAGATCTGCCCAAAACGGCCAAAGCCAACTGTCAACCGTCGAGTTTATAAATGCGATTTTGCGGCGCTACGAACGGTCGACGGCAAATCCAACGCCAACGCCAAATCCAAAGCCAACTGTAGAGTTTATAAATCGACCTTAATAACTAGCTTATAAAACAATAAACTTTTGATTTCTAACCACAATTTCTCTTCATGGATGATAGCCAAAGGCCAAAAGGACTTCCTCGCAAATTTTGAAGTATAATTAGTGGAAAAGTCAAAAGTTAAGCTTCATTCAGAACCTCCCAATTAGTGGAATAAATTAGTGGTTTCAATTACGCTTTATACTTTTTAGTTTACGATCATTCACAATGTCTAAAAAACACAATTAAAATTAATAAAATATCCTAGCAACAGCTTGCGGTAGTCTGTTGTATCCATAGAGAAAGCATAATATTTAGCTTATAAAACAATAAACTTTTGATTTCTAACCAAAATTTTTCTTGACACGTGATAATCAAAGGCCAAAATGACATTCCTCGCAAGTTTGGAAGTATAATTAGTGGAAAGGTCAAAAGTTCATTAACTTTTTCCACTAATTGAAAATTACTACCACTACCACTAATTATGACGTTCTGAATGCTTACATTAAAATTAGGTGAACAAACTTCTACAGCTAATTGAAACTACTAATTTATTCCACTGATTTCGAGGTTCTGAATGAAGCTTTAAACTTTTTCTACTAATTGAAAATCATTACCACTAATTTTGATGTTCTGAATGCTTACATTGAAATTAAAGGAACACACTTCTACGCTAAATGAGACCACTAATTTCGAGGTTCTGAATGAAGCTTTAGATTTGTTATAGAAAATTTATGACAACGGCAATTTATGGCGATTCTCAATAAATGTCGTATGTGATGCTTTTTTTGCAATCGTTTGAATTAAAACGAAAATCTATGTAAACCATATTAATTGTAGTTATTTTTATATATTTTTTATAGAAAAATGTTCGAATGCGACGTCTGCAACATGAAGTTCTCGAACGGCGCCAACATGCGCAGACACAAGATGCGCCACACCGGTGTCAAGCCCTACGAGTGCCGTGTCTGTCAGAAACGATTCTTCAGGAAAGACCACCTAGCCGAACACTTCACCACGCACACCAAAACGCTGCCTTACCACTGCCCCATCTGCAACAGAGGCTTTCAGAGACAAATTGCTATGCGAGCCCATTTCCAAAACGAACATGTCGGACAACACGACCTCGTCAAATCCTGTCCTTTATGCAATTACAGGGCCGGCTCTATGAAGAGTTTGAGGATACATTTTTTCAATAGGTAAGTTTATTGCTGGTGTAAGATCTAGAAGTAATTTTATTCACAAATAAGTGAATGTTTTCATTGTGAATGTTCAGTGTGTTTTAGAACCTGTTTTAGTGCGAAATGTACAAAACAGCTTAATAGTCGTTACAAAAAACTCATCACAACCTTATTAGAATATTTTGAACGGGAAAGCGGTAGTTATGTCCCTTAAGTGCTGTTAAGGAGGTGGGTTTTGTTGATGTAAATAATAACTGTTTATAAAAAATCTCTATACCTATGTGGCGGATTCATCTCCAAAAAAATCCTTTATGGGTATTTCGCCACTACACTTCAAGAAAATCTACAAAATAAAATAGTTATTTTTTGTAAACACTCCTGCGTTATACCTAAAACGACACTGCTTGTCAGAAGTTATATTTACAGTTATACAAATGGGACACAGGGCACAGAATAAATTTTAATAACGCCAAAATTATAATGAAAGAAGCGATAGCCTCAAAAAGACAAATAAAAGAGGCTTTTTTAATTCAATCTAATAAAAATAAATGTATTGCTCATGCATCTGTAGATGTTAGTAATGTATGGCAATCGCTTCTTTAATTTTAAAGAACATAACATAAATAAACATAACATACGTAAAATTTAAAAATAATCATACAGAAAGTTTGGGGCTTTTTGGTTTTACCTTATTAAGTAATTATGTAGTAAAAAGTTATCAAGTTATCAGGTAGTAATTGTTAATTTTGAAGTTTAACTTGATATAATGTCATTTTAACAGAACGTCAACGGTTTCTTGTAGACGTATCTGTTTTAAAAAAGTAGTGTTCTCGAATAGTTGAATTTAAATATTCTAATAGTTTTTTTCTTTATTCTTTGTATTTTTTTGCTTCCGACGACGGAAAGAGATAAACTTTCCGAAACGTTAAGCATTTTTTTCTTTGTTAGGCAAATTTGTATAACTGTAAACATAACTTCTGACAGGCAGTGTCCGTTTAGGTTTAACGCCAGAAGTGTTTACAAAAAATAACTATTTTATTTTGTAGATTTTCTTGAAGTGTGGTGGCGAAATACCCATAAAGGATTTTTTGGAAATAACTGTTTATATATTCATAATTAATTTATTTTTGTTTCCTAAAATATTTTGATTAAAAGGAAATATGTAAAAGTGGGCAACGCTGTGCCAGTCAAGCTTAATCACGTGACTAAAAGTTTATTTGGTATAATCTATAGATTTTATTTTTCTGAATTCGAAATGTAAGGTTGTAATTATTTTTTGTACAAAATTGAGATAAAAATAGGAAAAAATAAATAAATACATTTAAAAATGTTAATATAAAACAGTAATCAAAATTGGGTAAAATTCTAATAAAAATAAAGGGTATTCCATTTGTTCCATACTTTTTGGTTGTCACTACTCACCCTAATACGGGTGAGCCAAAAAACTAACCTATGGAATTTATGGGTTAAAATGAACCTAATAACTGAGAGAAAAAAATATCCCCAGAAGGCAGGATTTTTAGCTCAATTTAAAAAGGTGTCAGTGAACATTCAAAGTTTTCCATTTAAATCACACGTTAAAAAATATTTTTCCATTAAAAGTACTAGTGATCGACCGATACCGATACCGATATGAAAATATCGGCCATCATGCCGATTATCGGTATCGGCCGATATACAAATGTATATCGGCCGATATTTTATTTTATTGATTATTCACGAAAAAAATTAACTGAACTTGATTTTTTAGGAACAACTTTATTAAACATATATGAATACAAACTGAAACGGATTCTTTAAAATAATAAACAGAAAAATAAACTAAAACAGAAAATTTGAAAAAAACAAATTTCCCTTAAATCTGTCTAAAAAAAGCTTTAGTATAGGAATGTATAGGAACACAAACCGGACGATTTCCTTAAAATAAGACAAAAAGATAAACAGTAACGAATAAATAAAACACATAATTGGCACTTAACCGTCGAAGTCTTAGCTGTCACAGATAATTTATTCTTCTCGAAATATTTCCAATAAATACTTTTCTTTGAAGCCATTTTAATTTAGTTTAAACACAACACGCATTTAAAAATAAACACCCTAACAGGATTAGACAAATTCAATCCCAAAACAAGCCCAGAGTCTAGTGAACGAAAAATGCGTGTTCTGGGAAATACCGAATAATAAAGAAACTCGGGATGCTCGGAAACGGCCGCTGTGTCGCGAAGACGATTAGAGGATTTACCAAGGTCATTAATTCATTATTATTATTACTAAAGTTATTACTACTACTGTGGTGCAATGTTGCCAGATGTTCGGAATTAAATTATATGCATAATATAGGCGGTAGAACTTGAGCTGAACCTCGCCACTATAAAAATCGGCCCTCGCGGCAATTAAAAAAAATACGCCGATAGGCCGATATATATCGTATCGGCCTGAAACATATCGGTATCGGCCAAAAAATGCCTATCGGTCGAACACTAAAAAGTACCATAACTTTGAAATGGTTTACGATAAAAATAAATTACATCGCGGATTCTTGTAGAGCATAAAATTTCCTAAAAAATCTATCTGAAAGTAATCTATTAAATATGAAAATTTTTAATCAATAAACACTAAAACTCATTCATTTTTGATTGAAAATTTATTTTCTTTCACTTTTCAAAGCTTTTAAATATACGAATTATTGAATTGAAAAAAAATACTCTCAGATATATTTTTTAGAAAATTTTATGCTCTACAAGAATCCGCGATGTAAATTTTTTTATCGTAAACCGTTTCAAAGTTATTGTACTTTTAATGGACAAAGATTTTTTACGTGTTATTTAAATGGAAAACTTTGAATGTTCACCGACACCTTCTAAAAGTGAGCTAAAAATCCTGCCTTCCGGGTATATTTTTTATTATTAGGTTCATTTTAACCCATAAATTCCATAGGTTAGTTTTTTTGGCTCACGCTACCAACTGTGTATGTTATTTAGACACGGCATCGACTTGGACAACCCTGGTCCGCCGGGCTCGCCCAATCAGCTGATAGCGGCCGCCGCTCAGCAGAGTTTCGGACCGGTAGAGGGCGCCCTTAGCTCGCTCAATCACCTCAGCAGCAATCTGTCGGTCAGCGTGACGGGTGGCAGCGCCAACTACAGCGATTCCGGCGAGTCTACCGGAGCGAGGAGCACGGACAATGCGACGCCGCCTATGCACTTTTTGACGCCGCACGTCGAGATTTCAATGGCCGATGCACCGTCGGCTGTTTTTTCACCTTCAACGGTATGTTTTAAATCTATAGATTACATATAAACATGTTCAATCCCTTGTAAACCTACATATTATTATAGGCAGTAGCGGCTCGCCAGACAGGCGAAGCAAAATGTCATCTTAATTATTATTAGTGCTGAGTAAGAAAACTTTAATTAATTAGTTAATTTTAATTAATATTTAATCATATCTCAATTTTTTCAATTGAATCAAGGGTGGCTCATTAGCATATTTGGAAAAAGCATATTTTTACGAATAATTTCGTATCGCACACATGGTATTTTGAGTCAAACTGTCGTTACAAACCGCATGTTTCAATTTCAAATAAACCATATGCGAAAATGTCAAAAGTTGACATATGATATGTCATTTTATTCAGAATGTCATTTTCTATTGAATAAAGTAAGAGAATACCAAAGGTGTCATTTAAGTTGTAGTAGCTACAGCTAAATCAAATCACATTGTAGCCTTATCTTTTGTGAGCATTTTGTTTTTTTAATCACGACATTATCTCTGTTTGTATTGGAGATACACTGCTCTAAAACGAACGGAAAAATGCTTCACAGGCAGAAAGTTTTATGTATAAATAATCAAAACGACATAGCCGAAAAGGATTTATGAGTATTTGCAATATGACAATAAAGGTTGTCAAATTTAAAAATGCCATTATCTATGACGGATGTTGCTCGTATTGTGGCTTTAATTGAGCATGGCCGAAGTCAACGTTATGTGTCCGATACCCTGGGTATACCTCGAACAACAGTCCAGAATGCCTGGAATCGGTATATGGAAACGGGAAATTTCACCAGGCGAGTGGGTTCCGGAAGAAAACGGAAGGAAAATGCAATTGACGACCGCTTTATTGCCCTGAATACTTTACGAAATCGTAGAATTACAGCGTTTCAGAATCAACATCTGCTACAAGCTGTGCGTAGAGCTCAAGTCAGTGAGAGAACAATTCGACGAAGACTAAAAGAAAACAGCTTGTCTGCAAGGAAGCCTGCCACAGGACCCCAGCTACTTCCAAGACATCGTCGAGCACGTCTTAGTTTGTGAGTTTACATGTGAATTGGGATATTAAACGATGGAAAGTCATTTTCACGGATGAATCGTGGTTTTGCCTGCGAAGCATTTTTTCGAGACGTTCGTTTTAAAGCAGCGTATGTTCAATACAAACAGAGATAACCTCGTGATAAAAAAAACAAAATGCTCACAAAAGATGAGGCTACAATGTGGTTTGATTTATCAATAGCTACTACAGCTGCTGCACCCTACAGGGTGTTACAAAGTCCGGGCAAAAAACTTCGTCTTATTGTTGTGCCCTGTATGTGCTCAAAATAAATTCGGAATAAAAATTTCTGACATAGCATCCGTTAAGAAGGAATTAATTTACAATTTAAAGAAAAATCATCAAAATCTAATGAGTGGTTCGCGAAAAATCCAACTTTGAAATTGGGACTAGTTTTTAGTGGCCAGTTTTTTTGCCGGTGAGTGTATTTCTTTGGACTGTGATTATTATTTTTTATAGGCTGACCAGCAACTATCGACAAGTCAGTCATCTCAAGGAGACACCCGACTGGTCAACGGAGACTGTCCAAATTCCCCTCAATCCGCAGATTCAAACTCCAACGCCCCCACAAGCAGTCACATTCAACCGAGCTCGCTGCGGATGGAGCAAGAGACCAGCATAACGCCATCTATCTCGCTCATACCGATAAAACAGGAACCTGGAGACGATTACCACGAGGGTGGTAAGAAGAACGGGCCTGTCAATTTGAGTACGTCGCCGTCGAATAGTCTGCAAATGAACCCGACTAGTAGTAGCCTGAGTTCTTTGATTAAGGTATGTATTAATTACTAACTTTTTTGGACATGATTTTCGCATTGATTTTTTTATATACATACAGGGTGGCGCACCTCATTCGCCTCGGTTGATTATACGAAAACGGAAAGACGTAGAAACAACATTTTTTATGGGTATATGTAGAGAGACAATGTGCATAATTTAAAATTCTTTTCAAATGTACAAGGTGTGTCAGAACTAAGATCCATACCAAAGTTATATTTTTTCTTATGGAACACGCGGTATTTTATTTCATTTTTGGATTCTTGGGCATAAAATAATGCATTTATTATAAGGGTTTAATATGTCTAAAAGCTTTGGTTTTTGAGATATTTTAAGATATTTAAATATGCATGCTATAATAAAAAAATTGTCAATGCCCTGTACATTACTTTTCAAAGTTAATTCTTGTGCTGACTTTGAAGCCAGAGAAATAAATTTTACTAAAAAAATGTATTGCTTCCTTAAATGTATACAGGGGTATCAAAAATTGCTGGTCTACTTTAAATATTATTTTACATAAAAACTTCGTTATTTTAAATGCAACACTATGTATTTTTTAAAACAAGTCGAAGCAGATTTAATTGCTCTTTCAAACTATATTAGGGTTTCCTATACCTATCTGGCTCAGATTTTGAATAAAAAGGGATTTTTCAATAAAATGGCAATCAAGATGGCTGGGTCGCCATGAAAATTTGCTAGTAACAGTTAGTAGCTATTTTCAAAATCGACATTAGGTTATTGACTTTATTTAAATTTATGACAGTTTACTTTTATTTAATTTACCTACCATAGTGTAATAAGTAAGTATTTATTGTTTTATCAAGAAAAATAAAGAAGTAGTTCTTTGATTTATATTACGATGACTTATAATTAATGATAAATAAAAATAATTACATATTGGATTTTCTATAAAAGAACCAATTAAGGCAAATTAATTTTCTTCACCTCCAAAGACAGGTGTCTGTCTAATAGGTTTTTCATATACATATATCAGCTATGCGAAATAGGAAAAGTAGTTTTTCAAAGGAAGACTTGTCAAGAAAATTCTTATTTGGATATCTTTGATCATAAACCCTTCAGGTCAACAAGCAATTGTCCTCACAAAATTACTAGTAACATATCCATTCATTCTACCAGCAGATACTCCTTCATTTTTCTTGATAAAATATTAAATAATTACTTATTAACCTTATTGTAGGTAAATTAAATAAAAATAACCTGTTATAAATGTAAATAACGTCCTAATAAGTCTATTTTGAAAATAGGTACTAAGTGTCGCTAGAAAATTGCCATGGCGACAACAACCATATTGATTACAATTTTATTGAAAAATTGCTTTTTAATCAAAATTTTAGCCAGATGGGTATAGGAAACCTTAATATAGTTTGAAAGAGCAAATGCAGCAGATTTAAATAAATCTGCTTCGATTTATTTTAAAAAATAGAGGGCGTTGCATTTGAAATAACGAAGTTTTTATGTAAAATAAATATTTAAAATAAACCAGCAATTTTTGGTACCCCTGTATACATTTATGAAAGCAATCAAATTTTTTTGTAAAGTGTAGTTCTCTGTAAACCAAAGCTTTTAGACATATTAAACCCTTATAATAAATGCATTATTTTATGCCCAAGAATCCAAAAATGAAATAAAATACCGCGTGTTCCATAAGAAAAAATATAACTTAGGTATGGATCTTAGTTCTGACACACCCTGTACATTTCAAAATAATTTTAAATTATGCCCACATTGCCTTCCCACATATACTCATAAAATATTTTGTTTCTACATCTTTCCGTTTTCGTATAATCAACCGAAGCGAATGAGGTGAGCCACACTGTATAGAAGAATATTTTAATTTATTTCTTTGCCAGGTGTCTCCATTAAAGAGTTTGCTTAGAGATGATCTGAAGAGGAAAATCATTTCTCGAAGTAATTCTGCCAGTCGAAGCCGATCTACAGCTTCACCGAATGCCAATAACTCTGATAGTTCGCCTACAGACGCTAACACAACTACAAACGGTGAGTATTTAGTTAGCAAATGAAAAATATTGTCCAAACCAAACCAACTTTACGTTGCAAAGTGCCCATACGGACAATGTAAACACTATTTGGCGCTATTCATGCAACGGTCGCGACCCAAAGCTTTTGATAATTTCGGATCGGTTCGGCTTTTTCCTGAATTATGTCGCCAAAGATGATTTATTCAAATTTATTTATTTTCTTTTAATTTTATAAATAAAATACAGTGTGTTGCATACAAGAAACTTTATTTTATATAAGGACTTGTATGTGAAATACCTATGAAATATTGGAAACGGACGTTATGCCACGATCCACGATGGTTTTTGCAGTTCACAGTTCACAACACAGTTTTTCAGTTTTTAATGCCACTTTTTCACAATTATCACGGATCTGAGTAAATAAAATTTAAATTAAACTCACAAGATAGCAATAATTACTTTGAGAATGGACGCTTTAAACACTTATTAAATTTTAAAAGATTTTATAATTTTTGAAGATTCTGACTTTGACAAGAGAAAATTATTTCTGTTATTGTTTGGGGGGGGGGCGGTTGTTCTTAGCAACCGCTATAGCAGCGCCAGATCGCGTACAACGGTCGCGACCCAAAACAATTATATGTTTTGACAGGTTTTCCAATCTAAATGTATTTCCTTTATCTATGACTTTAGTTGTTTGACGAACAGATACGTCTACAAAAACCGTTTACGTTCAGTTAAAATGACATTATAAGTTAAACTTCAAAATTAACAATTACTACCTGATAATAATTACTTAAAAAGGTAAAACCAAAAAGCCTCAAACATTCTGTATGATTATTTTTAATTTGTTTTGAATTTTTACGTATGTTATGTTCTTTAAAATCAAAGAAGCGGTTGCCATACATTACTAACATCTACAGATGCATGAGCAATACATTTATTTTTATTAGATTATATTAAAAAAGCCTCTTTTATTTTTCTTTTAGAGGCTATCGCTTCTTTCATTATAATTTTAGCGTTTTTAAAATTTATTCTGTGCCCTGTGTCCCTCTAGCAACCTTGGTTAATATTTTTCCTTTCATCTCTTGTAATCACTTTATATAATTTTATATTTTAAATTTTTCTAAACTGTCAAAATATAGAAGCTTCTACGAGTACGTCCCACTAGTCAACTCGCATACCCAACCATGTTGCCGTTTGCTGTCGTCTTATTTTACGAACAGTTTTAAGAACGGCGGAAAGTAACGCCTACCTATATACGCCGTAGGCGTGTTTTGATTGCGTTGGTTAGTCTCTGGGGTAAGTTTTTTTTTGTTTAGATTGCACGCGAAATACCCGACTGATTATATCGTTTTTGCGCGTGTAGAACTGCGAAATTAAGGGACAACAAACGGCAACATTGTTGGCTATAAGAGTTGACTAGTAGGACGTAGAAGCTAGTTCAAAATATGGGACTTCAAGGTCATCGTTTACACATACGTCATAAGAGCCAATGCTTACAGTCTGAGATACCGATATTCAATACCAATTAAACTTTTAGTTACGTAATCGATGAATTTAAAAATCGTACCCGATTTTTAAATTCATTGTTGCTTGTTGCCCACCATGGACATATTTGACGCCGGGCTGTCTAACTGGAATTTAAATTTCCCGCTGGGGATTCAGGCGCGCTGTAGAAAATACCAAGTTGCCACATCTATTTATTTATTTCTTGACATTATCCTTCGTTTTGACACTTCAGTTTTGTATTACGAGTTTTTGGTTTAAATGGATTGTGTTGTGATACTTTAAGCTTAAAAATGTTTACTAGCAGACCTTGCAGTCGAACATTGTTCTTTTTAGAGCCTTTTTTAATGTGAAGTGTGGCAGATAGCTTAATAGCCGTAAAAAAATCATTGCAACTTTATTAGAATATTTTGAACAGGAAAGTGATAGTAATGTCCCTTTATGTCCCTTAAGTGCTGTTATGGTGAGTTTTGTTGACGTAAATAATATCTTTTTATATATTTATAATTAACTTATTTTTGTCTCCTAAAATATGTCGATTAAAAGAAAATATGTGAAAATGCGCAACGCTGTGCCGGTCGAGCGTAATCACGTGACTAAAAGTTTATTTGATATGAACTATAGATTCCTCACTTTTTTTAGATGTACTAATTGTTTCTTACCCTTTTTTAGTGTACACGATTCAGAAATTGTAAATCTTATTAACTTTTTTTTTCGACAGGAGCAATAACTTCAACGGGACCTGAACAACCATCCGACTCCACTCTGTGGCGTATCGTCGGTAAGAGATCGCTACAATGCGTGTTTTGCGGCATTGGATTCCCAGACCAAACGTTGTATTTTCTTCACAAGGGTTGTCATTCGGACGCTAACCCTTGGAAATGCAACATTTGCGGCGAGCAGTGTTGTAACGTATACGAATTCAACTCGCATTTGTTAAGTAAGAGCCACCAATAGCAATAATTCTTAGAAGAATTTAGGAACTGGTTTTTCTTTCATTTTGTTTTTTTCTGATATTCCGGTCTAAGTGACATTTTATGAGAGATTTCTGTTAATAATGTCATAAAAAGTCACAGAATGTGATACGACAATTTTTCCATTATTAATGACACATGATGACATTCGAACATATCGATTTCCTATACCAAATTAAGAACTTAATGTTTGGGTTATTGTTGAGATTACTGATTTAATTGTAGTTTTGCAACAATTGTTATAATATATTCCTTATTATACATTCCTTATTCCGTATTACCACAGAGTTATCACATTTTTTAAATGTTTTTTTGCGCACAGTGTATCTCTCTGAAAATATTAGTCCAAGCAAAAACATGCAATGGTTTTTCGGCTCGTATTTTCAAAATCGATTGCATTTTAGTGTTAAAAAGCAAAGGTACAGTCATCAGTTTCAATTCCGGGACACCTGGAGCGTTTTCTGAAGGCTGAAAATTTGTAGATAACATTCGAATGCAATGTAAAACAAAAAAATAACAGTTAGACAGAGCAGTATGGGGACAAAAAGCGTCAGCGGTACCTCAAACGCGCTGTCAAAAATATTTTGTCACGCAAAGTGATTTTTGAAGGCTTAAACTTTGCAAGTTAATAGTGAAATCTTACATGTTTTTGTACCCGACTCTCCGACTATATAAATATATCGTTTTTTCGTATTTTCCTGTGAACTTCCATCAACAGGTGATTCAATCAGAAACATTTAGAGTGATATTTTTCTTGCGTATTATGTTGTTCTTTTTTTTTTCATTTACAATCTCTAAAGAATTATACATATCAAGTTCTTCAAATTTTGTTGTAACTAGAAAATTAAATATTAAACATAATGTATTTTGACATCTAATCTTTTTACATTCGTTTATACTTTATTTACATAGACTTGCCGTCTTAGATTTTATTTTTGAATTACCACTTTTTTGTTTCTTGTTAATTAAAGAAAATTAAATTTTTATATTTATTTTGACATAATTTATTTAAAAATATGGAGGTCAGCAATAATTAATGTTTATATTATATACATTGTCCTTGCAATATCATTCACAAAGTACCGGGTGGCTAAGAATGGACGCCGGCTTTATCTCAAAAACTACTTATCGTATAACTTTGGGAGAACAATTTTAATGAGTAAATCGACCAAGAGAAATCGCTGGAAATTATTTTTAAGTTCGAAAAATGTCCGTTAGGGAGCGTTTTTTTGATAGCCAATCAGAAAACAGAGTTTTTTTCAAAAATATGCAGGTGAACGAGTATTTTAAATATTACTATTGTAATCATCGAGAAATTTGTAATTTATTTGATATAAAGTGTTTTGCTCTACGTCATAAAATAAAGTGGGGGGGTTAAACCAGCTTTTATTAAAATAAGGATAACTCTGGTTTAGGTTAACCGACTTAAACAAACTAGGGTTCGTTTAAAAGAGCTTTTCTTCCTTAATTATATCCAGTATAAATTTTGTTTTTATATTTTTTGCGTGGTGGCTAGAGGGCGCTGTTTGACATTATAACAAATATTGCGCTTTTGCATAAAAAATTAAATAGGAGGCTATATTTCTCTTTGCATAGTTAAATAGAGCACAAGTTTTTATGCTAAAGCGCAATATTTGTTATGATGTCAAACAGCGCCCTCTAGCTGCCACGAAAAAAATTATAGAAACAAAATTTATACTGGATATAATTAAGGAAGAAAAGCTCTTTTAAACTAGCCCTAGTTTGTGTAATTCGGTTAACCTAAACCAGAGTTATCCTTATTTTAATAAAAGCTAGTTTAACCTTCCCCCACCACTTTATTTTATGAGATAGAGCAAAACACTTTATATCAAAAAAATTACAAATTTCTCGATGATTACAATAGTAATATTTAAAATACATGTTCTCCTGCATATTTTTGAGAAAAACCCTGTTTTCTGATTGGCTATCAGAGAAACGCCCCCCTAGCGGATATTTTTCGAACTTGAAAATAATTTGCAGCGATTTCTTATGGCCGATTTACTTATTAGAATATTTTTCCCAAAGTTATAGGATAAGTAGTTTCTGAGATACAGCCGGCGTCCATTCTTAGTTGGCCACCCGGTACAAGAAAAAAATCAATTTATTATTACATTTCATTAGAAGTCTGTTTTTCATTCCTTTTTTTATTCCTGCATTTTCTTTTATATAGTATATATTTTTGATAGTTGTTTTTATATCCCAAAGTATCATTTCACATTCCATTTTCTCTGTTATATCTGTCATTGATTTATTTAATAGATGTATTTATATTTAAATAATAAATTATATTAGTGGTGATACACGACAATGAAACAAAACTATTTTTTTTTTGTTATTCTGTATATTGAAATACAACATGTGTCTTATTTTTTATAACAATAATGATAATACGTGGCCTTGACAGTGCTTTGCTCATATAAAGGCTCAAAGCTGAATTTTTAAGCTCCTTCAATGCTCAAATGAACATACAATGTTATTTTAGAAACATATCAACGAAACTCTTATTTGTTATAAAGAACTTGTTTATTTATTTTCTGAATAACATAACTTACTTATCTCTATATATTTCAAAAGCAATTAAACCGTTTTATGACCTTTTTGGCTGTGATATTTTTGAACCTAAAAAAAATATTTTCCTAAAGAAACTAAATTAACTTAGTTAACTGTAAGAAAATAAGTAAATTTGTTCTTTACATATGATATAAAATCTATAATACATAATTGTGACAATGATATTGAACAAAATTGTTTTGATATTTAATATAGAGCATATTATGAAATTACTATTTGTTGTAAAGTGCCTAAAAATTCCAGACTCAAAACACTATGTGCATAATTTGTAACAATATCCGTCCAAATATTATTGTTGAAATTGAAATATTTAATGAATATACATTTTATAAATAAAATTTTATACATAGATTTATAAGTACATATAATATGTAAAATTTAACATTTGTTACATTCCTTTATTACGAAGCCTAATCTTAAAAGAAAAAAAAATAATTTATATAAAAATTGTTTTATTTTCTTTTAAGCTAACTTGAATATTATTTTGTAATTACATAGTTATAAGTATTTTCAGCGTTCATCAAACATTCCATATTAGAAAATTGTATAGGTTTCTTATTTATATTTATTGAATCTTTTTGTGCAATACACTAAAGCAAATTGATGGTTTTTCCTTTGAATAAAAACGTTTTTTTTTATTTCTTTATAGAAATCGCGATATTTTACAATACAATACTGTCTTTTTTCTTTTTCTATTTATTTGTATTTATCACCAATTAGTACTTTTGTAAAGATATTTTATTTTGAGGTGATTGGGTTAATAAAAGACTTGATTTAGAATTATTTTGTTTTTATTGCCTTTGGTACAATAAGTAATAATCACAAGCCAACAAATAAGAAAACGCTTTTAACATTTCTATTAAAAAATATATCTATGATCTTCTATGATAATGATAACTATTAATTTGTGAAAAGAATCTCTAATGATAAATTTCAGCATTATTCATTCAAATAGAAAACTCAGGAAACCTAATTTTTCACTACTATAAACTTCTCTGTAATGTCATTCCTTATTTTTTTATAACTATTTTAATTTTGTTTTTTACAATTTTTAAATAAAAGGAGTGAAATTTTTTAGCCCTCAGTTCTCGAAATCGTTGATAGATGGTGCAAAATCAATTACAGTTTTCTTTATGACATTCTTCTTTAAAAAAACTTGTAGTTATTAACTGTATATTATGTATATTTCATTTAAACTATATCATTTTTAAAATACAAACCAAAAATCTGAGGAATAATTATGTTTTCCATGTATTCTACAACATATTTATTAATCCGTTATATCTAACTAGCGTGACGTCATAAATCTCGCCCGTAGGCTGATCTTTTAATAGAAGGCACTGGTTAGACAACCTTTCAAACACTCTTTTATTTTAGTTACTTTATGCGCATAGCTATATATTCTGTGATACTACTAATCTGAGGTAAATTTTCTAGCAAAATAAATACCGTCTGTTTTCTATATTTCAAATAAAATAAAATCACAGAACAAACTCAAAATTATGATCCAAACAAAAATAGATAAATAATTAATTTCCAGGGATTAAAAAGTAATTTTTTGACGTTTTATCCTATTCACATGTTATTCACCTAATAATGGATTTGAAGGAAGTGTGTCGAACTTGTTTACGTATTCCTAAAAATTCCGTAAGTTTGTTTGAAGATGGAAGCGTTCTTATTAAACGAATACAAGCCATTTCTTCGGTGCAGGTACGACAGTTGACACTCTACGATATAGTGTTCTAAAATTTTATGTTTTAGATTAAGGAAAACAATGAACTTTCCTCGGTTATTTGCGAAGACTGTCAGGAAAACATAAATCAGTTTTATAGTTTTCAAAAGGTTATTAAAAACACAGACTATGACTTACACTATAGACTAGAAACGTTAAAGAAGACAAATTATTGTTCAAAGCCAAGAAGTGCACAGCCTATGGAACCAGAAACTAATTTAATTGAGTTACGAACAGATTTTAAATCTGAAGAAGTGGAACCCGACGTAGAAATAGATACAGAACCTGATAATTTCATCCCAGATCTAAGTTACTCTTTGAAGAAGGCTTTAGCCGTAAGGAAATTATTCAAGTGTCGACAATGCAATGAACTTTTCCCCACTAAATCGACGCTGTTCCATCATAAAAGAAGGAAACATGTTGCTACTGGTATTTGCAATATATGTGGATTGAAAACACGTGCCGATAACCTGAGAAAGCATATAAAACTACACTCGGAAGGACCGTGCAAGTGTGAGCAGTGCGGGAGAATGTTGAAGAATTCAGAATCGTTAAGAACACACAGATTGTTACATCTCGAAGGAAGTTATACTTGCGAAATTTGTGGAAAAACGTTTAAGTTGAAAAATGAACACACAAGACATTTAAAGAGGCATCAAAGTATGTATATTTATATAGGTAGTCAAAGATAAATGTCTATTAAATATTTAATTTTATAGATCCGGACTATTCCAAAATGACTTGTCCCCTTTGTGGAAAAAAAGTGCACGACAGAAGGAAGCACATGCTCACTCATACGGGGGAAAGGCCATATAATTGTGGATATTGTCAAAAAGACTTCAGCACGTCGTTTGCCTTGAAAGTTCACACGAGGCAGCACACGAACGAAAGACCATATGCTTGTACATATTGTAACTGTTCCTTTACACAAAAAGTATCATTAATGACACACTTAAAAAGCAAACATAGATAATATTCGTTGTAAATAACATTCTTAATTTATACCTATGTTCCTTAATCACATGCTAATATTTAAGGGGGTGATTCTTGGATCTATTTTAAGAAAAAAAAAATATTTCATATGAATTTTGTTCTAAACATCTTAAGTTTTGAGATACTGGGTGATAAAAACTTTCATAACTCTGATGTTATTAGATATTTTTATGATATTTGACGCACGTCTTCTATGCATAAAAATGATTTTTTTGATGTTTGTAGAAGTAAAATGACATTAATTTGTTTAAGCAAAAAATATGGGTTGGAAGAAAAAAATCAAGGTGCCTATAAGAATTGTTTAAAAATAAATGAAGATATTGAAAAGAATGTTTACTTTAAAAGAAGTCAGTGGCGTACAATTTGTTTTCTTCGAAAATATTCAATATAAAACCCGTACGGACGCCACTGGTTGAAATAAATAAAATTATTTGTTTCTTCAACACAGGCACTTTGATGCATAAAAGACGTGTATCAAACTTCATAAAGATGTGTATAATAACATCAGAGTTATTAAAAAAATTGAAAATTTTACTTGTATCTCAAAAGTTAAGATATTTATTAGGTCCAAAAATCGCCCCCTTAAATATTAGCATGTTATTAACGAACACCCTGTATAGGTAGAAAAAATTATTCCAGCAATGTACAGTTTTAAAATTATAACATTACCAAAATCAGTACTTAGTTACTTCTATTGTTACTATTCAATTCATATAGTACTTATCCATAGAGATAGTATATTAGAATTTGTATAACTGTCATCCTTCATAATTATTGTATATGTCGTAGTCTCATAGTGTATTCCGTCTTTTCATGAAGAGCCTAGTCACTTAATGAAAAAAATTAACCTAATAACATAACTAAACTGCTATCCCAACCGACGCTTCATGAAGTGAACTAGGATCTTCATGAAAAGACGGAATACACTATGAGACTATGACATATATAAATTTAAAAGGTATCGAATGCGTAAAAAACGGTGTCACAGGTCAAAAATAATTTCTGCTAAGCTGACCCCTAAATTTAATTTATTAAAAATTGAAAAAACTTGTGAAAAATTAATATTTAATTTTGAAACATGTAAAAAGGTTCTGGACAAATCTATTGACAAAAAATACGGGGTCGACCTGACCGAAATTATAGTCAAATGTCATTTGAAAGGTCATCGTAACACCACTTTTTTTCAATTGTTCGGTACCTAGAACAATTTTAGAAGAAACGTGTATAGGCTTCAAGCAAAACTGTTAATTTTAATTGATAATAAAATTATGCTACTTTTTATTGTTTATCGTAGAATTTCACTGCAAAATAAATTATTATATTCATTCAAAACTAGTGTTAATACATTAAATCAGATTAATAATTGATTAATCTAGTTTAATTAAAGATATACCTAATTTTAAGCCCCGTATAGACATAACGTTCTATCTGTCAGGTAAGACGGATTATAGACTAGTGTACACACTGGAAGTTTTAACTGTGCTTTGATCTATTATAGCATTGTGAATATAGTGAAATTGTAAAAAAAACATGGAATTTTACTATAAAGCTTCATTCGGAACCTCGCAATTAGTGGTTTCAATTACACTATATACATTTTAGTTTACGATCATTCACAATGTCTAAAAAACACAATTAAAATTAATAGAACAACAGCTTGCGGTGTAATCAGTTGTATCCATAGAGAAAGCCTAATATTTAGCTTATGACACAATAAACTTTAGATTTCTAACTTGCCTCTGTTCTAACCACATTCCTCTTGACTATGGAGTGTACTCTTGAGATGAAAATCAAAAGCCAAGAATGAAGCAAATTTTGAAGTATAATTAGTGGAAAACTTGAAAGTTTGTTAACTATTTCCACTTCCACTAATTGAAAATTCCTACCACTAATTTTGACGTTCTGAATGCTTATATTCAAAGTAATGAATGAAGCTTAGTGTATTTATTCTTTAAATTTAATTAACTGTAGATATAATTTTTCAGAAGTTAGTTGGAATAGATGGGACTATTAAAATTATGTCTAAACAATTTTTTTATGAAATTGCATTAAATTAAACGTTGCAAAAACTATGCAAAAATATTAGATTATTAAAAAATTATAATCCATATTATTTTTTGTAAGTTCACATATGGATCATACCAAATAAACTTTTAGTCACGTGATTAAGCTTGACCGACACAGCGTTGCCCAATTTACGTATTTTCTTTTAATCAAAATATTTTAGGAAACAAACAGTTATTATTTACATCAACAAGACTCACCTCTTTAACAGCACTTAAGGGGACATAAAGGATCATTACTTCCCGTTCAAAATATTCTAATAAGGTTACAATCAGTTTTTTGCAACGCCTATTAAGCTATCTTGTACACTTCGCACTAAAAGAGGTTTTAAAAAGAACAGCTTTCGACTGCAAGATCTGCTAGTAAAAAATTTTGAGCTTAAAGTTTCACAACACAATTGTCTTAAACCAAAAATTCGTAATTCAAAACTAAAGTGTCAAACGAATCAAAATGTCAGGAAAATTTAAATTCCAGTTGTCGGCCCGGCGCCGAATATGTCTATGACAGGCAACAATGAATTTATTACCGCGCAATCGATAACGTAACTAAAAGTTTATTTGGTATCGCTTATATATTTTTTTCAGTGTAGCCTGTACAACTGAAAAATGCATGATCCCTTTAGTTCTCAGACGGTCTCTGTCTTAATCAGTTCAAGTCAAACGGACAATTTTGTTTGTCTGCGTACAGGTAAGACTGACAGATAAAACGTTAATAGATGTAGCATGGGCTTTAAACAAGGACAAATAAAAAAATAAGACATTTTAGTGAACAATGACATTTATTTATAGAGTTATTTGGTTCCATAAATTGGTGTTGAATACAATCAATTATAAATCTACATTAAATAGAGGCTTTCATAAAAAACATCTGTTTTTTAAATGGAAGGAAACCAAAAACATTGCACATCATTAGAGAAGAATAAAAATCAAATTTTTATAAGAGGTAATTAAAAAAGTCAATTAAATGAGATCTAAAACTGTCTTCCGAAAAATAATTTTAAAATTGTAATAATCAGATTTATAAAAAGTATTATATTTCTATTAAACCCATAGTATTTCAATAAATAGGAATCGACTAAAAAAGGTATGTTATAATTAAAAAACAATATTTTCAATGGTTAATACAGTTTTTTTATCTATAATCAAAGAATGTTGCATGCACATGGTTACAAAGAAAATTTGAGAAAATATTAAATTAACGGATTTTTTTAACGAACACTTTTTCTACCAAACTATATCATGAATTCATATGTTTTTCAATGCGCAATTACCGTAAATAGGAATTTCTTTTATCCAGAGTATCAAAGTTCTAATTTCTACAAAAGATTGAACAACATTTGTAAGACATAAACACACAATTTTAAGTTCAAAAAAAAAATAATAAGGCGAATATAATAAAAATTCAATTTACATAAATTGACTAATTGCAAGTCACTTTTTCAAAAATAACACAAAGGAATAGATTTATAAATTAAATCAAAGTCAAAAATCAGTTTTTACAATATGTGGAAAAGTACTATAAACTATACAGTAAACATATTTCTTTTTTTTTCATTCCCAAAGTTAGTTTAAAAAAATCAAATTCAAAAAATAGTACACTACAACATTGTACCTACCTTTTTTTAGTCAATTTTTTTAATAGTTACAAAAATTAGACAAATTTTGATCAAAAGAACGATGTTAACCGTCTACTACTAAGGTGTTCTACTAGTACAAATAAAACAATTTCCTATGCACGACATTAAACAGCTCAAAACTGACAGTCCTTCAAAAAATGAGATTTATTGTCATAGTATTCTCATAATCTCACCCGGTATAATTGTCGTGATTTGCACTGCAATAATCGTTGGTTTTATATCAGTAGAAAACTATAACGTGCCTCGGAAATTCTTTTGACTATAGTATTATATTACAACTAAAGTATTTACTTCGGAAAGTTATAGCATATCAGGAGAGTATACCTCGCTGGGAGTATAAATTCAAAGCCGCCGGCCGTGAGACACGATCTAGCGAGATGAAAAGTGTTAAGAATCGCACGATCACGCAAACACCGAAAAACATTTGATTTAAAGCTAAGAAAGTCATTATAATAAGCTTGATACTATACTGTGTCCAGTATCCTCTGGTGGTGTGCTAGGAAGTAAATTTTCATGCATATTTTCATCGATAGGTTTGTAGATTCTGAATAACGGTCTAGGTAAAGCATCTAGCTCATTTGCTAGCGCAGAATTAAAATTATTTAGAGTTAAGCAACTCGCATTTTCATTGGAGGACGTTGTCATATTTATTTCAAACCAATGGTCAACAAAAATATTCGTAGAATTTAAAAAAATTACTGTAAACCACTATAAATCCGAACTATTGGTTAGGTTCAAAATTTTTTCTCTTCTTAAATAAATTTAAACGTTAACATTATTAGGCATTTGCGTAAAAGTGTGTATTTTGGGTGGTATTCCACAAAATTTGCAGGCTAGTGAGGAAACAGAAAATGTACAGATTACAGAAGTAAATTTTAAATAATATTTATATTAAAACAGCATTATATTATGTCATTTTCAACATGTCCTTCAAATCCTCCAATTTGATAAGTCAGTAAGAAGTTTCACTTCAAATATGCGCACATAGTACACACACCGTTTTTTTTTATTAAATAGTTAATTTTTAAACAAAATGTTTAAAATACAACAACCCCGCCCTATATTATCCACGGACGTGAGTTAGGTAATTCTGTGACGACGGTTGTGATTGGTAAACTCTCCTGTTATGAAAAAACCATCCGTAAGTAATCGCTTTAACTATAAATTATTATAATATAAATGATTCTTTATAAAAGCCAGTAGATATCTGGTTTAGGACAATCCTACAGGAATATACGGTACCTAGTAACGTTGTCTCCTATCCGACCTTCTCCTCTTGCTACCGCCTCCGTAATCGTCGCTGTACCTCCTCGACGATCTGTACGATGAGCGGCGACCGCCGCCGTAATCCCTGTCGCGATCCCTGTAGCCTCTCCTGTCCCTTCCGTAACTAAAAAGCATACCAATTTAACCATACAACAGAGACCACCCAGACCATTTTAGCGGCATCATCGTGGCGTCGCGTCGTCATGGTGATCGTCAGTTTTCGTGAGATAGAGACAGAGAGAGCGATAGAGCAACCATATCAATTGACATTCCATCTGACCGCGCGGTTCGACAGACCAACCCATTCACGTGATACCAAAGTTCACTGCACTGACTGATACCATATCAACCAAACGTTTTTTAACCCATACTATGAATAACCAAACCATACAAACTAATACCATGTGCCTGACAAATCACAAAACAACAATTAGGTGATTATTTCAAATGGACCGGCGAGATAAATGTCTGTGTGTGTGTGTGTGATAATAAGCGTTTTTTAATTAGAACATAACACACATTGCGGTGATAATGGAATATGTATAATATATGATCCATTGAAGAAGATAGATATTATTACAGCGTCTTATTTTATCAAAACGTTAAAAGTGTTTAATAGAAGTGCCTGCTAAAAAAATTCAAGTGTTCTTGTACTTATTTTATGCTAATTAGTAGAATTAATAACATTTTAAGAAACTAAAAATCTATAATCTGGTGTTTTAGAATTCCCAATTCACGTATAAATCAAAATATATCTTGAATATTCAAAAAAGCCTGCATAACGTGTACAGTTAAGAAATGTAGAGAATGTTCAGCCACCATTGAAGGTGACGTCATATATTGTCGAACTCTCTCAAGCACTTGTCAACCAGATGAAAAACATTGGTGACGTGATTACGGCATTTCGTAAATTACTGCATATATTCTTTTTAGCAATGACTAAAGAATATAACGACATGTAACGCCCATTGGGCTGCAGCAGAATTTGTGACTTTAGACGCCGGACTTTAGATCGGCAGGTCACCAGCGACAATTTTAGCGATTTTTAATAGTTTGTGTGTAGTAAGCTTTGTATAAACTTTATTACAATGGCGATTAGTTGTTCAGCTTTCAAGTGTAAAAGCCGCAGCGATAAAAAAGAGTCGGGAGTTACGTTTCATAGGTAAATAAACAGTCCGCTCCACCTTTTTAACGTTTTCTTAGCTTTCTGATTGAATTCAATAGTTATTTTTCTGATATTATATGTACTTGGTGTGCGCTATAGGGCGATACTAGTTTTGTACCTTTTGTTAACATTTTAATACGATTTTTTCGTAATTAATTAGTATGATGCCATCGCCTACACCATAGGCGTAGTTAAAATATTTATCAAAAAAATAATTATCCCTTCAAGTTAAGAAAAATATATGACCACGGCACTGTTTGGTGCCATGGTAACAATGTGGTCTGGGGTGTTATTTGTCCTTGACTTCTTTAGTCATTGCTTTTTAGTAATTGTCATTGTCATTTGATTTGGGGTTATAATTTTATTGACGAACATTGATCAATGTCAAAATTAAAATTTCATTATTGTGGCTGTAAAAAATCATTCTTTTAAACATTTTTTTTTATTTCAAAAATGCCTCAAACATTTAACCAAAATGGACTAGAGCTCATTGCTAAGCTTATAAATATTTTTTCTCGAGAAAGAGACGCTGGTAGAACACTCTTGCCCGTGGACGCCGTATATGAAGTAAATACAACGCAAAGCTGTAATATTTTATGTAAAGTACAAATTGTTGATAGCGTTTTTAAATAATATAGCGAGTTGCTGATGCTTTATATATAGGAATTTGAACAGTCCAAAGGATTGGAATTAACGGGATTGAAACTGAAGAAGAGTTCAAGAAAAAAAAATGCCGAAAAAAAACGGAACTCGCTCTATCAAAATATAGGAACGTACTTTAAAAGTTTCAAATAAATATGAACTGATTTCAGACACACCCTAAAACTCATATTTGACAAATAATCATGACGTAACGGTGAAGGACGAACCGTGAATCTATCGAGTTCATACGTCAAAAATAATTAAATTTTTGTTTGATGTATGTTCTATAAAAAAGTTAAAACCAAAAAAAAAGTTTAATATTAATTGCGGAATTACGTTGTCTACGTAACCAGGTTTAAACATATTCATCAATCCAAAGTAATTATCATCAATTTGACTTGATAATACACGAAATGTCGATAAAAATTTCCGTAATAAAATTGAAAGTTAAATCGTTAATTTAACAGACAGCTTTTGTGATATCCTTGGAGAAATTCCTATATCTTCTTCAATGGAACTAATATAATCGGAAAATTTAACAAAGACAGTGAAGTTAAAAAATATCTCAGAACGTCTAAAAAAACAAAAAAATGAGAATATTGCATTCTTCATAAAAATATTTGCTTGTTAAAATAAAATGGTTACTGTAGTTTATACTTTTTAAAATTTCCATATCGTTTTAGAGAAAATTAAAAAAAACATGAAAATATAGTTGAATTTTGTTTCTAAAATTCAAAAGACATTTCTATGGTAATATTTCGTTTTCATTCTTTGAAAAATTGTTATTGATGAAATTTTAATTAGCGTCATATTTTTGTAGTTCTAAAACGTTAAAGAATCACAAAATTTATTTAGTTCAATGCAAAGGAAAGTGTGATAAGAGTTATCGGAAAATGTGATACATCAAAAAAAATTAACAATAACTCTTTATCAAAGAATGTAATCTATCATATAACGTTGTTAATTTTTAGGATTTTTAGGGCTTCAAAATCAAGTATATTTTCATGTTTTTTTAATCTTCTCTAAAATGGTAGGAAATTTGGAAAAGTCTAAACGGGACTAACCATTTTAGAACAAGCAAAAATGTTTATAAAGACTGCATTTTTGTCAAAATGTCTATAATAAAAAGTTTACCCTCTTGTAAAGACACTCTGGAAACATATTGTATATGTTGGCTAATATACAGGGTGGTCCGAACTGTATTCCGGAAACTTCGGCAGCATATTCTGCAGATAAAAATAAGTAAAAAAGTTCGTATAAATGTATGTCCTAAAATTCTCAGTTTCGGAGATACAGGGTGTAGAAGTTTCATTTTTATTTAGATTTTTTCCAAATAATTTCGGAAGTAACGTCAATATTTGATGAAAATTGGTGTCTATGAGTTTTTTGACATGAGAAATTTGATTTTGATATCATTATGACTCCTACTGGTAGAGGGCGCCATCTACATGTGTTTTAACTGCGGTTTGAAGCGTAATAACTTTTTGTCCGTACCTGTATAAAACTACCGAGGGAAAAAATATACATCTCTGTGACTTTCTACGTAAAAAATATTTCTTTGTAAAAATTCCTACGAGCAACCATTCTCAAGATATTTAGAATGGAAATAGTCAATACATGTCATTATTGACGAAAAACACGTTGAGTAGTAGGTAGTAGTTATGAAATAATAAATTTGATAAATTTTTGTTTTTTTAAATTAACCATAAATTTTTCTGCAAAAAAATTATGATAAAACGGTTTCTGTTGAACTTTTGGCACAAAAACTTTCAAATTTATGATCTCAGTCTAATAACTATTTAGTTAACATGTTTAATTTATGTCAATAATGACAGATATTGATAATTTCGATTCCAAATATCTCGAAAACCAATACTCGTAGCGATTTTTACCAAGAGACATTTTTTACGTAAAAAACGTTGTAAATGTATATCTTTTTACTCAGTAGTATTATACAGATACGGACACCAGTTAAAAAATATGTAGGTGGCGCCCTCTACTAGTAGGAGTCATATTGACATCAAAATCAAATTTCTTATGTCAAAAAACTCCTAGACACCATTTTTCATCCAAACATTGACGTTACTTCAGAAGTTATTTGGAAAAAATCGAAATAAAAATGAAACTGCTACACCCTCTATCACTGAAACTAAGCATTTTAGGACATACATTTATACAAACTTTTTTACTTATTTTTATCTGCAGAATATGCTGCCGAAATTTCCGGAATACAGTTCGGACCACCCTGTATAAACAAAAATAAATTGAATTGTTATTCCTATAGTTATATTACACTATAATTATAACTAACCAATTTTGTTTAAAAAAAACTTAATTACAAGTCTGACACGTAACAATTTTAAAGTCACCTTTGTCAAACCTTCCGATTTTTAGTGACAATGCGATGGTATAAATTATTATTATTAGATTAACTGTACCGACAGTCGTTTGCTAATTAAAAATGAATTCAATGGGAAATCCTAAAAGTTGAGCAATATTTAGGTTGTCGTTTTTAAATAATATACCAGAAAAACCTAAAAAATTACTAAAAAAATTGATAGAAATAGTCAAATCGCACCACCAACTCGAGACAGACGTTTTAAGTTTTAAAAGAAAAAATAATATAACTGAATCAGTATTATGCCTAACTTTGGCCTTGTTTAATATATTTTGAAAGAATATACCGTATGATTGAATTAAAATGACATCACAGCATAGCCAAGACACTCAAATGTTAAAACAGCAAAGAAAGGACAAGAATTTTAGCAATATAACCTCATAATGTTGGAACTAAAATATTATCTTCATGCCTATTGTGGTGTCGTTTATATTCGATCACACGGTATTCTTCTTTTTAACCAATTCAATTATAGTATGCCACTAATCTTTTTTTTATTAATAATGAATACTGAAGTTAATATAATGCTTTTGAAAATATTTTGGAACAGATTAATTTTAGTTGCCCTATCTAGAAAATTATATTCAAGAAGTCATTGAATTTAAGTATTGTCTAAAGCTACTGATTAAGGGCTCGAACTCACTGTCGACCAGGTCGCAACGACCTGGCGGCTGTCGGCTGGCCGGATGTATTGCATTTATAGCTGCGGCCAGATGAACGACCAGTTTCAACAGAGTTGTCAGATCTAACGATTTTTTACGTTTTACCAATTAGAAAATATTGTTTCAGAAAGAATTAAGTTTCAGAAATGTTAAAATATCCGAGTTAACTAAAAAGCGAAGTTGCTATTCATGAGCTTATTAAATGTTATAATATTAAATAATGCATTTAAAATATTCTTGAATGCCTCTTATCGACTTTAGAAGTAAACATATTAGGGCCATCGTAAAAAGAGGTCGTCAGACACTGGCTCTAAATATAAGCAGGTAGAAAGTTTAGCTTCCAGTTATTTCAATGTTTACAATATACATTCCTCTATTTTATTGTTACTGAGAATCTACAACAGTAAATACTTCTATTTTTATGAATGTTTAAGTTACTTTTACTCTTAATTTTTTTAAAAAATAATGTACCTAGTAGAAATATAGTCTAATGGACCTTGTTTGGAAAACGTTAAATTAAATATAATATTTAAAATACAGTTGTCCTCCTTGTACAGGACTACAATACAACTAAAAAAAATAATTTAATAAAAAAAACAAGTGGTTGTAGGAAAGCTTTAAATATGATTTTTTTATTTTTTAACATCGAAACTTGAAGGTATAATAACAGGTATTATACCAACCATAAATAAAGTATGTCATATAAAAATGTTTTGAATTTTTACTAGAGTCCACATTGATAAAAAAAGGGACCAGATTTAAGTTTCTCTTTGATCCAGTCTGTATCTTTGGATTTTCTGCACGCGTGCAAAAACTACACTAAAACACTATATCTTATAGAAAATAAAATATTGTGCGTTGAATTTGAGGGATTTCATCTGAAAAATTATTAATTTGGAAGAAAACCGGCAACAAGCGGCAGGAAATAATAATATTTTAGTGCAGTCTACTGGTCGCAACAACCAACGGACAGCCAGGACGTTAGTGTGGGCGGTATCATTTGATTTAATGATTTTGAGTTAGCAGCGGCCTGGCCGGTGCGACCTGGTCGTCAGTGTGTTCGAGCCCTAACCCTACCTATTATTATATATATTATATTGTATAAATATTAAAAAATGTCACAAAATTAAAAAAAAATATTTTTTCTCTAAAATTATTCTTTAATAAATTAATAAAAATGATTTACATCGTTATTAGCTCCAAGCTATTTGTTTCTCTTGTGTACATTGTTCATTATTTATTCAAATCCATTGCCTTACTTAATCTTTATCTAAATTTGCAATCAATAAATTCCCAAGATAAAAAATAAATTTATAAATAAAAGATAGAAATTTTAATACTTTATAAAATCCACTTTATCTTTACTTAAATATTAAAATCGAGAAATTTTCAATAAAAAGCATAACGACCTCCTTCAAGACAAGTAACAACATCTTATAAAACTTATAAATAGCCCCATTAATTTCAATAAAAACAAAATTGTTCCAAAAACAATGTCATTATCTTGCCTGTAATTAAAAATCGGTGATATGTTGGAAACTTGTTTGCTTTGAACAGTTCTAAATTAGTTCAAAATATCGGTTGATCTGGAAGAACCAGAAGCACAGTAGATTTATATAGGCAGAATATATTAAAAGATGACCTTTGCTTTGTTGCTCTAATTGTTTAAACAAACAGAACATAATTAATTAAATTGACTCCAGCCTGTATTATCATGTTTATTTTCGACGCATTGCCTCGCTTGTAAAAGCAATTTTATCGTTTAAATTTACAGCAACAGTTCTATTTGAAGGCTCTGAATATTTATTAAGCACACTTAAAGTGAATTGTTCAAAAATAAGTTTCAGAATAATTGCCTAATAGTGTTGTTAAGTGTTAAAAACAGTTAATAATGGACGAAGATTACAGCGACGATAACGAGAATAAAGTTATTTACAAAAGCTTTTCTTTTTATGGTAAGTATAGCTAAATAATTCATTTATCAGACTCTTATTGACACTTTTAACTACTAACTAAACATTTTCCAATAAAAAAAAGATTGTGGTATAAATAGTATTGCATTAATAAACAAATATTTCATGACAATAAAAAATGATACTTACCGATCTTTACGGTCACTCCCTCCAGTAATTTCAGGGCAGTCTCTGTAGAAATGTCCAGAATATCCGCACTGATAACACCTCATGTTATTGGAAAAATAACGTCTTCCTTTACCCCTGGTCCTCGGTCTTGCATAACTCACTCTAATGCGACATCCAGCCACCTCCCTAGAATTTAAAGTTTATCAGAACCAACATAGAGGTATTTTAGAGACAACTTACGCTCCATCAGTAGCCTTCAAAGCCGCGGCAGCGTCTTTCTTGCTTTTGAAGACGGCAAAACCGAAACACGGGGTGCTGTTTGTCATCCATACCTCTTGCAGTTCGCCGAAGGGCGCAAAAACCTTTTCCAGGTCGCTTTTTCTGACATCGTCGCCTAAGAAGTTTACAGTTCGTATTGTGTATTAGTTTTTAACGTTATTCTTACCAATATCAGCAATATGTAAACGATATCCATCGATATCGCTGCTGCGACTTCGCGATCGAGACCGACTTAATGAAGAGGAACTGGGACTTCTCGATCTACTCTTTTTACTGCCGCTACTCAAAGACCGACTACGACTTTTCGATTTTGATTTAGCAGGACTATCCATTATCTATAATATTCAATATTACAGAAAAGCTATGCAAAAATTTTGAAAAATCAAAATATGAATACCTTACCACAAAATCACCCAAATCCAAACAGAAAGTTTATTCTATTATAGGGCAAGTAATTGAATTATATCTAACACACTTTCAAGGCTTCTTCAATCGATTTTAACAAATATATTTATTAAAACGTATTATCATCACCCAAAGAAACCAACATAATGACGTTTCAAAACAAAATGGCCGTATTTTCTCTTCTTCTTTTTGAAATCATTGGTTTAAACTGTTTTAAATTCTAGATCATATGCATATACATATAAAATGTATATGATGATATGAATCAAACTAAGGTCATATTAGTATAAATGTCGTAGCCGAATAGCCCTGGCAGCTCAGGCCGTCTAATTAAAATGTTTGTTTGCAACTTCAGACTAATATAGTTGTCAAATTTTTAATATGTCCTAAATAAAAAGCCCTTTAAGATTTTCAAAGTTAGTTTTAAAAAGTAAACAAGTTAAATTATAATGGGTAATGCAGGCAGTGCAGGACCGACAAGGGATAGACAAAAATTTGGTGAGACTGCACCGTCATCACCTGCGAAGGAAGGACAAGCTTTTACTTTTGATAGGACACCTGACAAATTGGGATACCAGACGTCTCAGGACGATGAGGAGCCTTATTTTACAAAACCGGCAGAAGGATATAATAGGCCCCGAGCTAATACAGGTAATAAAAACGTTTGCGATAGACAAAGATTGTTTTTAATGCAATTTTTTTTTAGTTTCCGAAGGCACTACAATTACGAGCAGTACAACTACTAATTCAAAAACGCCAACAGTTTTTCGTTGGGAAGGTAATGTTAGGTTTCAGTTAATTATTTTTTAACAGATTTGACTGTTGTCTTTCATTTTTAGGTGGTGGAAAAGATGTTTGCATTTCAGGCACGTTTAGTAACTGGGAAAAAATTCCAATGGTAAAAAGTCATGGAGACTTTGTTACCATTGTTGATTTGTCAGAAGGAGAACATCAGTACAGATATTGCGTGGACGGTGAATGGAAAAATGATCCTCATAACAAAACTGTTGATACAAATGGTAACTGTTTTGCATGTTTCAAAATAAGCTTTTTTTAATCTTACTGATAATTTTTAGGTGATAAGAATAATTCAATCACTGTTAAGAAGTCAGATTTTGAAGTATTTCAAGCTTTAGCAAAAGATCAGGAGAGCGCTAAAGATGATGCACAGAAGGAGTTTTCCCAAGAAATTCCTGCATATAAACCATGGGAGAAGAATAGCGGACCACCTATCTTGCCACCTCATTTACTTCAAGTCATTTTAAATAAGGATACTCCACTTTCAGTAAGTTTATATAGTAACCAGGACTCGTTTACAATTTTGTAGTAAGTAAACAGTAACAATTTAAATTTTAGTGCGAACCTACCCTTCTACCTGAACCAAATCACGTGATGTTGAATCATTTGTATGCTCTTTCAATCAAGGATGGTGTTATGGTGCTCAGCGCTACACATAGGTATCGCAAGAAGTATGTCACCACACTTTTGTATAAACCTATTTAAATTATTTCTACTCTCTGTAGTAAGATGAATCTTTGGTTTGTTTTTGTATTATTTTCTCTAATAGGATGTATTAAATGTTAATAAAATATCAAATTTGTATTATAAAAAATGAAATAATGTTCTGGTACCATATAGTGATGAAAAATTGTTGACAATATTATTTAATATAAAAAATGTATTCATTATTAATACTGGTGCCCATATCTTCTTAATCTTAAATTCATATGAAGATAAAATAGAATTTAAAACTGTGTATTATAGAATAGATAAAGGTTTTAATTTATTTTAATATTATATGAGCTGTGTCATTTAATTGTAAATAACATGAAATATATTTTTAACTGTTTTTACATTTTTTTTACTTTACATGAAAAACCCAGTTAAATAAAAAAATGTTTATTTTTACAACAAACAAAATACAAGAAAAAAAATATATCTTTAAAAACAGTAATACTTCATAAAAATCGTTGAGATTAATTTTGAGATAAAATAAAACCAGGCAATTAAAAATATGTCCCAAGAAAGTCTAAAATACTTAATGCTATATTTATAAAAAAAATTAATATTAAAGTTCTGGTTTTAAATCTGTAAAGTATGAGTTGTACAATATTTGAGTGAACATTAACTAAACAGACTATATAACAAAGATGCTCTGTAAATTCGAAATTACTGTAAAATAATATATTTTTGCGAAATACTTCTTTTATGGTTGAAACCTCAAATCTAATGTTCAAACTCATATTTTGGATTTGAATAAGAATATAATGGCGCGAAAAATACAGGACCGGACTAAAAAAATAAATTAAAAACGATTGCTAATTATTAAACATAAAAGATGATTGTGACATAGTAGATTTTAGTTATACTGGCCAGAATAGTAGTTATTAATACTCTATAAGACATATGTACATAAATAAGAGTCAGGTTTATTGTAGACTTTACTGTATCTGCAATTATTTAAAGTGAAATAAACGTTTCTCCGCCATATTTCCTAATTGCTCAGGCTTAAAAATTTAAAATAATATATAACATTTTAACAGAATTGGCAAGAAAACTATATGCACTATCTCCTAGGTGTAGGTGGTCCCTCTTCTAATTTTCTCCAAACCACCTGAAAATGTTGATAAAATTAATTATACAGTAAAGAAAAAATTCGAAAAAATCCTGATGAGTTAATTCTAAAATTGGGTAAAAATAAGGTTTAAATGCTGCTCATACAGGTAAAGCTAATAGAAGTGTACCAAAAAATAATTACAGGAAGAATATATAAGGGTTCTATAAATAGTTCTCTTACATTACACATTTCCCATAGGAGGGCTTTTTGTCCATCGTCAAGATCTTGCTGGTTGGGTGCTTCTTGTCCACTTTCACCTCTTTCTGGCGACCTAGTTTCTCTTTCCAATTGTTCCCGTACTTCAAGAACCTAAAAACAATTACGTTTACTTTCACCTTGTATATTATACAGGGTGTCTCTAAAATAAATGCAAAATAATAATACTATATAAATAATAATACCACAATAATACTATATGCAAAATAATAATACTATATAACATTATACCGTATGATCGAATAAAAACGGTGTCAACGATGGCTATGAAATGAAGATCGCTGTCATTTTATACGTAAAATTATATGGGAAATGTCATCGATCGTCATTTCCAAGCCAACTGGACGCCGTTTTTTTTCGATCATACGGTTAATCCATTTCATCAATCATTTGTTATCCAGTAGTCTGAAATAAATGCAAAATAATAATACTAGATAACATAGTATGTTATACTATGTTATCTAGTATTATTATCTGTGATTTCGAGATTCCAGAGGTTTTTACAGCAAAATATTAAAAATGTTACATTTCTGTTAATTTTAATAATCTTGGTGTAGATCTAGCACTCCTTAAACTTACACATATTCATATACTGGTTGACAATTTAAAATCTAGGAGTATTATCACTTTTACTCAATTGCTACTTCTAAAACTATCACCATGTCTAAGTAATTTGAAATACATAGTTACCTGAAGAGCTCTAACAACTGCTTCTGGTCGTCCACTCAGACCTCCAACCGGAGCATCCGGAGGTACTGCTATACTTGGATCTCCGGTACTAGCAGCTACTTGATTAATTTTATGTGTCAAAGACCGCTTATCCTCCTCCAATTGCTTGACCCTCTGTTCCAAGCTTCTTACGTATTGCATTATTTGATCTATACAAATAATTTCAGCTTAGAGACAAAAATAAAATCAATCATAACAAAAAGAAGCTAGGGAACAACTAAGGAAGTATTTATCCTCTTTATAGATATTCAAGTCAAGGGTAGTAACGTAAGTAAGGTAAGACAACGAAATTTCGACATATCAGTTTACTAGGACTAAAATACCTTTAAAAATACCTTTTAGTTACACCTCTGCTTTAATAGTGGGAAATCTAAGATCATTTTTCTGGCATTCCTATAGAAAAAGGTCATAATGTATGGGCTTTTAAAACATGGTTTATCTACCTGGGATATTTATGAGGTAATAAAAAAAAATCAACAGATAGCTACGTAGGTATTTTCCCACAGAGCCAATACTTTTAAGACTTATATACAGGGGGGCCCATTTTATAGCAGCAGGATTTTCAAAGACGATATAGAAAAAAAATCAAAAGTTTATCAAATTCAAATCCTTTTAGTATTTTTTCGCATTTTATTCAAAATTACACCACTTTATTAGAAGTTCCCTGTATACATACGCAAACGCATACGATACGTAAACTTATAGATTTTGGTTAGCTTCCTGGTATGTATTGCAATACTATACACAAACAAAATCAGAAGAGTTTAATGTAGAAAAAAAATTGGCTTTTTTTTTAAATTTTTAACCCCCTCCCATACCCCCTTATTAATTATAATAAGTTAATATTAATTAGGGTTAATATTAATATTAATACCCCACCCCCACCAAAAACTAATGGCCAGATTCTCGGGTGCCACAGTATTTTTGTGCCAAATTTGGTTAAAATTGGTTTAGCGGTTTTTGAATTATCGTGTTACAGACGGACAGACAGACAGACACCATGAAAATATTTTGTATTTAGGTCATTTATGACCCAAATAACTCATTTTGAGTAAAATTAAACAAACTTTTTTTTTTGCCGATCTTAATAGCCTACCATACCTGTTGGTATGGTCGGCTAAAAAAATCTATTCAATACATAAATAAAAAAATAAGCATATCCATATATAGGATATCTCTTAAATAAGTGTAAGTATTTTAAAGGGTTGAAATTATTTTTTTATGGAGTCGCAGAAAATGTCAAGAAAAAAGTAAATAAATTTAAAAAGATATGGTCATCTTCCTGGGAGACGACTAGAGACACCCTATATACATAAGAATAGGCATATATTTACTGGTTTATGTCCATACAAATAAGTCTTGCGAATTCAAAACCATATTATTTACGCTATTATATGTTATTTCCGCTACAATAAACATATTTGCTTTGAATAACAAGGAAGAATGCCTTGCACTTGAATTTTTAATTCCAAAAATACATTAACAAAAATTGTGTAAACCGTTATGAAGAAAAAACATATTTACATACAATATTCGATTCTGATTTAAAATTTCTTGTTTGAATTCTATGCTGGGATATGTATTATAATAAAGTTATGATTAAAAACAATTAGCAGATTAGTATTAGTAGATTAGTACAATATATAGATAAAAACTTCTTAACAAGGTCGCGAAATTTTAAATTGCCATCAACTATTTCACCTAGATTCCTAGAATAGCGTACAGAATATAAGTTGTGTATTATTTAAAACAATATGTAAATTATTTTCAAGAAAATGTCTCATTAATTGTGTTTGATTTAAGTATTTTAAAAATCTATTTAGGTACATAATTTATGTTCTCATTTATTGTTTCTTTGTAAGTCTGTAAAATAAATTTGTGCCTCGTATTTAGATTTCTTAACTTAAATATGTTTTTTATAAAATAATTTGAGAAATTTAATTTTGAACTGTTTGAGCTTATTTACACTCTGTATATTAATAATAATAAGTCCGACAATGGGGTTCTTGCGATACTTATTAGGCTGGGGTTTAGCCCATATAGCTACAGGGTGAGTCTTAAATAAGTGCAAATATTTTTAGGGGTAGTATATTTTGACCCCAGAAACACGATTATAAAGATTTTTTCGCGAAATTTGTTTTGAAAATTTGGTAGGTATTTTTTTTAGTTTTTAATTAAAAAACATAATTTCTTGATAATATAAAACCCAGAAAAGATCCAGTGGTTCCCAAAATTTTAGCAAAAAATTTTTTTTTTGGAAATTTTCAGTCATTTCAAGTCAAATAACTCGTTTATTTTGGACTTGTTGAAAATTTTTACAAAAAAAATGGCGCCAGGAGGCACGTATAGCCGCCCATACTAAAATATGTAAATAAAAAGTTAGTAGGCAGTTCTTTTAGTTTCAAAGTAAAGGAATTTTTCCAATTTTGGTCCGCGGTTATTTCCCTTATCCGCCACCTGGGGTCGCGTTCCATGGGAGTTTGGAGTTCTCCACACGGATTTTCTCAAAAACGGACTATGAAAACACGGAATATCTCAAAAACTGCGACTTTGACTGATTTTGATGTTATTACAAATTTTGTTGCAAATATTTTTCCTAATCTTAAATTGAAAACCGCGTTTCGCTAGCTACTGAATTTTGGAGTTACGATTTTTTAAAATTTTTAACCCCCTCCCATATCCCCTTGCCAACCACTCACCCTACCAAAAACTAATTGCCAGATTCTCGGGTGCCACAGTATTTTTGTGCCAAATTTGGTTAAAATCGGTTTAGCGGTTTTTGAGTTATCGTTTTACAGACAGACGGACAGTCAGACAGACAGACAGACACCATGAAAATATTTTGTATTTAAATCATTTATGACCCAAATAACTCATTTTGAGTGAAATTAAAAAAACTTTTTTTTGCCGATCTTAATAGCCTACCATACGTGTTGGTATGGTCGGCTAAAAAATGAGGATCATAAAGTCCAACATAACCCTTCCTTTTCAAATGAAACAATATCTAGCACCTTTAATCAAAGGTTTAACAAAACATGTCGTACATACCGTTGAAGGTACTTCTTTGCCTGGCCAAATTTTCGTGGAGCAATCTTTCCCTGCTAGCCGACCTCCTAGGCCCATTAGGATTGAATTGTTGAGGTACAGCTGGTTCGTCAGCATTGGTACTACTACTAGATCCATCTCCGTCGTCCCTCAGATTCGTTGTGGTGGTACTCGTACCACAAGACGGACAAATTGCATTGCCGCGTTCTTCGTCCAAGTACAAGCAAAGTTCCTTTAGTTCCAAATTGTCTTTTATTAGTTCTTGTTGCTTGTTGTCCAGTTCGCGGAGTTTCGTTTGATAGGCGCTCACCTAAAAAATTGTAATAAATCACACAAATTTGTAGAAAACGCTGCTGCATTTTGCTTAAAATGGTACTAGGCATCATGTTGTAGCTTTTATTTCTATCAATTTGTAGATCTCCAAAACAGTTAAATATGCTTGATTTTATACGAAAATACCAAACAAGTGTGGTAGTAATTCTCTTTAATAGGGTGTTCCTTAAAAAAGACCAAACCTTTTAGTGGATCTGTATAATGTAAATTTAAAAATGTATTTTTACCTTTTGAGAGCCGCCGGATCATTCTTATATTTTCTCTTTTTTTAAATTAAACTCATTACTTATGTTAACAGCATTGGCATAAAAGTGTTTTTACACAACATCTAACTTAAAGGAAAAATGCAACTGTAACATATATACAAGTCCATTTTTAATTAAATTTACATATACAGGGTGGTTAATTAAATTTACATATACAGGTGAACTGTATTCCGGAAACTTCGGCAGCATATTCTGCAGAGAAAAATAAATAAAAAGTTCGAATAAATGTATGTCCTAAAATACTTAGTTTCGGATATACAAGGTGTAGAAATTTCATATTTATGTTGCGGACCCGTACCGTGTGAACTCGGCTTTAGGCTTGGCCACTCGGCTATGACTCATACGCCCACCGACGTTCGAAGAACGCCGCTAAGAATTTTCGAGATATGTCTGGACTGTCTGTTTCTCTCATATATAAGCCGATGCCCGAAACCTGAAGGGGATAGAGATAAATAACCAATCGACGCGTACAGTTACAATCGCGGCGATAATTCAAAATAAATTTCTGTTAGATAAATAATTAGATAAATTGTAAATAAGTTATAAATAGTTCTTTAAGTCTTTAATCGTTATTGTTTTTGTTAATTAGTGTTAAATAAATTGTGTTTAAATAAATTGTGTTTAAATAAATTGTGACTTTCTATCCACACGGAACCGACGAAAAACGTAACAATTGGTGTCAAGTGTGGCGTGTGTGATAGACAAGAAAAATAAAAAGACTGACCATGGCTCTGAAAAAGTTGTTGAAAGACTTGAAAGTGTCCGAACTGAAATGCATATTGGAAGAGAGAGAGTGCGAGACAGATGGAAAGAAAAGCATTTTGCAAGCTAGACTGAGAGACGTTTTGGTGGAGGAAGGTGAGGATCCTGACACATTTTGCTTTGAGTTGGAAGGTGACCTTGACTCGTGCCTACAAAAATTTTAACAATAAAATAACAGAGATTGAGGAAGATGTAAATAGAAAAATCGAAATTTTGAAAGAACAAATAGCAAAGGCAAATTCACCAAAATGTCAAAAAATATCGAAGAAGGTTAAAACAACACAATGGCGACTACGTACTGCTACGGGGGGCTCCGCTGCTGTCCATGGAGAAGTAAACCTTAATTTTGTTATTGGGAGCACCAGTTTTGAACATCCAGTATTAGTAGCAGATATCGAAGATGAACTTATTCTCGGAATGGACATTATGACCACTAAAGGTTTTGAACTAAACTTCAAACAGGGAATTTTGAAAATAAATGAAGAAGTGGTTCTACATCAAATACGTTTTAATTAAATAAATACAATCAAATACGTTTTAATTATACAAATACATTTTATTAAAACGTATTTGTTCTACATCGAAAATGTGAGGAGACGCTTCGCGTGGTGGTAGCAGAAGATGTTTTGATCCCTGAGCGCTGTGAGATATTTTTGGATGGTTGCCTAGAAGGTAAAATAAATAATGGGAGTATTATTCTGTTGGAGCCAAGGAACCATGACAGCGAAATAGGACGAGGGATCGCTGTTGGAAAAGCCCTGCTGCGAGCGAAGAAAACTGTACCGGTGAGAGTAATGAACACGAATTATTATTCTGTATCCTTGAAGAAGGGAACCCTTTTAGGGTACTGTTGTTCGGTCTCCTCAGTCATTCGAAGCGTGGAAGCCTCCAAAGTTTCGACTTCAAAAATTCCGGACAAAATGGTGAAGGAGTTAGTAAACGTTAAGGGATTATCTCCCGAAAATAGTAGAAAATTGAGAACCTGATAATTAAGTATCAAGATGTGTTTGATAAAGGAGAAGCGGGGCAGAGAGGTCGTACCAATTTAGTACAACATAAAATTGATACCGGAGATGCACGACCAATTAAACAAAATCCGAGAAGACTTCCACTCGCCAAACGTGAAGAAACTGACAAGATCCTTCGAGAAATGAAAGAAGAGGGTGTTATCGAACTATCTAACAGCCCGTGGACATCGCCGGTAGTACCAGTAAAGAAGAAAGATGGTACCACCAGGTTCTGTGTTGATTATCGGCAGCTCAATAATGTTACCAAGAAGGATAGCTATCCCCTGCCGAGGATAGACGATACTCTTGACACACTGGCGGGATCGACAATATTCTCTACCTTAGATCTGAAGAGTGGATATTGGCAAGTCGACATGGCGCCGAAAGACAGAGAGAAGACAGCGTTCTCGGTGGGCTCCGGACTGTGGCAATTTACCGTCATGCCTTTTGGATTGTGCAACGCGCCAGCTACCTTTGAAAGACTAATGGAGTCTGTGTTAAAGGGACTATCCTGGACCACCTGTTTAGTGTACCTGGATGACATTATAGTGGTGGGGAAATCCTTCGACGATCATCTGAAGAATTTGGAAGAAGTTTTCCAGCGACTTGCGAGCTCTGGTTTGAAACTTAGCCCCAAGAAATGTCATCTGTGTCAAGAAAAGGTACACTACTTGGGCCATGTGGTCTCCTCCCAGGGAGTTGCGGTAGATCCACAGAAGACCAAGACAGTGGAAGAGTGGCCGATACCCAAAGACAAACATGAACTCAGAAGCTTTTTGGGGCTATGCACATACTATCGCCGTTATGTACAGGGTTCGCCACCATCGCTAAACCATTAACCAGACTTACCGAAGGCGAGAGGCGTTTCTGTTGGGACTCAGATTCTGACGAGGCATTCCGAACACTGAAGAAGACCCTGACTAGTGCGCCCATACTTAGCTACCCTCTTGGCAACGGAAACTTTATATTGGATACCGACGCTAGCAATGTTGGGTTAGGCGCTGTTCTGTCTCAGATCCAGGATGGTCAAGAAAAAGTAATTGGCTATTTTAGTAAGACCTTGTCGAAACCGGAAAGAAACTACTGTGTAACCAGACGAGAATTACTAGCAGTAGTTAAAGCAGTGGAACACTTCTAGAAGTATCTCTATGGAAGAAAGTTCTTGTTAAGAACAGACCATGCTGCTTTGAAATGGCTGTTGCAGTTTAAGAATCCTGAAGGACAGGTAGCTAGATGGATTGAACGATTACAAGAATTTGATTTCGACACAAAACATCGAGCTGGGGCGATCCATCAAAATGCCGACGCACTTTCCAGAAGACCTTGCGATAAGGACTGTAAGCATTGTTCCCAAGCAGAAGAGAAAGAAGCGAAACTCCTAAGAACAACTGTGGTTAACGATACTTGGTAACCCGAAGATCTTGCAAACGACCAAATCAGTGTTGAAAAAACGGAAACAACCAAATGAACCGTTGGCTTACCAGACTTAATAATGTCACTTATATCTTGGAAGTTCCGACTAGAAAATCCCTTTTTTAATAACACACATACAACACAAACACAGTCTAAATTATTGTCCACACTAGCAGAAGCAGAAGATTGTCCTTCTTGACCCTCTATTACAAACGAAATAGTAAACACTCAGTTAAATTCGAAAAAAATACAATATTACCTATAAAATCGCAAGCGAACCCGTCCCGATAAATTAAAAGTCGAGGAAGGCGGCCGAAAGATCGCTACCGTGGCTAGCAACTGTGCGTGATTTTCCGGCTTAAATTTGTCGTTTGCGTTCGAGGTCAATAACACTTACATGAAGGAGGGATAGGCGACCGGCGACGACTTCCAGACGCGCATCCATGCAGTAAAAGGCTAATTAAATTTAGTACGTTTATGTAAGGTTTCAAATAAATAATTTTAACAAATTAAATTAATGTTTTGTTATAAAATAACAGTATTATTAACGTTTAACTATTTATTTTTTTATCTTTAAAAAGTTTAGGGAAGCGGTGCTTCCCCCGCTTCCATGGACCGCACGCCGCTGAAACACATGTAGGGGGCGCCCCCTACTATTAGGAGTTATATTGACATCAAAATCACATTTGTCATGCCAAAAAACTCGCAGACACCCATTTTCATCCAAATATTGACGTTTCTTCAGAAATTATTTGGAAAAAATCGAAATAAAACCGAAACTACACCCTGTATCTTCTGTATCCCTGTTCTGTATCCCTGTATCTGTAAGCATTTTAGGATATACATTTATACGAACTTTTTTGCCTATTTTTATCTGCAGAATATGCCACCGAGGTTTCCGGAATACAGTTCGGACCACCCTGTATATTAAATAAATTATAAAATTTACTCTGAAATGTGTTTTATTTTTTCTAAACATTTTTTAATTATTTATGGAGATAAATTCATAAACTATGTTAACAATGTGTTATTTTTTTGTAGGCTAATTATGTGCTCAATCGCTTTACAAAATCCAATTTTGTGAAACAAAGTTTTTTTTTCGCACAAAGAAATTTGTGCGATTGTGCTGATTATTTTTTCAGATGGTTAGAGTACCAGAAGGCCCTCTAATAACTAATAACAAGTTAGGTAACCTAACTAATAACTAGAGGGTCCCATTCTGGTCCAAAAAGAAGTGGTCAAAAGTTATGGGATAGCCTAAAATTTCTAGTTACGCCACTGGAAAGATGAAAGATTCAGAAAGGCCAGCAGCTCTAAAAAGTTTTCCAAAACCTGCAAAAATGCCAAATAAATCCCAGCTTACTGAAAACTTGGTTCCTGTCTACCTACGATCATTTACATTTAGATATGGACTGGCACTCTGTAAACTGCGTATCTACTTAGATTTAGACCTAGATATTCGCTTATCTTAGTATATTAAGTAACAAATCGGATTCTCACACGGTTTCCATTGAAATTTCGTTTAAAAAAAAACGATCGAGTTCAAAGACTCAGTCATTAATTCAAGGAACATCCTATATATTTTAATAAACCATTTTCTAATTACTATTTACCTCTTGCCGCATGACACTGGCAGTGTACCTTCCGAAACGTTGCCATTCTCTGGCAAGCTTTCGTCCTTTTTGCCTGTCGTCGTCGAGGAAACAACATAAATCTCGCAACTCTTGGTTGTCGTCTGCTAGATGCTGATTCTGTTCTTTTAAAGCTCTGAGATCTAATAGAAGACTTTGCATATGTCTGAAACAAAATTTGTTAAGGTATGGAGAGTAGCAAACTTGTATGTATTTGAACAAAATAAAGCACTAGTTCCTAGTTCACAATACACCAAAACACTCTTATAATATATGAATATGATTGGATATTTTTCTTAGAATATTTAAAAAACTTTTTAGTGCCACACATTTACTTCCACAAAAAATATTTTAAGGTCATTAAAATAATAAAATCCGACATTGTTGCCACGTCTATATAAAAACTATAACCCTTATAACCTTCCTAAAAAACATTAAAAATGAACGTAAAACCTTAAACTGCATTTCTCTTTTATTGTGAGTTCTTAGTTTATTTTTATTTTGAAGAACTATAGAATATATTTACAACATTATACAGGGTGAGTCTTAAATGAGTGCAAATATTTTCAGGGCTGGTAAATCTCGATGAAAGAAACATACATGTATTTTCTCTTTACCGTTTTTCAAATAAATCCAAAATAACCAAGTTATTTTACTTCCAAAAAAAATGTTTTCCTGAAATTTTGAGAACCACTGGATCTTTCTGGATAAATTTAATCTACAATCTATGTTGCCATATTATCAACAAATTATGTTTTCTAACTAAAAACTAAAAAAAATCTCAAAAATTCAAAATTTTCATTTTTTTTCGCGAAAAAACTTAATAATCCTGTTAATGGGGTCGAAATATACTACCCCTAAAAATATTTGTACTTATTTAAGACTCACCCTGTATAAATAGCCTAAAGCTTAAATTTGAACGACCACATTGAACGTGAACGTATAGATTTATTTACCTTATCTACCAATTCGCCAGTGAAATGTGTTAAACTGGTAACTCCATTATTTCTAATTTTAGAGGAGTTAAAAAAAATAGTAGAAAGAAATATGTATACTAAGGGTCGGCATTTCTGGTCTTGGGTGCCGGTTTTCATGTGTACAAAGAGTACGGTCAACACGCTTAGTAAAATAAGATGTAGGTACTGAATAAAGACAGAAGGCGAGTATTTTCCCAAGCGCATGGAATCTAGCGTCAGATTAAGTAGTCATGTAATAAATACTTCGTATTTTTGCTCACTCCGACTTACTAGATTGCCATAACGACTCACTCCTATACATGTAAACGCCGACCCAAAGGTTCGCTTGCCAGTGGGGTATACACATGTAGCAAGTATATTCATGCGTTAATATGATAAAGAGATAACAATAATATTTGTGGAGAAACAATAAAACTCAATATTTAGTTAAAAATTTAACTTAAAAATTATGTATTAGATGTTTTATCACAAACTAATATATAGGTTAGTCTGTGGTATTATTTAATTAAAGTAAAAAATGGAGCAGCGCGATTTTAATCTGGAAACATATTTTCTTTCTAGTGACTCATTAATCGGCTTAAAATAACATTAGCTAGGCAAGAAATTTCTTGCAACGAAGCTTACGGAATCCCACTGCAGGTTCCCCTGACTAATTGTTCTTTATATTCTGTTATTAAAGAAAAATTGGCAACGGAGCACAACTATTTTCTTTAATTATCGGTGGCTCTCAACATTTTTATTGCCATGTTAATTTTGATTTGCAGTTGTATTTCATTTCCAAGTTCTAAAATCTCTTAACTGAATAAAAATATATTTTAAATGACCTCTTTTATGACTACATACTCGTATTTCTTGACAATCACACTGAGGTGAATAATAAAAAATCAAAGTTTTACCTTGTTTGGTCTTGTACGGGAGGCATGATCCTCGGATCCTCCGACTTCCTGACAAACTTCAACATTTCCGGCCTCAAAAACTCTTCCTCGTACCGCACAACACCCCGATGTAGCCGCAAATCCTGCGTGTTTTGAGGCAAACCCTGCGGTAACCCCACAGGAACAGTTCTCAACTCACTAGGATTCACTTGCGGCACTCCCGGCTCATCCAGAGGTCTTTGTCTTGTATCAGTCTGATGCACTTGCACTTGAGTAATCCTGGTATGATCGTCTGGCCGCGTAGGTATTGTTTGCGGTGGATACTGTCCGGGATAGTACTGTTTCGGATGCTGGGGAACAGGGTAGTACTTGGAGGGGTTTAAATTCTGGTCTGGGAGCTTGGTCGGGTAATGTTTTGAAGCATCTTTCGAAATTGGATGTTTTAGAATGCCTTGGTTGCCTGGAATGGGTGGTGGTTGATATCGTGGTGGTACTGTAACGGCAGTACCGCCTGGAACATCTCCCGAACTGCTAGTTTTTGTGATCACAAACGGTTTCTTGCTGGACATGATCTAAGCAGCTTTACACAGTGTTTGAACAAACCATCTCGGCTACGTGACCTCTAAATTGGTACTACTTCTTTTCTGGTACGTAAATACCTTTTCGGAACGAATGTGGGTCATATAAGTAGTACGCTTTGATAAATTTCACGTCGGTTTTGCATACTAAACGTCACCGATCGTCTAGAGCAATAGGACTCTTTAACTGTTTGACGTGTAAATATTCACTAGCGACATGCGAAACGAGCGGAAGGTACGCATCGTCGAAGAATTTCAGTACATTTTCATGGAAAAACTCGCGTTAGTTAAAAGGAAAAGCACTAGTGGTACGCGTCGTACTATCACAAGCAACATGGCCGCGATTTGACTCTGGTTGGTTTTTGAACGTCAGCAGGTAGCTAAGTAGTGGAGGAAGAAGGTATAGAGAGCTTGAATGCCTGGGTATTGTACTACGTTTTGGCTGTTGGATACCCGCACCAATCACTTTTTATTCAAAACAAGAACAAGAACTTTTAAATTTAATTGTAAACTTAATACTTTTAAAAGCTGTGGTGGGGTCCCTTAATAGGTATAAAAGGTGTCCCATTCCGAGGAACTGCTGCGTATTTTTGGAATCAAAATAAGTTTATTGGACACAATTTACCTCTATACAAAGGTGCTTAGTTTGTCCGTTAGAGGGCCATCAAACTTAAAAAAACATATTTTTAAGATATTTTAAGAACCGATATTCCGATTTGAATGACATTTGAAGTGCCTATGTATTTTGCTAAGCGTTTTTTTTCTTCTTTTGTTTTATTTGTCTTTCACAAAAAAAAAAAAAAGTACGAGAAGGGTGATAACTACCTCTACATAAATTTTAATAGAAATATTTTCCAACTACGTACCAACAACTGATTTTTTTTTCGTAAATGGTCCTCTTAGTATTTACTACTTTTTTGTCTCGTTAAAAAAGCCACATCGCATAATTCTCGTTAAAAATTTTTTGGAGAATACTTTTTTCCAAAGCAGAGCTACAAAACGTACAGGTGTTTCAGTATTCCGTGGACTATATCGAACTACGTATGTTTTTCGTCAAAATAAATTAATTGCACACAATATACGTATATACAAAAGTGCTGCGTTTGTCCGTTAGAGGGCATCAATTAAAAATAAAAAACGGTAGTTAATTTAAAATTTATGAAGCTTATTGTCAAATATCATTTGGGATGCTAAAACCTAAAATACCGTATTTTCGCCAATCGATTATTATATTATTATTAGCTCATACTAGATTTTATGCGCCTCTTTTATGACTAGCTTCTACGTCCCACTAGTCAACTCGCATACCTAACGTTGCCGTTTGTTGTCCCTTAATTTCGCAGTTCTGCACGTGCATAAACGATAATCGGTCGGGTATTTCGAGTGCAATTTAAACAAAAAACTTACTCCAGAGCAATGTCTGAAGAATCCAAGGACAAATAACACCGGAGAACAAATTGTTACGATGCGATGTCACCAAACAGTGCCGTGGCACATATTTTTCTTCACTTGGCCGTTTGAAGAGATATTTATATTTTTTGATAAATGTTTTGACTACGCCTATGGTGTATACGGCGGTATCGTACTGTAATTAATTACGAAAAAAACGTATTAAAATGTTAACAAAAGGTACAAAACTAGTATCGACGTATAGCACACATCAAGTACATATAATCTCAGAAAAATAATTATCGAATTCAATAAGAAAACTAAGAAAACGCTAAAAAGGTGGACGGACTGTTTATTTACCTATAAAACGTAACTCCTGGTTCTTTCTTATCGCTGCGGCTTTTACACTTGAAAGCTGAACAATTAATCACCATTGTAATAAAGTTTATAGAAAGTTCACTACACACAAACTATTAAAAATCGCAAAAATTGTCGCTGGTGACCTGTTGACTCATTCGTTGACCTCAAAAAAATGGCATATAATGTCACAAATTCTGATGCAGCCCGCATATGGGCGTTACATGTCCTTATATTCTTTAGTCATTGCTCCAGAGACTAACCAACGCAATCAAAACGCGCCTATGGCGTATCGACTCGACTAAAAGCTATCGGCAGTTTTTGGTATACATAGAAATAAATACTGATAATGGATAATTTAAATTAATTGTAATATATGAAAATAATTAAAATGTATAATATACAGGGTTTGTTTCAAAACCCTGTGTGGGTTTGTTTCAAAACCCGGTTGTGTTAAATAAAAAAAAACACTTCTCAAATTCAAATTTGTATAGGTAAGGGTAATATCCTTGTAATATCCTGTAATAAGTGTAATATGTACCTATTATAATTATTTTATCATAATTATACAAGGGTTTTAGGTATTAGTAGGTACCTAGACAGTTTTGTCATAGATTTAGGAACATTAATAAAAGTTATTTATATATCGCCGTCAACTGTTTCATATTCAGTTTTCCCAACTGCGTTTTGATAATGAAATCCCGTTTCATGTTTGTTTCAAAGATATACCGTATGATCGAATAAAAACGGCGTCCAGTTGGCTGGGAAATGACGATCGATGACATTTCCCATATAAATTTACATATAAAATGACAGCCATCTTCATTTCATAGCCATCATTGACGCCGTTTTTTCTCGATCATACGGTATATGTATTGTAAAAGTTATTATCCCATATCGTCCTATTGCTGCCAAAAGTCACTAAATAACATTTTTCCGAACAACCAAATTCAATCACTATCTATGTTTTGAAGCGGAGAATCGATTGCAAAAGTCATTAACTACGATTTCTGGCTATTTATGTTTTATTTTAATACCGAATAGTTACTAACTATAACATCTTTATGCAATGCAATTCATTTTCAGACGCATTTTTCTCGGAAGTAATAAAAAGTAAGTTAGTGACTTTTGGCAGCAATGGGACGATATTATATAGAAATTATAAGAGTTGGTGCAGATGGTCTTCTAACAAATTTAAATCTCTAAATGAATAGAAATCGCAGGGCGTGGAAAATATGCCTCAGACAATGCCATTAAGAATGTTAAATGGAATAATTATTTAGCTCAGATAATATGAGCTATCAAATATACAACACCATATTATTTTTAATGACAACACTATACCAGGAAAAAAATACAGAAGAAAATATCTAGCACCTATAGTAAAAAATATTAATAAAAAGTGAAAGTTTTATTTTAAGTAAAAAAGATTTTAATATTTATTGAAATAATAATAAAAAATCAATCAATCATAAATTATTTAAAATATATCTACCTATTTCTAAAAAAACTGAAATTGTCAGAAATATATATATATATATATATGAATTTCTGATTATTAAATATTTAACAAAAAATATTAAATAAATAAAGTGTGCTATCTCAACGTCAAATACAAGCAGCTGTCTTTATTTTTTGCCATATAGGTATTTACTTTCTCTTTTAAATTTAATGATTGACTTCAAAAATTCAAGTGAAATTATTGATTCATGTTTGTTGATAAAAAAAGTTAAAGCGACCTTTTTAATAGTTATTATATACCTGCTTAACCCAAATAATTTTTTGTGTAGAAACTCTAAGCTAAATCACTGGTGCCTTACCTTTTTTAAAGCTGATATACTTACCTACTCTTCGGATCTTATTTTTATTTAAAAGGAATACCTATTGCCAATCTTTTTTTACCGCCCTTTAAAATAATTAAACATTAAATTTTATTTAATAATCCACAAAAAATATTTTTTCATCAAAAAGTATTTTTAAATAAAAAAAACACTTCTCAAATTCAAATTTGTATAGGTAAGGGTAATATCCTTGTAATATCCTGTAATAAGTGTAATATGCACCTATTATAATTATTTTATCATAATTATACAAAGGGTTTTAGGTATTAGTAGGTACCTAGACAGTTTTGTCATAGATTTAGGAACATTAATAAAAGTTATTTATATATCGCCGTCAACTATTTCAGATTCAGTTCTCCCAACTGCGTTTTGATAACGAAATCCCGCATCGTTGTGACAAAGGTTGTGAATACAGCCAAAGGCACTCCGATGTTGCCGATTTATCTCGAATTTCGTTGAAAATTGCCAAGCAAATTATTTTTGTTTTCAAATATACAAGAGGTTGTCTATAAAAATTGTAGTAGTAGTAAAGGGACATAAAAAAGTAGTCATAGTTTGTGTTTCTGAAATATATTAATTTTTGAGCCATAAAATATAATATGTTCCTAAAAAATTATTTTTTCTCAAACATTCTGCATTAATATAACATACAGGATGTTTCAATAATCCGTGGACATAAGAGATTATTTTTATTTCAAAAATACACAGTAATTTTGGAAATAAAAATATATTTATTAGACACAATTTATCTCTATACAAAAGTATTTCGTTTCCCCGCTAGAGGGCATCAAATTTAAAAAATAAGCCCAATTTTTAAAATGTTATAATAACGGATATTCCGATTTGAATGAGATTTGGAGTGCCTATGTTTTGCTAAGCGCCTTAACATTTGACTTTCACAGAAAACATGAAAAAGTACGGAAGGGCAAGAACTACCCCCACCCCTACAAAAGTTTTAGTAGAAATATTTACCAACTCCATATTTCAAACTACGGCTTCGTAATATGGCCATTCTAGCGCATAGTTTTGACCAAACCGGTGTCTTAAAGCTGAGAAGTTGTAAAATGTTGTTCCAGGAGATTTGTATTGGGTGTTATTGTATCCAATAACCACGCAACTATGCTCTACTTGGCATTTGTTTCGGCAATTTTATGATCATTATAAATTATCACAACATAACACATCGCCCAATTGGGTTCCTTTTCACTTAATTTTAACTACCCAAAACAGCGTTACATCACACAAAATACCTGAGAATTTTATAGTTTCCAATAAATGCACTAGTAAAAACTCTCTACAATTCTTAAACATATAACAAAACCACGATTTTAACATTATTTAAAAGCGATCAACATGAACGGTAACCAAAACTGCGTGAAATACGGAGCTGGAAAGTTCTGATTTCTGCCGCACTGTTGAAGCGCTGTTTTCGAAATTTAAAAAATCAACTGAAATGCACCACCATGAAAGAATGATAATACAGGGTGTCCTAGAAATAAATGCTAGTATTTTAAGGGGTTGTAGATTTCGATAAAAGAAACATATTTTCTCTTTATCGTTTTTCAAATAAGTCCAAAATAACGGAGTTATTTTGCTTTGAAAATTTTCAAAAAAATATATTTTTTGCTAAAATTTTGAGAAGCACTGGATCTTTTCTGGATTTTCTTTCTTGTAAATTTAATCTAATACCTATGTTACCATATTGTCAAGAAATTATGTTTTTTAACTAAAAACTAAAAAAATTTCCAAAAAATTTCGAATTTTCCAATTTTTTATTTCGCGAAAAAATCTCATAGGCGTGTTTCTGGGATTGAACTATATTACCAGTAAAAACACTTGCACTTATTTCTGGGACACCCTGTATTTAACCGTCTCTGCTTTGCTCTAAACATGTTAAGTATGAAATGCCCCTGATATAGGCTGTTTAACGAAATAAAATACATTTTAAGGAATATCTGTCCGCACAAACCGGCAACACCGGACGCAGGCGCCCGTTTCAGCAAATCAAGCGTCTACAAGGTGACCCCTGAAAGTCCAAAACAATTCAGTCTACTTGCCGGGTCGTCTGTAGTACATAACTGTTCCGAACGCCGTCTAGCATTAATAAAATTGTCGTAGATAACTGAGGGTGGCAAAAGAACAACATGGCAACACCCCAATCGGACGTGGAGCGCAGGAAGCAGATCAGCGTGAGGGGTATCGCCGAAATCGACGACGTGAACGAGATCAAAAAGACATTTAACAGGCACGTCCACTACACCCTGGTGAAGGACAGGAATGTGGCCACTTCCAGGGACTACTATTTCGCCCTTGCCCATACAGTGAGGGACCACTTGGTGTCGAGATGGATCCGAACCCAGCAACATTACTACAACATCGATCCCAAGGTATCCACAGACGATATAATTTTCTTTAATACACTGAATAGATGACAAAATATTTATTTACATTTTTCTTTATACTAACATTTTTATGCAATCAAAGTCTTTTAATTTTTAACAAAATAAATAGTGTCAAGAAAGTCAAAACTTAGTTGCAGCCAGGGTTCGGAAGTAGTTAACCCTGGTTGCAGCCGCCAGACTAATATTTTTTTTTAAATATAAATCACCCTGCATATAATACAGGGTCTCCCAGAAATAAGTGCAAGTATTTTAACTGGTAGTATAATTAAACCCCAGAAACAAAAAATTGAAAATTCGGAATTTTTTGAAAATTTTTTTGGATTTTTTTTAGTTTTTAGTTAAAAACATAATTTCTTGATAATATGGCAACATCGGTATTAGATTAAATTTACAAGAAAGAAAATCCAGAAAAGATCCAATGGTTCTCAAAATTTTAGCAAAAAATCATTTTTCTGGAAATTTTCAAAGTAAAATAACTCCGTTATTTTGTACTTATTTGAAAATTTGAAATTGTATTTCTTTTATCGAGATCTACCACCCCTTAAAATACTTACACTTATTTCTGGGACACCCTGTATATACAAGGTAATTTTTAATGTTCCAATAGTTTATACATATGCAGGATGAGTCTTACATAAGTACAAATAGTTTTAGGGGTGGTATATTTCGACCCCAGAAATACATCTACGAGTTTTTTTTCGCGAAAAAATATTTTGAAAATTTTGTATCTTATGAAAAAATTTTTGCAAATATTAAAAAACATAATATTATCTTGATATTGTGCCAAAAAACCTGTGGATTAAAAAAACTTGTGGATAATAAAAGATAGAAATCCAGCGGCTCTCAAAATTTAAATAAAAATATTTTTTTTTAGATTTTCAACGTAAAATAACTCGGTTATTTTGGATTTACTTTTTTCAATGTTGAAGTGGAAATATGTTTCTTTTATCGAGATCTACCAGCCCTGAAAATATTTGCATTTCAGACGCACCCTGTATAAATTATTTGATTTTGTTTTGATATAGACAGGGTGGTTAATAATATTCCAAAAGATCAAAAAATATTTATCAATCAAATATTCAACAAATCAACGCAATTATACCAAAAAAAAATAATGTCAAAAATGTCAGGACCTGGTAACAAGTGAGACTAAAAAAATAACATTAATAATAATTAACAACTAATAAATGCCTAGTGATTCTTCAAATAGTAATCCCTTTTTAGACTATTTTTGTCCCAAGTTCATAAAAATAATAATGTTGATATTTTATAATAATTGTTACTTTCTAAGAGAATAACAATGTATGCTTGAACTTGTTTAATTAAATTATTAAATACTAGAAAACCCAACTCTTATTTAAAAGTTTATAATTTTCAAAAAAATGTCGAGCCAGGTAAAGCCTTGACGCAATGTATTTTTGTCTGTACAAAATAAAAAGGGATTTTCGACCACACCTACCTAATAAAAGGTTTATACCTGGTACCTATAGTTCAATATTCAGGTAGATATAATTTAACTATATTAATCGTACCTGTTTTGTTTATTTAGGTCACTATACTCAAACATAACCTACACAATGATAGAAAATATTCTGCGAAAAAAATGTAGTTATTTATAGGAAAATAAATCAATGTGCTGTTAGAAAGTTTTAAATTAGGATCTGAATGACAGGATTAGTGCATTTTGTCTGTCCCTATATACAGAGTGACAATTTGAAAACGGACAGTATTTAATATTGTTTTATACCTCTACCGATGATAGTATATGAAAATTTGGCGAAACACGTCAATTTACATATCAAGGAGGACAATTTTTGAGGCATTTGTTGTCCTGTTACTTTCAACCCCTTGACCCCCAGGGCACCTACCCCTAAAATTTTAAATGGCGACCCCTATTTCTTTTACCATTTTTGTGTTCCTTATAAAATCCTCAAAAAATAATGCAGTTTATGTAGAATTCTATAAGAGACACAAAATTGGTAAAAGAAATAGGGGTTGCTATTTAAAATTTTAGGGGTAGGTGCCCTGGGGGTCAAGGGGTTGAAAGTAACACGACAACAAATGCCTCATAAATTGTCCCCTTGATATGTAAATTGACGTGTTTCTCGCCAAATTTTCATAGGATCATCGGTAGAGGCAATATTAAATACTGTGCGTTTTCAAATTGTCACCCTCTATGTGTTTCATATACAAACAAGGGGTTTTAGATCTTTGAAGGATGACATTTGAAAATAAAATATTTTCCTTAGTGGAACTTTTGAGAAACCCTGTATAGCGTAAATTTAAAAATAACGGTTCAGAGCATTATGCAGATATCTTGTACATGATTCAACTGTTTGGATTTGCGATAAAAAAATCTACATAACACGAGTTAATTAATGATAAAAAGTTTTTACAAAGCGGCTGAAAGAATTAGATAATCTTAAGATAAATATTATAAAATCACTGACCTTTACGATAAAAAGAAGTAATTATATATTTATATACTTCCTTTATTAATGTAATTTTAATCGGTTATGTAAATATTACTTCTTCTATTGATTGTCCCGATTCAATTGCATTCAAAATATACAAACAAATAATTATAAAAATGACACGTATATAGTAGTAGTTTAAAAATATTTGATTTTATTATTCAACTAGCAAATACAAATGATTTCGCAACATTCAGTTTCTGGCCTTAGTCCAAAAACGCGTTTAAAAAACGTGCAAATTATATTTTATATGTAGATACATCAATGATCTCATTTGGCAACAGGCATATTATACAGTTAGTCCACCTTGTCGTGGACTTGCTGTATTTCTTGCTTGTAAATTCTTCGAGCGAGAGATTCTTAAATTTTCTTGCTTCTAAATTCTTCGAGGCTGTAAAAGCAGTGTACGGCCCAACTAAGAAGGCAAGATGCCCAATCATGGCACAAAATGGCGAACTTCTAAAAGAGAAAGAGCAAATAAGAAACCGCTGGAAAGAGCATTACAGCCATATCCTTAACCAAGAAAACAACCCCAATATAGAAGCACTCAACGCAATACCTCAGTATAACAGCCTCGATATATTAGATATTCCAATAACAGAACAGGAAATAAAGGACCCCATAAAACAGCTTAAAACAATAAATCTGCTGGCTGTGACGCGATTCCGGCGGAAATCTATAAGTGTGCAAGTAAAGAACTTATTGGTCATCTTAAAGCTCTCTTCGATGTCATATGGGAAAGCGGAGAGGTACCTCAGGACTTTTGCAACGCGAATATAGTTAATATATTTAAGAACAAAGGAAGAGCATCAGACTGTGGAAACTACCGAGGAATTTCACTACTGGCTATCGGAGGAAAAATTCTTGGAAAAATTATGTCAAACCGCCTGCACCCACATATAGAAAAAATCCTCCCAGAATCGCAATCGGGTTTGATAATTGCTATTCATGGCAGCGCTCTCCATTATAGTGGACAGCAAACTGCAGGAGAGAGGTTTGGGCATTAGATACAAATACGACGACGGTCTGTTCAACATAAAAAGACTCAGGGCAAAAACACGTACAAGATTCATCACAGAACTTCAGTACGCTGATGATTGTGCTCTAGTTGCAAATACGTTACAGCAATTGCAAGAAATGTTGAACACATATACATGGGCATACGAGGCTTTGGGACTTAAGCTGAACATCAATAAAACTAAAATCATGGGCATCCCCCGGAGGATCACAACAATGCAATAAAGATCGGAGATGAACTATTGGAATATGTAGCGGAATTCAATTATCTCGGCAGTTTGATTTCGGAAAGGGCCAATATCGACTCTGAAATTCAGCACAGGATCAGCGGCGCCTCAAGAACATTCTGGAAATTAAAAGACAGGGTTTTCTACAATCATGACTTGAGCACAAAAACGAAACTTACAGTGTACCGAGCAATAATAATTCCCACCATGTTATATGGAAGCGAAACCTGGGTGCCGTACCGCCGACACATGAACGCATTAAACAAGTTGCAACAAAATCTTAGACACCTCTTAAGAATCCGGTGGTTCCATCATGTCTCAAACGTATCGGTCCTTGAAAAAGCTAACTGCGAGAGTATTGTAGTCATGATTACAAAGTCCCGCTTAAGATGGGCTGGTCACGTATGCAGAATGCAAGAAAACCGCATACCCAAATCTCTACTTTACGGTGAGCTTATAGACGGTAAGAGGAGGCCGGGTGGCCAACTCAAAAGGTATAAGGATGTTTTCCACGAAAACTTAAAGGGGATTAACAAGCAGAATGAGTGGGAAGAAGCAGCTCACAATAGAACGGAATGGAGAAGAGTTGTAAATTCAGTTAACAGCAACAACCAAAAAGTGAGGTGGCAACAGAGCAATGAAATTTTTGAATGTCCAGAGTGCAGTAGACAGATAACATCACGTATCGGGCTTTTCAGTCACAGAAAAGCTCATGAAAGGAAACGCCTTGCATGACCATCTTCTGATGCGTGTCAAATACTCGTCAGCGAGTAATGGCAGTAGTAGTAGGACTTGCTGTATAGTTTCTTGAAAAAAGTCCCGGTTTTTCGTCACTGCAAAAGAAATCTACAAAATAAAAAAATTGTGCGTGCACTATGTGCGCATATTTGCAGTGAAACCTCTTACTAACAGCTATTAAATTGAAGGATTTGAAGGACATGTCATTAAAATAAGACATTTTTATTTTTATTATTTTTTTAATTACTTACGACGCCATTGGGTACACAACTGGTTTATTATACATAACCAGTTATAACATGGTTATAACCATGGTAACCATTGGTTATCAATTTATAATCGATTTAAGTTTTCAGATAGCTTCCATAATAATTAAGATACGATACAAAAAAATAAATACTTTCAATTTATTTTGTTTACTTTAAAAAATTGTTTTTTTAAGTTTGCTAATACAAATGAATAAAATGAGTTACAAAATAATTTAAAAACCCAGTTTTCAATGGAATCTGAAATATGATTTTTATTCGTTTTATGTTTTATTAAGAAATATTTAAAAAAATCCAAATAGTTAGATATTTAAAATTTTCTATGTTTAAAACAATCACTACTAACTTTGAAAAATATGCTCTAAACAACCCAAAAAATATAACACTTTAAATTTGACCAAAAATTTCTCTAAACAAAGTTTTTTTGTATCGTATCTTAATTATTATGGAAGCTATCTGAAAACTTAAATCGATTATTAATTGATAATTGGTTATAATTGGTTATTGATAATAAACCAGTGGCGTCGTTAGTACTTAAAAAACTAATAATAAAAATAAAAATGTCTTATTTTAATAACACACCCTGTATCAATATTTATCAAAATTACAACTTAAGTATTTTCGGTAAGGAGGATTCATTATAATTTATCAGATTTGAAATAAATACTGTCCTAAGGGTAGTTTACTCTTGACTCGAAAAATATAAAACTCGATTAAAACGTACGTCTATGAGATATCGCATTTCTTACCCTGGGAAAAATGTACGTCTTATAACCATACAGCCTCCTGCCAAAAATGAAAAATATCGCTCAACAAACAATCAAGATATTGGCTTGTATCCATCTTAAGTGGGACACCCTGTACATGCTTTGGTTAATTTTTAAGAGCGAAATGAACTAATCACGATCAATTTGCAATTTTTTCAATTATCATTACTTTTTGATGTATTTTTGTAATATGATGAGATGGTTTATACGTCATAATACGCTGCATTGGATACTCTATACTAAATTAAAAAAAAAGTTAAAGACTAACGATACAGCCCGGGTTTTAATAAACATTAATAACGATAACAGAACTAACGATATTAAAAAAACATCTGAAATACTCAAGTATACAAACAGAAAAAAAAAATGTAAAAAATACCCTAATACTTTGTATTGCCTTCCTTAGCTGCTATAACTGCCTGTATAGGTCCGTTCATACTGTCATTGAGGCTGCATATATCATATTGCGTTACGTTTTCCCGTTTTTCTTTAAGGACCAAGCGAAGTTCATTTAATGAAGCACCGCTTCGCGACCTCCTCCTGCCAAGCATTTCCCAAACGTCGAACATGATGGACAGTTCACAGTAGTATATAGTTCACAATAATCACCAAAGCCGCCTTGTCATATTGAAAAATAACTTCAAATAGAAATAATTAAAAAAATTGCAAATTGTTTGAGGCAAATTCATTTGGCTCTTAAAAATTAACGAAGGCATGTATTGAAATGATCCAAAAAACAAAATTCTTAGGAGACATGGCTCTGACCGTAAAATTAAATTTTAGGAAAATTTACGCATGCAATTATTGTACAGGGTATTTTAAAGTTAAGGTAAAAAAACAACCCCTCGATTAACTTTGTATAATATGCCAAATACCTACCGAAGTTTATAAAAAAGTGAGTTTACGAATTAAAGTTGATATAATTATATACAGCTTGCTAAAAAAATCATGAAAATAGGGCTAAAAATAACAAAAATATAACACTTTAAATTTGACCAAAAATTTCTCTGTTGCGTTTTTTGTATGTAGGATTTTATTTTTAAAGGCTCATTTTAGTGACAAAATGGTGACAAAGTTTTCAGTAACAGTTAAATTAGCATTTTTATTTTAAACAAAAAATGTTTTTAAATACAAAATTAGAGATAAAGATAACTAAAATAACTGTGTTGACATGAAATCGTCCATGTTTTTGGGGTTAATAACCTGCGAAAATTTGCGAAATGTTTTTATAGGTCGCACCAGGCAAAATAAAATTCAAGATTAACAGCTTTTTTATTTGATATCTCAGTCTTTTTTAATTCCAAAATAATGAATTTTATTTTGGCTTAAAGATATTAAAATTAATTAGACTTTGAAACCAGACTATTCAAGTCTCTAAATAACTCTAAAACACATAACATTTTTGTAGAAAGTCTGGAATTTTCAAAATTTTATGACTATATCTTTCATTCTCTTTCATAGGTCAACGTGAAAGAGAACGAGTCAACGTATGAACGTATCAGCGTATTGCCGAATCCAGACCAAACAGACAAAACAACGACAAGACAGAAACATTCATGTTTTACGACAAAATTGCGACAAATCCAATACATTTCTGCGACATTTTTGTTTTGTTTCGAAATTCCAAGACTTTTCAATGTCCCGTCTCGAGTCGGTAAAGATCAAAGTGTCTATGTTTTGTTCGTATATTTTACAACAAGTTGTCGGCGCAGTGTGGATGGCGTGTGCTGCCAACAGTAGGAGACCAGTGAAATCACACATGGTTAATAAAACTCATTCGCAACAACTAAACTTTTGACTTTGTTGTATTTTTGTCCTTGCGGTGTAGACAATAATTTGTCTCAAGTTTGTCTTGTCAGAATTCCCCATTTTTTGTCGCCAGTTTGTCTTGTTTTTGTCTCAAAATCGTGTTTACTTTTTGTCGCGTTGGTCTGGACCCGGCATATACCTTAAACCTGTCTCAAATCTCGCAACTGATCAGTGTCGGTTACTCCATTTAATTTACATTGACGCCTCCCATGAAAACAATAATTTTAGTCAACAACATTTTTGACTAAAACTGTCTTGGGAAGGGATTGACGAAGGGATTGTAGACACGAAGGGATTGTAGAACGAAGGGATTGTAGACAGGTCGATAATTTTGGGTGTCGTTACTGTTAATGATCAAAATTTTTCTGCATCAATTTAGGCTAATGTTTTAACAACATAAATAAATAAGATTTTAGTTCGACATTAGAGTTATTGTTTCCAATTACTGAGCCTAATTGGTTAAATTAAGGACAATATTGTACTGGTTTTTATCGCCTTCTTTTACTAATAAAATTTTATTTATAGACATAAGCTGGTTATTTCCTAAACCTTCGTCTTATACAGAGTGCCTCAATTTGTTTTTAATAATAAAAAGTACATACTACATTTTGTTTATCTAAAAAAATATTATATATAAGTGCTCCTCTAAAATTTTCTCCACTGTATACCAGGTGCGTCTCAAACTTGGCTCACACCTATAACTTTTTTATTTTTACAGATAAATAAACGATATTTCGTTTATTCGACGTATTTAATTATTTTTGTGGGCACTTCCTGTTTCACTAGTAATATCTACAACTTTTGATTTTTAAATGACACCTTCGATAAAAAGACATTAAAAAGTGTTAAAATATTAACACCCTATTGCTAAAAAATCCCGATTTGTTCATAAAGTAACTAAGAAATCACTCACTGAAAAAAATAACTTAAAATATGAAATAACGAGTAACGATAAATATGAAATATTTTACGATAGCAACAGAGTTTTTTCAATAATATACATTTACAATAAAGGATTAATTGTCTTATATTTGTTTAAATATTTATGATTTATGATGTAGTATATCGATACCAACAGTAAAACAAACACTTTTCTAATATTAGATATTAAAACATAGAATTAATCATTTGTAATGGTGATGATAAAGCAGAGCAAGAATTTCTATTAACATACAAACTGGATAAAACTTTCTCACATTTATGTCAGCATGAGAAAAAACAATATGGCGATATTATTATATAACTTGGTAATATTTAAGGGGTAGTTTCATATCGTTGGAATTTGACTTTCGAAAAATCCGTTTGCCAAAAATAAGCTTTTTACGTCAAGCAGTTTAAGCAGAATCGTGGTTAATTAATTATCCAACTTTTTGGAACACCCTGTATGATTTTTTAAAAAAATTCAAAATATGTAAAAAAACAAAATAGATTATGCGTGTCCAAGCGTTTTCCAAGTGTTTGTTGTTTTAAATAACAAATATTGTAATATTTGAGGGGCGTTTTCACCCTCTTGGAATTTGAGATTCGAGAAACCCCTCCTTATCGAACCTCTACACCCCACAGTCAATCCGTTTGCCAAAAATCAGCTTTAAACGTCAAGCAGTTTAAGCAGAATCGTGATTACTCAATGGTCATATTTTATGAAACACCCTGTATAAATTTATAAAAAATCTTAAAATATGTAAAACAACAAAATAAAATATACGTGTTTAAGAGTTTTTCCGAAAAACTCACCGGTTTTTAAATAAAAAATATTTTAATATTTGAGGGATAGTTTCACTCCCTAAAGTCAATTCGTTTTCCAAAAATCAGCTTTTTATGTGAAGCACTTTAAGCAGGATCGTGATTAATCAATGACCAGATTTTTCAGAACACCCTGTATACATTTTTAAAAAATCTTAAAATATGTAAAAAACAAAATAAAATATACGTGTTTAAGCGTTTTTTCGGAAACTCGACCTTTTTTAAATAAAAAATATTGTAATATTTGAGGGGTGGTTTCACCCTCTTGGAACTGGAATTTCGAAAAATCCCTTCTTATCGAACCTCTACACCCTAGAATCAACCTGTATGCCAAAATTGAGCTTCTTACGCTGAGTGGTTTGAGCAGGATCGTGATTAATCAGTATGTCAGTCACTTAAGGATTTTATATATTAGTATAGATTATTTCACAAATTTTTGCTAGATTATATAAAATTAAACATGTGCCTGTATTGTAAATTTTATATTGTCATGTTCTTATTTCATGAAGAAATATTTATATTATTTTTATTAAGTATACAATGCTGAAATTATTTGTTAAATGTTTCAAAAAAGTATGCAACAAATATAAATATGAAGCAGTACAAAGTACAATGGAAATTTTTCGAAGATATATTTAAAGTCAAAATTTTGGAATTATTTATCACCATTTCTTGAACTTATTTATAGCATTATCCATTTATTATCAGATAAATAGTAATATAAAAATAAATGTTGTAATATATCTAATTATACAGGGTATTAAAAATACAACTTTAGTTATAAATATATTTGTATCAACCTGATGTATTTTCAGTTTACTTTTCTCTGCATATTTTATAAAAAAAAAATCATTAGAGTAAAAATTATTATAAAATATGATATCTAATATAATAATAAGTCTAATAAAATATTTCTCTTCGATTGTAGAGAGTTTACTACCTTTCTTTGGAATTCTACATGGGCAGAAGTTTGTCCAACACCATGATTAATCTGGGCATCCAGTCTTCCTGTGACGAAGCTTTATACCAGCTGGGACTGGACATCGAAGAGCTGGAAGAACTTGAAGAAGATGCCGGCTTAGGAAATGGAGGCCTGGGAAGATTGGCAGCTTGTTTCCTAGACTCTATGGCAACCTTAGGTAGGCTTTTTACTTTAAATGAGGTATCAAGCGTCAAAACCCTGTTTATCCATTTAAAAAAAATAGCGGACTCTCTATATAAACATAGTCTCAAGTCCCAAACTATAGCAAAAATCGCCTATTCCTATATAAATTTCGCTACAAATTACATTACTACAGCAAAATCCATCTTATCCACTTATATTTGCTTTTTTAAATTATTGTTGCAAATTCCGATTTTTTATAAGCGTTTTACACAAGTATAATATTACTACTGACGTCTTATACATTTCAAATCCTTACCTAATTTTAATAAAATAGCATATCAAATAAATCAAGTCAGGATGCAAATATCTTACTGTAGCAAAACCCGCAATATGCATCATACTGCAACAAAATCCTCCTTATCCGAATTATTTTTCTTTTTTTTTTCTTTTAAAAAATTAAATAGTAATTTTTATTTCTAGAAAAACGAGATATAAAACAATGATTCCACTCAATGGACACGTTTTTTTTTGTAAAATAACGCTTCAAACATTAGCTAAAACAGTTTTTGTATATTATCTCGAAACAGCGTTTTTGGGATAAGACGGGTTTTACAACTAAAATAAATGCATACTTTTAAAATTAAAACATCAAGTTCGAATTTTTTAAGCAACTTATACCAACTACACTAAACTGGAAATATTTTTAAAAGTTATCCCGAAATATCCTTAACTTAGGAGTTTATTACGCTGTACTGTTCGGGTGGCTCTGAGGGATCGGGTAAAGTGGGTGTGTGGCCGAAGGAAATATATATTATATTTCAAAAATCTGCCTAAGACTTAGCCCGATCCTGTTGTGTTAAACCACAGACAAAATTCCAAACACACTTGCTTTGATTAAGGTTTGCAGAGCTTCAGCCAAAGAATATTATAGTTAACACAATAGAAAACCCATCCCGTGTAAAACTTTTGGAACCAAAAAGGAGCCCGGCTTTTTGAGCCGAGATCCATCGAGGCGTCGCAACGTTAAAAAGCGATTCCTTGCTTGTCTATGTTGCCAAATCGTACGCCAAATGCTACCGGTACGCGCGGCGGCCCGACGGCGATCATCAAAGCCTTCCGTATTTCCGTATTCTCCCGGACATCGTTTTGAAGGCTTCGTGGTGTGCTCATTTTTTATTTTCAATTGTGGATTTTGCTTTATTATTTTGAATTAATAAAATTATTTTAAAATATGTCGAGCAATGTATGTCAATATTACGATTGTAGATTGCAGACTATCAAGGAGGGACATCCTAATTTAAAAATGTTTAGGTTTCCATATAAAAATCCAGGTATATGCGAACGTTGGATTTTAAATTCGGATAAGCCTATCAGTTCTTAATTAATCGATTTCAAGTCAACCGAAGCTACATATTTTTTGTACATTAAGTAAGGGAAAATATGGCAAAACATTTAGGTGATACATATCTATAATTTTTATTTATTAAGTTGGAAAATATTACTTTGTGTTTTAAGAGAAGTTTGCAAACGTGTTCAGTACTAGATTTTTTCTATTTTTAAAAAATTAGGAAACTAATAAAGAGGTTTATATAAAATTTAAGGAACTAATTACGGATTTTAAATATGTATGTATATACATAAATTTACTTTTTTTACATAAATAAAAATCTAATTATTTAAAAATAATATCTATACCTTTAGATTTTATATCAAAATATAAATATAAATAATAAATATCGGAAAAAGAATCATAATAATATAAATATAATATAAACAGGAAAATAATCTTTTTTTTTTTAAATAACTATTTTATTTTGTAGATTTTCTCACAGTGCTAGTGGGGAAATACCCAGAAATCTATTAATTAATAATATACATGTGCTTAAGAAAATCTCAGGGCGATTCTAAAACGTTTCAAAAGCCTTAAATTTTATTTCAATAGTTGCAAATTAATAATCTTATTTTTAATGTATTTTTGGTATTTTAATATACCGGGTGTTAATAAAAAGTGGCTTACTCTAGACTGAAATTTAAAATACGATTTTTTAAACAAAAATGTCAAAAGTTGATATAATAATGTATAATAACCAATAACCAAAATTTGACGTCGAGTGTTGATTACCCAATTCAAACAAGCGGCAGATGTTAAAAAGTTAAATAATTCCTTTTTTACCTTATTTATAAAAATTAATATAATATATAGAGTACCTAATTATATTTTTTGAAAGCCAATAGCAAGGCAAATCAAATGAAAAAATAATAAAGTACTAAATAGTGAAAACCTCATTTTTGTACCTCTGCTCATAAAAAATGAGAAACCCTGTAAAACACACGAAAATGGGACACCCTGTACATAACAATAAATATCAAAATGAAAAGTAAAGTACTTTGTTGTAAATGTTTTTCTCCTCTATATGTCAATACATTTAAAATTTCGTTTGATTTAACTAATTTTTAGATTGGTTAATCATTTAATTGATTTAACCTGATTTAACTAATTTTTAGATTGGTTAATCATTTAATTGATTTAACCTGATTTAACTAATTTTTAGATTCGACAAATTTTTATTTTGGTTCTTTGTAAAAATGAGTTTGGGTAGAGTTTGTTATCTATTAAAATATGTTTAGTGTTAGTATTTTTATTTCAAGTTAACCTGTATCGTATTTCCAAAAAAAGTCCAAAGATTAATGTCAAATTCAATATAATGTTCTAACTAAATAGATCTCTTCTAAAATAGAGTTATTGGCAACGTCGCGTCTCGTTCAGGAGGGTTTCCGCACGAAATATTAAAGTTTACGTGTGCATTGATGTCTTTTGGCCGGTTCCAGCCGTCCCATTTACGTGGGTTATCTATTCGTAGTAGAATTATCTTTGCTTCAGCATATGCCATAAAATAGCGAGCAATTTGTTACAAATCCACATAAATTATATATCACTGTAATCACAAAACTTCAATCTATTTCCGTATTGTAACGGAATTTTAAATTATGTCTTTATTTTCGAGAAAATTTAGTCCAAACATAAGGAATATTTTGTTGATGTTTAACCATAAAAATCTTAAAAATAAAGAAGTTCTCTAAATACGGATATAGTATAATCCTTTTTCTTTAATTTCCTTCTTTATTTGTGTAAAAATAGCTAGCCAGTTTTACATAAAACGTTAAATGCCGAACGCTTATTTTGCTACTTTTTCGGACTATTGAAATGGACTCTTAAAACATTCAAACTTGTATCTAATAAGTTATACTTCTTAATAAATTTTGTATGAAATACCCTGAAAAGATTTAAACTGAAATATCTATGATTTAGGTATGGCTGCTTACGGTTATGGTATCCGTTACGAATACGGTATTTTCGCACAAAAGATCGTCAATGGCGAACAACAAGAAGAACCAGACGACTGGCTACGGTTTGGCAACCCATGGGAAAAAGCCCGTCCAGAATATATGCTTCCTGTCAACTTCTATGGCAACGTAATAGACACACCCGAGGGCAAGAAATGGGTAAATACCCAGGTAATATTTGCCCTGCCGTACGACAACCCCATTCCAGGGTACAAGAACAACGTCGTGAACACTTTGAGACTGTGGAGTGCCAAAAGTCCTGTTGATTTCAACTTGAAGTTCTGTAAGTAGTTTTAAAATTTTTATTTTATTGATTTTAACAGTTAATAATCTAATAATCAAATTATAATCATCATTTTCAGCTTATTCAACCATTTCTAATTATGGTGTAGCTTCCCTCACATATTTAGATAGTCTCTTTGTAGATGGCCCATTGTTATCTACAGTTATTCCTGCTAATGTCCTAATATCATGTCACATCTGTGGATGACATCTATTACCTGAGCCTTTTGTCGTATCCACTCTATTCTTTTACGGTCTTTCTTGGTTATTTCCAGCAAATTTCGTTCCATTGAACGTTGTGCAACCTGCTGTTTTCTTATGATGTCCGTTTTAAGTGTCCAGATTTCACATACATAGCTCATGACTGATGGTACACATTGGTCGAATGTTTTCTTCTTTAGATAGAGTGGCATTCTAGATTTGAATATGATTATTGAATTTCTTCCATAAGTATTCCATGCTAACTTAATTCTTCTGTTGATTTCTGGTTGTAGAGATCCCGAGCTGTGTATTAGTTGTCCCAAATATATATAGAGTTGAGATATTCTCCATCTATTTTTAATCCTTTGCAAATAATACCCCTAAATACTAATAATATATGAAAAATATATTTTTTTTTATATATTTCAGTCAACGATGGTGACTATATCCAGGCAGTTATTGACAGAAACCTGGCAGAAAACATATCCAGAGTACTCTATCCCAACGACAATTTCTTCGAAGGCAAAGAACTGCGTTTGAAGCAGGAATACTTTATGGTAGCAGCTACGCTTCAAGATATCATTCGTCGGTTCAAATCTGCCAAATTTGGAACCAGGGCATCCACAAGGAACAGTTTTGAAGAATTTCCTGATAAGGTACTAAAATAATTCTTAAAAAAGTATATGTAACTATATGGAATAGTTGCATTCATAAGGTATGATTGGTATAGATGATTTATATTGTTGTATTTTATTTTAGGTTGCTATTCAATTAAATGACACCCATCCTTCGTTGGCTATTCCCGAACTCATGAGATTACTGGTAGATGTAGAAGGCTTGAGTTGGGACCAAGCATGGGACATTACAACAAGAACTTGTGCCTACACTAACCACACAGTAAGTGATATGAAAAACTGAATTGAAAATATTTATACAGGGTTATTCTCCAACTATTCTCTAGAAATATATTCTGAAAAGTCGATTAGTATTTTAAATTGAGCTCTTTTTCCATGGAAGAAAACTGTATGCAACATGTTCCAAAATTGAGATGGACATCATCAATTTTTTTAATAAATTTACATTTTACTGGATTTATTCAAAGTTAGAGAATCACCCTCTATATCCGCTCTTAAATACATATCAATCAAGTCGGATTAATATGGGAAATCAGCCCCCGCGGCTTTTTGACTCGCACTCAGCGGATCGATTTGTTGTCGAATCAAGATAATTCACCTAAATTTTTAACTCTTTAACTCAAACGGTTTTCGAGATTTTCAAAAAAAACTGTTTTTTTTCAATGTTATCTTTATTTTTATAATCAAACTCAAAATTAATTAATGACAATTTTTTTTCTAATTCTTAGAAGTCTAAGACATGAAAAAATAATATGATCATGATTCTTAAGAAAAAGCCGATTTTTAGCGGAGGAAAGAAAATTAAAATCTTCATTTTTTTAGCCTTCGTGAAATATGTCACTCACTAAAAATTGTCAGAAAATGTTTTTTATACTCCTTTATAGTCAGAAATTTTTTAGAATTTTTTGAAGTGGTGGAACGATATGAAAAAAATTAAAAACTCATTTTTTTTCTAAAATTTTGTCGGACTGATTTTTTTTATAAAAATCTTTATGTTTATTTCTGGCAAGTACGTATTTTTAATGAAAAAAAATATTTTCTACTCACTTTTTTAAACTAAACAAAAATATAAGTTAGTTAAAAACAGAAGATTTTAGAAAATAAATGAGTTTTTAATTTTTTTCATATCGTTCCACAACTTCAAACAATTCTAAAAAATTCTTGAGTGTAAAGGAGTATAAAAGACATTTACTGACGATTTTTAATGAGTGACATATTGCACAAAGGTTAAAAAAACGCAGATTTTAATTTTCTTTTCTCGGCTAAAATCGGCTTTTCATTTAAGAATCATGATCATATTATTTTTTCATGTCTTAGACTTCTAAGAATTAGAAAAAAACATTAATTAATTTTGAATTTTACTGTAAAAATAAAAATAAAATTGAAAAAATAGTTTTTTTTTAAATCTCGAAAACCGTTTGAGTTCAAGAGTTAAAAATGTAGGTGAATTATTTTGATTCGACACCCAATCGATCCCTTAAGTGCGAGTTAAAAAAGCTGCGGGGGCAGATTTCCCATATTAATCCGGCTATACCCTTTGTTCGTAAAAATACTACAGGAAATGTAGAAACCAAGAAACGTATTTTCAAAAAAAATATTTTTAGGTTTTGCCTGAAGCTCTGGAAAGATGGCCTGTTAGTTTGTTCCAGAACATTTTGCCCAGGCACTTGGACATCATCTACAAGATCAACCATATCCATTTGGAAAACGTGTTGAAGAAATGGCCTGGTGATTTGGAGAGGATGAGAGCAATGTCACTGGTGGAGGAAGACGGCGACAAAAGAATCAACATGGCCAATTTGAGTATAGTAGGAAGCCATGCTGTCAACGGTGTCGCCAGGATCCATTCTGAAATTATTAAAGACGATTTGTAAGTTGAAATTTGATTTAAACACAATTATAAAAAAGGTTTAACTAGCTTGTTACTAGAACGGGCCTTATTTTTCAAACAAATAGCGGGTGCGTCTCAAAAGTGGCTCACCCTTATAACTTTATTATTTTTTCAAGTAAAAAACCGAGATTTGGTATATTAGTATATAACATAAATTAGGATTAATTGACGTAAATTGTTTTTGGTCACTTCCTGTTTCACCGGAAATGACTACAACTTTTGATTTTTAAATTGCACCCGCGGTATATTTTTACTTTATTCTATAGAAAATCACACTCTGAATAAATGACATCATATGTCAACTTTTGATATTTTCGCTTAAAAAAATTGTATTTTAAATTTCAACCATGGCTGTATTAAAAATACTAATTTTTAATCAACGAGCCTTGGAAAAATAGATTTGATCGTCTAATGTTTTTCGTGTCTTGTCCTACCCGGTTAAAAGGTGCCCAAATCGTATTTTTAATCATATCTCATTTTTTTCAAATTGGCATATTTGGAAAAAGCATTTTTTTACAAATAATTTGGTACCACACACTTGGTATTTCGAGTCAAATTGTCGTTATGAACCGCATGTTACAATTTCAAATAAACCATATGTGCGAAAAAGTCAAAAGTTGACATATGATATATCGTTCTATTCAGAGTGTCATTCTCTATCGAATAGAGTAAAAAATACCGAGGGTGCCATTTAAAAATCAAAAGTTGTAGTCATTTCCGGTGAAACAGGAAATGATCAATAACAATTGAATACGTCAATTAATCCTAATTTATGTCAGGTACATACCAAATCTCGTTTTTTTTTATTTCAAAAAATAAAAAAGTTATAGGGCTGAGCCATTTTTGAGACGCACCCGATATATGACCACTAGATAAACATTTCTCTAATAAAGAGACTACCATCAATAATTAACTATCACGAGGATCGACTTCACATTTCACATAAGACGATTAATAAAAATAAGTCCATATGATGCGGTCTTTTATTTGTGACACTATACAGGGTGGTCCGAACTGTATTCCGGAAACGTCGGCAGCATATTCTGCTGATAAAAATAAGCAAAAAAGTTCGTAGAAAAGTATGTCCAAAAATGCTTTGTTTCGGAGATACAGGGTGTAGAAGTTTCATTTTTATTTCGACTTTTTCCAAATAATTTCCGAAGTAACGTCAATATTTGGATGAAAATTGGTGTCTGGGAGTTTTTTGACATGAGACATTTGATTTTGATGTCAATATGACTCATACTTGTAGAGGGTGCCATCTATACATTTTTATCTGGTTTGAAGAGTAATAACTTTTCGTTCGTACCTGTATAAAATTAATCAGTAAAAAATATACATTTACAACGTCTCTTGGTAAAAATCGCTACTAGGTAGTAATGGTTTTCAAGATATTTGGAATCGAAATTATCAATACCGGTCATCATTGACTTAAATTAAACATGTTGACTAAATAGTTATGAGACTGATATCATAAATTTGAAATATTTTTCTGCCGAAAGTTCAACAGAAACTGTTTTATCATCATTTTTTCGAAGAAAAATAAAAAGTTCCCAAATTTATAAAAAAGTTTTAGTTCCAAATATTGACGTTACTTCCGAAATTATTTCGAAAAAATCTGGAAATAAAAATGGAATTTCTACACCCTGTATCTCCGAAACTAAACATTTTAGGACATACATTCATAAGAACTTTTTTACTTATTTTTATCTGCAGAATATACTGCCGAAATTTCCGGAATACGGTTCGGACCACCCTGTATATCAAGAATTATTATTTTCTAGGTTTAAAAACTTCTACGAACTCTCGCCCGAAAAATTCCAAAACAAAACGAACGGAATCACGCCCAGAAGGTGGCTGTTGCTGTGCAACCCCGGCCTGAGCGACTTGATCTCGGAGAAAATCGGCGAAAAATGGATAGTCCACCTGGACGAACTGCAAAAACTCAAGGCCTACGCCAAAGAGCCCGCCTTCCAAAGAGCCGTTATGAAAGTCAAGCAAGAGAACAAGCTGAGACTGGCCCAAATCCTCGAAAGGGAGTACGGCGTCAAAGTGAACCCGGCCTCGATGTTCGACATTCACGTTAAACGTATTCACGAGTACAAACGGCAGTTGTTGAACGTTCTCCACATTATCACCCTGTACAACAGGATCAAGAAGAATCCTTCGGCGAAGTTCGCGCCTAGGACTGTGATGATCGGGGGTAAAGCTGCTCCTGGGTATTATACAGCGAAAAAGATCATTAAGTTGATTAACTATGTGGCTAATGTTGTGAATAATGATCCCATAGTTGGAGACAAATTGAAGGTATATTTTTGTTCTTCTACTTAAAATTAGATAGGGGTGGGGGTAAATTTCACTTTTCCGTGCTTTTTTTTAGCCGACTATACCAATAGGTATGGTAGGCTATTAAGATCGGCAAAAAAAAAGTTTTTAATTTCACTCAAAATGAGTTATTTGGGTCATAAATGACCTAAATACAAAATATTTTCATGGTGTCTGTCTGTCTGTCCGTCTGTAACACGATAACTCAAAAACCGCTAAACCGATTTTAACCAAACTTGGCACAAAAATACTATGGCACCCGAGAATCTGGCCATTAATTTTTGGTGGGGGTGGGGGATTGGTAAGGGGGTATGGGAGGGGGTTAAAAATTTTAAAAAATCGTAACTCCAAAATTACAGTAGCTAGCGAAACGCGGTTTTCAATTTAAGATTAGGAGTAATATTTGCAACAAAAAACTAAAAGAACTGCCTACCAACTTTTTATTAACATATTTTAGTATGGGCGGCTATAGCCCTTTTATGTGTAGTTAGTTTGAGATGGGTAGATTAAATGATACTTTAACAGCGAGGATAGGTTAAAAACTTTATTTCTTCTCGCACCTTTTTAATTGCTTCCATTTTTGAAAATTTTTGTATTCCTTTTCATAAGTTATTCGGGATTTAAATGGAAGTGGTTTGGATATGGCGTTTGTCGCCTCAGCCTGAATATCTGTTGGTAATTTACTTACTTCGTTTTGAACCATTTCTGGCTCCAATTCAATCAGCAATCGACACGAAAGGGAATTAAAAAATATTGACTCAAAACTGCCAACTAAAGAGACAGCTTTATTTATTTGTCAAATTGCATAGAAACCAACGCCAACCCAGCACAATATTTTTTCTACTCGTAATAAATTCCTTGAAATAATAATTTCTGGATATTTTTTAAAACGTAACTCGCTAACAATAGTTTTATACACGACGATAAAATTGCATTATCGTCTCCCGAAATTAATTCACAATTATATTTAATTCTACCTCAATTTAGGTGATTTTCCTCGAAAACTACCGAGTAACGTTGGCTGAAAAAATCATTCCCGCTGCGGACTTGAGCGAGCAAATTTCCACGGCGGGTACAGAAGCTTCTGGAACTGGTAACATGAAGTTCCAACTGAATGGAGCTCTAACCATTGGTACACTGGACGGTGCCAATGTGGAAATGGCTGAGGAGATGGGCAGGGAAAATATCTTCATCTTCGGAATGACAGTTGAAGAAGTTGAAGCCCTTAAACAAAAAGGTAAAGAAAAAGTCTAGTCTTAGTAGAAGCATAGATAAATGATACAAGTTTAGATTGGAAAGTGCCCATAAGGACAATGTAAATACTATTTGGCGCTATTCTTGCAACGGTCGCGACCCAAAGCTTGAGAAAATTTCGGAGCGGCTCGGCTTTTTCCGGAATTATGTCGCCAATTATTATTTATTCAAATTTATTATCATTTTCTTTTAATTTTATAAATAAAATACAGTGTGTTGCATACAAGAAACTTTATTTTATATAAGGACATGTCTAAAATACCTATGAAACATTGGAAACCGACTTTATGCCACGATCCACGATGGTTTTTGCAGTTCATAGTTCACAGCACAGCTTTTAAAGATGTTAATGCCACTTTTTCACAATTATCACGGGTTTGAGTAAATAAAACTTAATTAAACTCACAAGGTAGCAATAATTACTTTGAAAATGGACGTTTTAAACACTTCGTAATTTTTTCAATGAGAGCGGTTTAGGTTTTGAAACATTTTATAACTTTTGAAGATTCTGACTTTGACAAGAGAATATTTTTGTTTTTGTTTGCGGTTGTTCATAGCAACGACTATAGCAACGCCAGATCGCGTACAACGGTCGCAACCTTTGAATAAGAAGACTAAGGAAGGAGCATATCAAAAATCTTAGGTACACCGCGATGGGCCTCAAATATGTCCGACTTAAATTCCGGTTTATCAGTGTCGTTCTAATTTTATTTAAAAAATGTAAAACTATGATGTAGGGTAGACGTGGGGTAGACTCAATAATTTGTTGTTTTATTTTACGTTGTGAATAAATGTTGGTAGTTATAAAAATTGTTATAAAAATATATAATTCTAATAAAAATAGATAAGTTATAACTTTGAGTTATAATAAGTATTTATTAACACAAACATCCGATACGCTACTGAAGCAGGTAAGTCAAATTAACGTATCTAAATTCTTTGACATCTAATCTTTGACAAGTAATAAATAAAAACTGAAATGCAAGAAAAATATATAATTTAGTTAATTTAAGTGAATTTCATAAATGATCGGTTTACTACACGTATGTATATTATATAGTCACTTACTAGCGAAAAGTTGTTCCATTATTTCACTCAATTTTTGCCGAGATCTACCGCACGCTACACAACCAACTATTTTAGAGTCTTTTTCGATAAATCGCGATAGTGTCACTGTTAATTTAAGTTCTGCCACAATTTCCATCTAGATTTACTACCTTTATACAACTATCAGTAGTAGAATAAATAATAAATAACATAAAATAAGCTCCGTATAGACTGACAAATCCACAAAATTTCAAATCAAATTCAAATGTGTCAAATGAATCGTCAAACAGAACTGTCAAGGATCCCCACCCTAGAGTGCTTTTTCCGCCCACCATGCATGAATACATGGATAGCATTATGCTCCTTCCTTAGTCTTCTTATTCAAAGTCGCAACCCAAAATTTTGACGGGCATTCTAATCTAAATTTAGAAGTATTGCAACAGTTTTTTGGTACTATACAGGGTGCGTTTACTACGATGTTCTCTATGGGTATCTCGGACACTACTGGAGATAGAGAGTCGGTTAAATAGGGAAAGAATTGCAGTTTTGTGGGGTCATAAATATGCACCTTTCAGATTTTTGAAAAAGTTCATGGTTTACTAGATATTTCGAAAAAAACAAATTTCGGCTATTTTAAAAATTGTCTCTAATTCCATTATAAGCTATTTTAGACAAAAAGTTTTCAGATAAAAGTTGTAGATAATCACATCCTTAATTTAAACATCCGTTTTTTTCTAAAGCCTGGCATTTTTGACATATGACACAAACATATGTTTTTTTAAATAGAAACCATAGTTGGCCATGACTTCATAAAAAGCGCCTTTTTTTAAGCTTTTCAGCGATACGAGCTATAATATGTTTTCTTCGAAAAATTACTGAGTTATAGCCAATTCTTATCATTTTTAAACAATTTCACTTAGCCATGGAAACAAGTTTAATCGTTTTTGCTCTCATAAATGTGAAGCTGTTACATCCAAACTTTGTAAATTAAAATAAAAAAAAATGTAAATACGAATTTTTCAAATGAAGGAAAGCGTGTAGATACTCGTGCATCAATAGAGTGGTTCCAACATGACTTTCATTATGACACACCACCCCCCACCCTTCATAATGAAAGAAATGTTAAAAATTATTTATATCATAATTATACAAACGCAGGGATAGGAAGAGGTGGACTAATTGCATGGGCCTCCTCGATCACGTGACCTATCCATTTTAGATTTTTTAAGCGGTATAGTTAACAATAAGGTTTACAAAAAAACTTATGAATTAAGAGAGGCACTTGAAGTGGCGGTACGAGAAAAGTTTAATTAAGTCGACCGGTTCTTCTGTGAGAATAGGTAGTAATTCAGTTTTAAAAAGATGCTACTCAAAACAATGGCGGATTTTTTGAACCTTTTCTAAAATAACTTAAAGTGTATGTAGTGATATTAATTTTTTAAGTTTTAGTTTGTGTAATGTAAATTGTAAAGAACCGTATAGTAATATATTCTGACTTTTTATAAGTTATAAATCATAACAGAATAAGAATACCATGCAATCTAAGTGAAATTAGTCAAGAAAGATAAGAATTGGCTATAACTAAATTTAACTTTTCTAACATGTCTTGAAAACCGTTCTCTAAAAAACGTAACATTCACCGGTCAACGTATCCTCGAAAATGTATGGTCAAGAAAAGTTGAACCACAGGTTGAACCAATCATCCTACACACTTTTCTTCATTTGAAAAATTCATATTTACAATATTTTTGTTTATTTTAATTTATAGTTTGTATGTGACAGCTTCACATTTCTGAGAGCAACGGCCATTGAACTTGTTTCCATGGCTAAGTAAAATTGTTTAAAAATAATAAGAATTGGCTATAACTCAGTAATTTTTCGAAGAAAAGATATTATAGCTTATATCACTAAAAAGCTTAAAAATGGCGCTTTTTATGAAGTCATGGCCAACTATGGTTTCCATTGAAAAAAACCTATGTTTGTGTCGTATGTCAAAAATGACAGGAGGACACAGTCTCATTAAGGATGTGGTTATCTACAACTTTTATCTGAAAACTTTTTGTCTAAAATAGCTTATAATGGAAATAGGGACAATTTTTAAAATAGCCGAAATTTGTTTTTTCAAAATATCTAGTAAGCCATGAAGTTTTTCAAAAATCTGATAGGCGCATATTTATGACCCCACAAAACTGCAATTCTTTTCCCATTTAACCGACTGTCTATCTCCAGTAGTTTCCGAGATACCCATAGAGAACATCGTAGGAAACTCACACTGTATTATTAATACTAGACATTTTTTCTATAACAAACAGATGATTAAAAGTTATACTTAATTGTAATCATCTCCTGTTTGCTGTTTGTTTTTATTTCAACAATAAAATGTCTAAAATAAATTGATTATTTCCAGGTTACAACGCTTATGATTATTATAATTCTAATCCTGAACTGAAGCAAGTGGTGGACCAAATCCAGAATGGCTTCTTCAGTCCAAATAATTCAGATGAATTCAAAGATCTAGCCGACATTCTGTTGAAGTACGACCGATTTTATTTGCTGGCCGATTATGCCGCTTATATTAAGAAACAAGAGGAAGTCAGTACAACCTATCAGGTAAATTACTATACAAATTCTAGTCTGTTTCCAAAATCACATTGATACAAACATTACTTTGTTTGTTCGAAAATGTGTTTTTCAATTTTCAACATAATCTCCCAAATGTTTCCTCCTTTTGAATCCTTCAAAATAATGTATTTTGCATTTAGAAACACAGTAGGTGTCTGTCAATAGTCAATATACAGTAGGGTGGGCCGAAAATTTGAATTTTGGAAATTTGCTTTGGAATAGTGCGGAAAAGTTGCGTCTTGTTATTCCAATAAAAATGTTTATTACCGGTTTTTCAATTGTAGTGCGTCTTCTACCCCCTACCAGAACTTAAAAATTTCCAAAATTTTGAAAAATTTGTTTACGAAATTTTGATTTGGAATAGGGCGCAAAATTTTTTTATCTGATTCCAACAAAAATATTTATTTCCTGTTTTATTATTACATTACGTCTTCTGCCCCCTACCGGACCGGAAACACACCGGAAACTTTAAGAGAAAATAATAATTCATTTCTTTTATGGAAAAAGGTGTATTCTCTACGTTATAATTTGTACCTTTTAAATTATTAGCCTAAAAATTAGGAAGAACAAATAAGAAACCTCATTATTTAAGGTAATAAAAAAATTATAACAATAAATTTTCCAATCCATCCCTCTTTTTGGAACCAATTACTGATAACGAAGCTGACAATCTTTCCACCGTTTGGGTGTGACAAGGATAATGTGGAAACTCAAAATTTTTGTTCTGTACTTCTTTTATTATTTCTTTTAATTCTTCAACTTCTACGTTACGAAGTAGAGGGGGCGAAGTTATTGTGATGTTTTGCCAGTCTATTAAATTGGTATAATCATCTGCATCCAGATTTAGTTGCGGTATTATAAATGGACGAATTTCTCCTGGATCTTCCCTTTTCTTCGCATTTAAAATACGGCGCATTGCCAGCTCTCTAATGTAGTGGCGGGGGTCACTTATCATACATATTAACATGTTTTCCGGGTGTGCAAAAAAGGCATTGCGTTGTATGACTGGATCTACAATTGCTCGCAAATCATCCCTTAAATATCGTGTTAGTTGAATGGTTTGCCAAACATGTTTTGCACCATTTTCACAAGATGGGTTCGATTTAATTATAAACCACATCGGCGCATAAACTCTCAATATAAAAGTTGTCAAATCTTTTAAATTTGAGTTGGGCTTTTCGGTGGCAATATACAGCCGTAATAGGCCGTTTGCCAAAGTAAGCCATCGGGAATGACTGATTTTTCCTGGATTTTGGTTCGCTAAATCTGCAGAACATTGTCCAGAGGATATTTCACGGCAAATTTTGTACAGATATCTCTGATCCGTACTTAAGTCACAAACATCTAGTTCGGGTAATTTACAGTCAATTACTTCAAATTGAATAACTGGTAAATTTTCACATTGAACTAACAACTTACCCAGTGGCCCTGCAAACGCCTTGTGGTCGGTTGTTCGGCCATCAATATGCTGAAAAAGATGTCGTAATGGTAATTCATTTCCATGAAGCTGGCAGATAAATCGTCGAAAAGGACGTCCTAGCTTCACTTCAAGTAGAGAAATAACCTCGTTTTTTGATCCTGTGTTGACTACTGTTCCATCACACCCCACTGCTAGTATGCCTGACAATTCATGGTCATTTTCTTGTAAGAAGTCAACTATACTTCGAACTAGGTCTTTTGCTGATCCTGAAGAAGGCGTTGTATGGCCTAGAAACACTGAGCCTGGCTCTTGTACCACAATAATATGTTCTTCAACCAAGGTTTTTCTATGAGATCTCTCATCTTTTTTTTTCAATAATCAAAGTTTTGTCTTTCCGACCGTCAAAGTAAATTGCATTTATCGGTTCATATTTTAGGGAACCTTCAAGTTTATTTCTAACATTTTCTCTAGCTCTTCTTAACTTATTTTTGTCTATTACTTGTACTGAACTGTCTTTTGTTACAATTCCAACATCTTGTAAAACAGCGGTAGCTACCGCTGCTGCAGATCTGTCTGATAATCCATATCTGTCACATACTTCAGCAAGTGTAGGTAGTTGAAGTGTATTTTTAGTAGTTTGCATTTTAGTTATGGTGTGTTGAGAAGTAGAAGGTATTTGATAACCTGTATCGAAGTTAGAGAAGGAGGAAGCTGGCATATTAGTCAATATCGTCGAAGAAGTCTTTAACCGTTTTCAGGGCAAAAACTGTTGTATATTTTTTCCCTTTTCTGCATTTGTGTAATTCTACTGGCCCTATTTATAAGTTTTTTTGTCTCCTGTGCATCGATACCTCTTATGGCCATTTTTCTGGAAGTTCTCTGATCCACAAGAAAGGGGCGTTCTTTTGACGGTATCTGTAAAAATATTCTTCTGTTAGATAAGAAAAATGGTTAAACGAAACAAAAACATACCTTTTTTTCTTTGCTACAAGAACATTCCTCAAAGTTTTCACACTTACAGGCACTTATATCGAAAAGTTTTTTGTTACCTGTTTTAAAATTTTCAAGTACTAAAACATAGTTGTGATTCCTTTTAACTTTCGGGTACCACAAAAGCTTGACGTAAATATCATGATGCATTTTTATGAGTTGCAAAACACGTTTACGTGTCACTGTAGGGATTGACGCTTTCTCCCATAAACTTAGGATCTTATCAGCCAGAATGTTTGAAATTTCTGAAACTGTTGGTTCTTTTCCACAATTGGCAGGTTTTAAGCTATACCTTATCCATAAAAAGCACTTAAAACATCTTCTTGTGTAGGAAGAATGTTATCATTTAAATCTGCCGGTGATCCAACCAAAGGACACATGATGTCTTGTCTTGTATAACAGGACTTTGAGAAACTCATTACTTGATTATTTATAAATAACGAACACTAACAAATCACGAAACCACGAAACAAATACACGCCGCTATCATGTTTGTCTAACAACAGTTTGACACAAAGTCAGGGTCGTATTTAGGCCAGAAGTTTTCGTATATTTTAAAATGTTATGATTTAATAAGAGTAGGAGGCAGAAGGCGTAATGTAATAAAAAAACGGTAAATACATATTTTGTTAGGAATAATAAATGAAAAATTTTGAGAGATATTCCAAATCAGAATTCCAAAATTTGATTTTCAAAATTTTCGGAAATTTTCTGGTAGGGGGCAGAAGACGTATTACTATTGAAAAACTCATAATAAACATTTTTATTGGAATAACAAAAGGCAACTTTTCCGCACTATTCCAAATCAAATATCCAAAATTTAAATAAAAAAAAAGGCTTTTTCGACCCACCCTAATATACAGGGTGGTCAGAACTGTATTCCGAAAACTTCGGCAGCATATTCTGCAGATAAAAATATGTAAAAAAGTTCATATAAATGTATGTCCTAAAATGCTTAGTTTCGGAGATACAGGGTGTAGAAGTTTCATTTTTATTTCAATTTTTTCCAAATAATTTCTGAAGTGATGTCAATATTTGTATGAAAATTAGTATCTGGAAGTTTTTTGACGTGAGAAATTTGATTTTGATTATTTGTAGGGGACGCCACTTTGATTTTGTTGTCAATATGTTTCCTACTTGTAGAGGGCGCCATCTACATATTTTTTAACTGGTTTGAAGAGTAATAACTTTTTGTTCATACCTGTATAAAACTACTGAGTGAAAAAATGTACATTTTCGTGATTTTCTACGTAAAAAATGTCTCTTGGTAAAAATCGATACGAGCAACCGTTCTCAAGATATTATTATTTAGAATGGAAATAGTCAATACATGTCATTATTGACTAAAAATAAACATGTTGAGCAGATAGTTATTTGACTGAAATGAGAAATTTGGGAACTTGGGAACTGATTCGTACGGGTTCGTACGAACTAATTTTGGTAATATTCCTTCATAATTTCATTTCAGGATCAATCTAAATGGCTGGAGATGGCCATCAACAACATTGCCACGTCCGGCAAATTCTCCAGTGACCGTACCATCATTGAATATGGCCGAGAAATTTGGGGCGTGGAACCTAGCTACGAACAGCTACCCGACCCCTCAGTACCTAGAGAACTAGCTTTAAAAGACAATTAAACTTCCAACTTAAGTTAAAGACATCTAAATCAATAACGAAATAAGATCTTCGCTTCTTGGAATCTTAAAAGTGATATAATTTTGATAGATTGGGCATAATTTTTTATAAACACGCTGCCTCCTTTATATTATGGTGTCATCGAATGAAAATCGCGTCATAGTAGGCATAGAAATTACATTAAAGTTACTATTTAACACAGCTAAAATGATATTTCTATGTCCGTTGTGACGTTATACTTATTTGATCGATATTTGTAGATAAATATAACAAATTATAAAATTATTTTTCAAAGTTCGCACATATTGTATAAACGCATATAGAAATATTTATAGTATAAAGTTATTTTGTTCATTTATTAATGCATATTAATTAAAGCATCTCTCTTTCTCTCTCTTAGGGCGTTTACACACACGCCGGCAAAATCGGTGCCGGTGCCGGACCTGAAGTCGATTGCAATATAAATAAATTAGCTCTTTCACATATACTCCGATCCGGTAAAATAGTCGGGGACCGGCAAATACAATAGAATTAAATACAACTGTCGTAACGGGTGCATTTTGCCGGTGTGTGTGCAAGCGCTCTTATATAGTTAAAATTTTTACAATATATTTTTATCTAGTAACGTATCCTTTGTAAGGACATTATGTTCATTGTTAGTGTGTTCATTTTGATTTTTAACAGTATAAACACTGTGTTGTTGATTGTTGAACGTATATGAATTCTATCTAAAAATATGTGTTGGTTTGATGTTAAATTAATAGTTATAAAGACGAAGAAATATACGAAATAAAGATATAACAGAAGCCTTTAATTTTAAAGATCTAACTATTACTATTAAAATAGTTTTTTTGTATATTGATTAAGGCACTGCGATATAGAATGTATTTATAAAAATACTCACTAGTTTTCGATGCATGTTTGTTATAGATTTAAAAATTAAATAAAAATATAGAATACCTATTATAAAATAATGTGTTTTAATGTTTTACAGATTATTTAAATTATTTTATTCAAAATGGCTACCATGACGTCTCATCGGTCTTTAATGTATGACCTGTGTGTATGACTAAAATATTTTAATGATACAACATTAACTTTTATGTTTTTGGGCAATTCTATTACACGTAGATATACAGGGTGTTTTAAACATGTGCAAATATGTTTCGGGGTGGTATATTTCGGCTCCAGAATACGCCTATGAGAATTTTGCATTTTTCGATAAACAAATTAATTGGCTTTTTTTAAATTTGTAGTTGAAAACATTATTTAATATCTTGATAATATGGCAACACAGGTAGTTTGAATCAAGAAGAACAAACACCAAAAAAAAATCCAGTGGTGCTCAAAATTTAAGGAAAATAGTAGTGATGGGATAACTCGAGCGAAAATTCGCTCGAGTACTCCATTTTTGAAATAATCGACATCGCTCGATTATGAACGAGCGATGCAAGTGACGAATACCAAGCGACGAACGCAAGCGATCCTAGAATGAAATAAATTGAAATCCGATTTTAATGTGACATATTCGATAAAAAGCCGAGCGAATTTTCTACATACATTGCAGGTATAGTAAACGCCACGAATGTTTGGGAGTGATTCATCGCTTGATGAAGTTAGAATAGACACGCGCGCTATCATTTTTGCATTAAAAACGTAATTTTTTACCGCAGACGTAGGTTTTTAAAGGCCCGGTCTATTCATCTGCCTGCGCTCCTCCTTCTTATTCTAAAATGTTAGCGTGATTGACAAAGACGATACTATATCGCGTTTCTTTGATTGATTCGTTTTTGTGCGTCAGTCCATTGGAGTGCTTGCAGTGCGACCAATGGGGCATTCCATTTTATATTTATAACCAAATATATGTTTTGACAAGACTTTGACAGTTAAAACAACAAATTACAACAGATTATATATTGATCATTATATGACTTGAAACACCACGGCACTGGAATTAAGTTTTATGTGACCTTGATCAGATTAGTTCACATGGTAGCGACCGATGAATCACTCCCAAACATTCGTGGCGTTTACTTTAGCAAATTTATACGACGCCGTATATACCGGGTGCGTCTCAAAAGTGGCTCACCCCTATTACTTTTTTATTTTTTTAGATAAAAAATGAGATTTGGTATGTTAGTATATGACATAAATTAGGATTGATTGACTTATTCAATTGTTTTCTGACACTTCCTGTTTCACCGGAAATGACTACAATTTTTGATTTTTAAATGGCACTCTCGGTATTTTTTTACTTTTTTCGATAGAAAATGACATTCTAAATAGAATGACGTATTATTTGTCAACTTTTGACATATTCGCTTAAAAACAAATTGTATTTTAAATTTCAATCTAGAGTGCCATGGCTGTGTTAAAAACACTAATTTTTAATCAAGGAGCCTTGGAAAAATAGATTTGATCGTCTAATGTTTTTAGTGTCTTGCCCTGGCCGGTTAAAACATGCTCAAATCGTATTTTTGATCATATCTCAATTTTTTTCAAATAGCACGAGGGTGGCTCATTAGCATATTTCGAAAAAGATTTTTTTTGCGAATAATTTGATACCACACACTTTGTACTTCGAGTCAATGAGTCGAGCCGCATGTTATATGTGTCGTTATGAACCGCATGGTACAATTTCAAATAAACCATGTACGAAAATTTTTAAAGCCTTCCATAGCGAAAATGTCAAAAGTTTACATGTGATATGTCATTATATTCAGAGTGTCATTTTCTACCGAGTAAAGTAAAAAAACACCGAGGATGCGATTTAAAAATCCGGTGAAACCGGAAGTGACCGAAAACAATTGAATATGTCAATCAATCCTAATTTATGTCATATACTAACATACCAAATCTCGTTGTTTTATCTGAAAAAATATAAAAGGTATAGGGGGTGAGCCACTTTTGAAACGCACCCGGTATATTTATCCGTTGCGTATATGAGAGACAAAATTTTACGACCTACATCAACAATGCTTCGAAATAAACTAAATCAGGCGATCAAGTAAATCGCTCGCCGCTTACTACTTGCCGTTCATTACCGAAAGAATATGTGCCCTGCACACGCAGCTTACTGCTTGGCGTTAACAAGTACTTACAACATGCGACGGACAAAAACCGTATTTTTACAGTACTGTCCGTTCTGTAGCTACGGGGTATCCGTGAGAGGGGAAACGATATTCTCTCGATGTTTTTCGTAAAAAAATAGACGACGCTTTCCATCAATAAAAATTCAACAAATTTGCAAGTAGCCAATAAAATGAGTGGGCGGAGCGATTTGCGGTGACGCACTCGTCAAATCGACGAAATATATTGCTGTTTATTTAAATGTTTTTTGTCCGCATTCCTTTCATAGACACAGATCCAGCAGATGTACTGTAAATACGAGTGATATTTCGCTCGACTGATCACTCGGTTATTGCAATCGCTTGATACTCGAGTACTCGATTATTGAAATTAATAAAAAAATAATTAATAAATTAATGGGTTTTTCCAATCACATAGTATATTGTTTTATTAGGAGTAAAAATTACACTTTTTGTGGCGAGGTTGTACGTTTGACGTACACAAAAAGGCGAGGCACAAAAAGTCATTTTTACTCTGAACAGAACATGCTATTTTTTTTCAAACGTTACAAATATTTTTTTTTTCAAACGTCACAAAAGTATAATTTTTGCGACGGGATTGACAAGATAAAAAAGTAATTTTAACGCCTAGGCATTAAAGGAAAGCACATTTACGCTAAAAGCACAAAAGTATGATAATATATTATTAAACTGAGATAAGGTGTCAAATTCAACGAGCGTAACCATAGTTTCTCGATATATAATTACTTACAAAGTATTACTTTTAAATCTTTTTATATTATTTAAAAAGTTTAAAATTGTTTAAAAGATTATTTATGACGTTTGACAAAATACCGTATGATCGAAAAAAACGGCGTCCAGTTGGCTTGGAAATGACGATCTATGACATTCCCCATATAATTTTACTTATAAAATGACAAAACGGTGCCCGGTGGCGTAGAGGTACAGGCTCTCGTCTACTAATCTCGAGGTAGTGGGTTCGAATCCCACACTCGGCATTTCATCAGCCGACTATTTTTATTAAAATAAAAATAGTTTGGGTACCTACAGCCTTAAATAAGTACTTGAGATTCACAATCCTGAGGTAATAATAGGCGATTGAAGCGTAGTGCTAGCCACATTACCTTCCTTGTATACCGAACGGCTCTAGTATGACAAGCTGTACCTTGCTACTCCCAAGGCGTCAAACGCTATATACGGGAGCTATTATTATTATTATAAAATGACAGCGATCTTCATTTCATAGCCATCGCTGACGCCATTTTTTTGTACCATGTTCGGAGTAAAAATGACTTTTTGTGCCTTGCCTATTGTAATGTCAAACGTTTGTGTATTTTAGACTCACCCTGTAAACTTAGTGAGACATAAAAAAACTTAAAATTAAATTTTTGAGAAAAACCTTTAATCACTATATCAACCAACCTTGAATGAACTACTGTGCTTTCTATGACTCATTTTAACGCTTCTGGTTTAAAAGAAAGACACTTAAATCTACAATGCATATGTATATGTTATTGAAAAAATAAGGTATTTCCAACGAACCATGGCAGGGACCATTTCTCTTAAAATGACCTCAGTTGTAGCGCTTGTATTATTATAAATACGGTAATCGCTTAATTCCCAATCAGACTAAAATCCAAATCGAGTAAACATCTGCAAACCGCAAATCGTTCAACGAACGCTTATAAAAATAAGAAACAGATAATGTTAGAGCTTAGTTCAAGAGAACAAATAAGATAAAGAAGATGTCTCATAATATGGGAAAGTTGCAAGTGTTGATATTTCTTTTGGTTGTCGTATTTGTCGCGAACGTAAAACATGTTTCTAGTCGCGTATATGGTAAGTACCTATTTTTTATTTAATTCTATGGTCTATAAATATTCGTTTTTATAAATAATATCTATTCCTTTGTAGCAGTTTCATTTTTTTTAATCCTGGATATTTCGCCTCTGAAAGAGAAATCTAAATTAAAAAAAATTGCGTGTACACTATGTGCGCATATATGAAGTGAAACTGCTATTAAAATTGAAGGATTCGAAGGTCATGTTTGAAAAAGTGTAGTTTGAAATGTTGAAAAAGTAATAAATTAAAAATTAATAAATAATTAAATTCACTTTCACAAATTTAATTTATTAATTTATAGTTTGAAAATGATCGGGTGTATTAATATACACTCGGCACGTGGATAATTCCACGTGCTGGATACTCTCTGTATGTTTTGCAAATAATTTTAAAGTGTAGTTTTAGTGGTCGATCGATAATTCCATTACTCAAAATTTCCACAAATCTAATCATTTGGCTACAATGTGCTATTGTGCACAATGTGCAACTCTGTGTCGAATAGCTTGAACAACCCTGTATATATTTTAACTGATAACTAAAGTCAGGCAATTTTTCTACTAAAAAATAATAATGACGAAAGAGATCTTGTTAGTTAGTGGCGCGCGTAAAGAACCTAGAATTGTGTGAAGAATCCTAAAACTGAATTATACAGGGTGCTACAAATTCGAGGTACGAGCATTGGTATCTCGGTAACCGTAATAGATACGAAGATGGTTAAATTGGGACAAAGTTGCGCTTTGGGATGTTCACCAAGATACCATCAAAAAAGTTTTAAAAATTTCAAGGATTGCTGAGTTTTTTGGGAAAAACTGATTTTTTTGAAAATCAAATTTATTTTTTTCTGTCGTTACTTTTTAGAAAATCAAAAAACTAATTGCACATTCTCATAGCCACTTTATTAGGGCTATCTGATAGTATTTTTAGATTTTCAAATTAGCTGATAATTTTTGAGATACAGAGGCGAACTTAATTTTTTTAAATATGGACCTGCATTTTTAATTTCATATTTTGAAAGAAGTCTTCTGAGTACAATGATATGCCCCACTTAATATTTTTTTTGTTTTGACATTTGAACACAATTTATTTAAACTAATTTCAAGTCCGTCTCTGTTTTTTTTAATATATTTAATCTATTCATCGTTACAATATTGATAAGCTTTCAAACTTAACAATGACGTGGTGTAAAACATTGAATACGGAAAATCAAATGGAATAAGATAATTAATATAAATATAATATTATAATATAAACAATCAAATCATTTTCCCGGATGTTGTATTGGAAATGGTAGAGCAGTATAATGTCCAACGAGGTTCCTGGACCTATCGCCAAGGGGCTACATTATTTGACGTCATCTGTAAAAGTGAAATCAATTCATCTCAACATTTACAATAAAGAGTACAAAATGCATTCGGAAGTATAAGAAAAAAGTTTAAAGAGCTATAAATATAATTGAGCGAAAAATAAATTTGTGCAATAGGGAGGGTCGTAGAATGTCTTTCGAACATGTAGAACATTAGAAACTAGTTTGTAGAAGTTGATTTATTTATAATAACTACCATTAATATTATGCATATTATTAGATCTCACTCTGAAATTTCAAATTCACAATAAAAAAAATTAAAAATAATATCTTTAAATTACTGACCTGGATATTATTTAGTTGAATCTTCCAATTGGCTCAATTTTCCTTATTCAATGTTAATTAGTGCTGCTCAATATTGTTGCGATGAATATAATCTGATTAAATAATTTAAGAAACCAGACTCGGACTTGAAGTTATTTTAAATAATAATTAAATATTTTTGTTGCTGTTAAGGTATCCAGAACAAAAAAAGGTATAAAGTGTGGCATATCATTGTATTCAGGAGACAGAGTTCTTTCAAAATCTGAATTAAAAAGGGCAGGTCCGTATTTAAAAAAATTAAGATGGTCTCTGTATCTCACAAATTGTCAGCTAATTTGAAAATCTAAAAATACTGTCAGATTGCCCTAATAAAGTGGCTATGAGAATATGCAATTCGTTTTTTGATTTTCTATAAACTAACGACAGGAAAAAATAAAATTGATTTTCAAAAAAATCAGTTTTATCCAAAAAACTCAGCAATCCTTGAAATTTTTAAATCTTTTTTGGTGGCATCTAGGTGAACATCCCAATACGCAACTTTGCCCCAATTTAACTATGTTCGTATCTATTACGGTTACCGAGATACCAATGCTCGTACCTCGAATTTGTAGCACCCTGTATACAGAATGTCGTATTTAAAATAAGAAAGTTGGTATTAGTCGCTGCTACATGACGGACACTCTATGAAAAGTTTTTGTTGGAATAAATACACCACTAAAACAAAATACCAGTCGACATTTTTTTCCAAAACTTGACTATTTATTTCAAAATTTATTTACTATCCAATTTAATACACACTGTAGGTATATATTTTTCTGTCCAGTCAGTGATTTAAAGAATTTGTTATACTGATCCAAACACATGCTTCTTAAAACATATGATTGACTAAATAAATTCTTGGATTTTAAAAAAAATATTGAGCTTATTTAAAATAAACTAAATATTAGAATTGCCAGTGACTAAATATAAGTAATAAGGTTAGTCATTAAATGAATGAATAATAAACGAAAAACCAACCAGATTAAGTAATTATTTAGATCACTTATATTATTAATGAGCAATTTCCTATTATAGCCTTATTAATGCACTTCTTAATTACACATCTATTATTTTTATTTTTAAAAACATGTGTTCATTGTCTTTTTTTAAATTTAAATACAGCATGTATTTTTGTTTGTGAATAGTAATAAATACATTGTTAAAAAATAACATCTGTGAATAAACCAGTGAAACGTAAAAAATTAACATGTATTTCTAATGAATTTAGATATTATGCTAAATTAGTTTTATATCAACTATATAAACGACGTTCTAAAATAGAATTGACGTCTTAATATACGCAGAAGATATAATTTATCATTATTTTATCACTTATTAATGTTTAAAAAGTAGAATTTAATTCTATGATAAAATTAACTGCTTTTAGGTTTATACAACCCTGGACTAAAATTTGATTCTGACTTTAGTGATAGCGGTAAGTACATTTACATAAAATACGCTGAAAAAAAAACTTTAAACAGATATTAACTTAAATTCTAATAGCCATATATGTATTGTATACTGTAGACAACGGGAGGATCTCTGCTCACAGTGACAGTTGTATCTCTCATTTTAATTCACAGATAAATTGTATTTTCTGTCATTTTTTGGTTGTCGTCTGTCAAAATTTTCACTGAACCTCTGGACCAGACTATATTTACAATTTATCTATTTTCATCAAGTTATAATTTAACACAAAAAGCGCTAATTTTTCTCGGGATATAATATTTGAAAATATAAATTTATTAATATTATATTATTTTGCAAATATAAATTATATTTTTTTATAGATGATGAGTTTTCTGATGAGTTCGATGTCCATAATCACTGGGGTCGATTAGGTAAGTAGTTGATTTTTTTCCTTAAAACTACATAAACTTACAGTACGTCTGCTGGATCTGTGTCTATGAAAGGAATGCGGACAAAAAACATTTAAATAAACAGCAATATATTTTATACGTCGACTTGCCAAGTACGTCACCGCAAATCGCTCCGCCCACTCATTTTATTGGCTACTTGCAAATTTGTCGAATTTTTATTGATGGGACGCGTCGTCTAATTTTTTACGAAAAACATCGAGAGAATATCGTTTTCCCTCTCACGGATAGCCCGTAGCTACAGAACGGACAGACGTACTGTATATGTATAATAAATGATTTTACTTAATAAGTGCAAATATTAATTCTTAAATAAGTGCAAATATTTTCAAGGCTGGTAGATCTGGATAAAAGAAACATATTTTCTCTTTAGCGTTTTTCAAATAAGTTTAAAATAAGCGAGTTATTTTACTTCGAAAATTAAAAAAAATGATTATTTGCTAATATTTTGGGAACCACTGGATCTTCTCTGGGTTTCATTTCTTGTAAATATAATTTACTACTTATATTGTTATATTATAAACAAGTTATGTCTTTTAACTAAAAATTAAAAACAATTCCAAAATTTTTTCAAAAAATTCCAAATTTTCATTTTTTTGCAAAAAAACCTCATAGTCATGTTTCTGGGGTCGAAATATACTACCTCTAAAAATATTTGCATTTATTTAAAACTCACCCTGTATCTGTACTCCAGATGCAAACTATGTTAACTCACAAAACACAGTTTTGAGAAAAACTATTTTACTCTAACGAAGGATTACTTTGACGCGGTTTTTTCTTCAATAGGTTTTCACCACCACCGTCGCATTGACGATGACAGTATAGAATACCCTCCACACAAACATTTTGGGCATGGACACCATCACTTTGGTCATGGATGCAATCGTAGAAAATCGACAACACCAACTCCCTCAGAAACCACAACTCTATCAACAATTTCTACCATATCTACAACTGCATATAAAAAAACCACTGCCTCTTTCTATCCTAGTATAGATCCAAGAGTAACAACAATTACAGCACCAAAGGTAACATCAACTGATAGGAGTATTGTCCCATCCAGTGAAGAGCCAAGAGTATCAACACCTAGAGCACCAAAGACTGAATCAGCCGAAGAAATGACTGTTTCACCCAATGTAGAGCAAAAAGTATCAACACCTAGAGCACCAAAGACAGAATCAGCCGAAGAAATGACTGTTTCACCCAGTGTAGAGCGAAAAGTATCAACATCTAGGACACCTAAAATTGATATTAGAGTTAGAGAAGACCTACCAGATGATACAGTACCAACACAGTAGAATAGAGACAAACTACATAACCAACAAACTTTAATCATGAAACCTAAAAGATAAATCTGCTCTGATTTTTAAATCTTGAATATGTTTTAAATCCATTCATTTACTGTTAACCTTTAAAAATGTTTTTTTTCAAAACGTCACAAAAGTATTAACTTTTGCGTCTTGACTGACAATATAAAAAGTCATTTTAACGCCTAGGCATAAAAGTACGAATCCTCTTTTTATATTATTAGGAACATTAGGAACGTTTAAAATTGTTTAAAGAAATTATTTGTGACGTTTAAAAAAAAATAGCTTGTTCTATTCGGAGTAAAAATAACTTTTTGTGCCTAGCCTGTAATGGCAAACGTACAGCCTCGCCACAAAAGGTATCATTTTTACTCCTAATGAAACAATATACTATTTTTTTTAATTTCACAAAAGAAACAGAGAATATGACTGATGGTGAATATTTATCTAATAAAACAATATTTTTTCAAACAAAAATATATTTATTTCATATAAACATTAACATAAACAAAATGATAAATACAAACATACACTTAATAAGACGTGTGATATATACAATATTTTTTAAACCCTTGCATTACCTTTGACTATAGCTCCTAAAATCGTCATAGCCCTTTTTTGGGGTTCGATCACAAAAACTATGTTTTCATTGGACGAAACGCGTAGTACTGAGTTGGTAGGTAAAGCTACACCTCTTAGTATCATTTTGAAACCTCCCAATCCTTCATATCTAAAAAAATAACAATTAATTGGCCAGATTTTGAGCCAAACAATGATGGAAGCAGACGTGGTGCAAAAAATACCAGACACATTTTTCAAGAATAGTACTAATGTATTATGTAATTTTTACGTGTGAATGCCCAATCTATTCAGTGATATTACCTAAATGTTGGACAAGGTATATTAGAGTCACCAGAAGAAGCCAACAATAATGGTTCAAAGGACACTCCACCTATAAAATGGACATCTAAGGGAGATGTTAATGGAATATGTTGCCATTCTCTAAATTGTCTTGAAGCGGTGTCCAACCTATAAACAGATAATTAACGATATTTTCATAGCAAAATTTAAGTCATTATGCAAACAGGTACCTTTTAACTGATATTCTACCAACGTTAACTGTGCCTTCATTTGAAATGATCGAAAATGCTACAAATGGTACCCCATCTATTATGGCGGTGGCCAAACCTATTAAAACATTATTTAAATATTTGTTCAGATATTTTTTAGAGCGGGTTGTTGTACAGGGTGTCCCAAATTAGATGGTGATCAATGGAATATAAGAAACCATAAAAGACAAAATACAAAATATAAAAAAATGGTTAAGTGTGAGTCGGACTCGCGCACGAAAGGTTTCCGTACCATTCATTGTTTAAAAAAATTATTTGTGACGTTTGAAAAATATAGCTTTTTCTATTCGGAGTAAAAATAACTTTTTGTGCCTCGCCTGTAACGTCAAACGTACAGCCTTGCCACAAAAGGTATTATTTTTACTCCTAATAAAACAATATTTCTATATACAGGGTGGCGCACCTCATTCGCCTCGGTTGATTATAGGAAAACGGAAAGATGTAGAAACAAAATATTTTATGGGTATATGTGGGGAGGCAACGTGTACAATTTAAAATTATTTTGAAATATACAGGGTGTCTGAGAACTAATATCCATACCAAAGTTATATTTTTTTATGGAACACCTGGTATTTTATTTCATTTTTGGATTCTTGGGCCCAAAAAAAGGCATTTATTATAAGGGTTAAATATGTTTAAAATCATTGGTTTTTGAGATATTTAAAGATATTTAAATATGCATGCTACAAGAGAATTGATTATCAACACCCTGTACATTACTTTTCAGAATTAATTCTTGTGATGAGTTTAAATGTAAAGAAATAAACTTTACTGAAAAATGTTATTGTTTCCTTAAATTTATACAGGGGTACCAAAAATTAGTGATTTATTTTAAGGATTTATTTTACATAAAAACTTTATTTCAAATGCAACATGTATTTTTTTAAATAAATCGAAGCAGATTCAAATGCTCTTTCAAACTATATTAAGGTTTCCTATACCTATCTATCTCAGATTTTGAATAAAAAGCGATTTTTAAATAAAATGACAATCAAGATGGCTGGTTTTTTAGTGACAGTTAGTAACTATTTTCAAAATCGACATTAGTGACAGTTAGTAACTATTTTCAAAATCGACATTAGTGTATAGACATTATTATTTAAACAGTTTAATAAAATTTACCCACAATAGTTTAATAAGTAAGTATTCTTTATTTTACGAAGAAAAATAAAGCCATATCTGCAGGTGGAACGAATGGACATTCTAGGAATTTTATTTTCTGAGGAAAATTATTTCTTAGCCTCAAGAGCTAATGCTCAAAGATATCCAAATAGGAATCTTCCTGATAAGCGTTCCTTTGAAAAACTACTTGTCCTATTTCCTATTTCGCAGAATTGGTAGTGTAGTTTATAAAAAACCTATTAGGCAGAAACCTGTCGTTGGAAGTGAAGAAATTGAATTTGCCGTAATTGACTCTTTTATAAAAAATTCATATATCTACAAGTTATCGTAAAATAAAACAAAGAACTACTTCTTCGTTTTTCTTGATAGAATAATAAATACATATTAACAGTAGGTCAATTAAATAAAGGTAGTTAATTGTAGGTCAATTAAATAAAAGTAAACTGGTATAGATTTAAATAAAGTCTATAAACTAATGTCGATTTTGAAAATAGTTACTAACTGTCACCAAAGAATATCTGTCACTAGAAAATTGCCATGACGATACCAGCCATCTTGATTGCCATTTTATTTAAAAATCGCTTTTTACTCAAAATCTGAGATAGATAGGTATAGGAAACCCTAATATAGTCTGAAAGAGCATTTGAATCTGCTTCGATTTATTAAAGTTTATTTCTTTCCCTTTCCTTATTATAAACTTTTTTTTCCGATTTAGCTGAAATTTTGAATGCGCGTATAAGTAATTTAAAAAAAAATGAGGAAACACATTACTAAAAATTGTATTAATCAATAATAAATATGTAAAAAGTAAAAATAAATATGTAAAAATTTGTAAAAATTAAAAAAAAACGATTAAAAAAAACGCCGTGGCTAGGATTCGAACCTGCCTTACTACGGCTCCAACGTCATAGCAGCGTAAAGTCCTAACGCTTTAACCACGCGGCCACCGAAGACTTGAAAGATTCTATGTAAAATTCTTACTTAAAAGATAATGTTTAGTAAAAGTACTTTTATATTTATGAACATTTATTTAATTCTGTTTTTAGTATTTGTTCTTATAGCGGCAACATATTTACATTATCTGTAAAAATATAGCATTTTTTTCTGACTTTTGTGACAGACGGACGGATAGCGAAGTCTTAGTAATAGGGTTCCCGTTTTTACCCTTTGGATACGGAACCCTAAAAATGTAAAATGGTTTTCAATTTTTCATAGGTTTATTTGAAGAGCTATTCAAATATAAATGCCACTCCATCATTGTAAGTTTTTTTTCTCTTTAAGATGTTGCTGTTAATTGTCAAATCCAAAGTTTCGTTTATACAAATTTAAATATAGACTTGTAAGTTTTTATTGGGTAATTTTTTAAAAGCTTATGACCTTCCAAGTGTAATGATGTATTTACCAAACTTACCCAAAATATGTTGCCGACTCTTATACAGATATATTCAAAATGATCCGTGTATTTTCATTAATATACAATTTTTGGGTAAGAAGTGTCTACATCGTTTTATTGATGAAGATTTTCAATGATCACCATTAGATTTGAGACACCCTATACATACTGTTGGTTTCAGCTCCCTCAAAAATAGTTTGTATTTCCACGAAATCATCATTTTCACTTGAACTTTCCAAAACAACAATAGAGGGATCCGTAGTCTGTAATTTATGCCTTGCCAAGATCAAAAACAATGAATTTTCAGTTTCTATACTGGCAGCCTACAAAAAATGATTTGGCAATTATAAAATACAGACAATTTTAAGAAAAACTTCGATTTTACTTTGTATACACCAGGATAATTTAACTTTTTATATAAGTAGTAGGCGTGATATCCACTTTCATCACACAATATTTCCATCCCAATGAGATCCTTGGAAATAAAACCTAAACATGGCTGTTTTGTTTTCGGCAGCGTGAATGATATTAGAGAATTGGTATTTTTATTAAATGTGGCAGCAATTGTCACTGTTGTAGCGTTCCAAAATTGTATAAGTTTACCTAAAAATCAGCAAATAGTAGTCAGAGACGGAAATTGACCCTGTGAAATTATAAATAAGGTAAAAAAAATAATAACGAATGAACATCCTGTATAATCTAATAATATACCAACCATTTCCAAGTTGTTCGTCGACTATAGAATCAGATTCTATATAAAGATAATCAATCCCGTTCAAAGATACATGTTCAACAAAGCTTGGATTTTCATATGATTCAATAAGTACAACTACAAATTTAAAAAATGTATAATTATAATAACGCATTCTCCACCCTTGATTAATAAAAAATGCCTTTTTCGAAAAATTCAGTTTTCTTATTGTCCCATTCGTAGATCTTCATGTAATTAGTACCATTAGCGAACGAGAAAACTACTAATCTTAGTACTTCATCCATACAGCGGATTCCAAACACTCTGTCAACGTTATTCAGGTACATGATTTCTTTAAAATATTTAAAAAAGCCGTTCTGATCTACAAATAAATATTATACTAATATATAATACTATAATACTTTTGTGATATCGTGGCAACATTGAATTTAATTTTAGAAAAATTGCAAGAATGGAACGGCGCGGCGGCTCTAAAAATGTGAAGCTAAATCGGCAACACTGTAATAACATAGGCAGATAGGCAGCGTCTAAATTTCAAAGTTTCTTAAATAGTGATTATTGAACAAATAGTATAACTAAAGACAGAAATATTGCAGCACAAAACGAAGGTGCCAGGATATACAAACCATCAGATGTAAAAAAGGATAGTATGATTAAATGTACTTCAAATTTTTATAGTGCATCTTTATTAGTCATTTTTATCTACTGATTTATAAATATTTATTTGTTTCTGTTATCATTAATTCAAAATAATATCTCAAAAAAATCTTTCTTCAAAAATCATGTACGTCAGTATAATCACAGATTAGGTATCCTATAAGTATACAGATAAAAATCTTGTCCCTAATTCGTGGTACGAAAATTTTTTTTTATGACGATGTGCAAACGAGTAAAATTTCCTGTGCGCTAAAGTAAACTTGCGTAAAATAACAATAAACAGCGTAATAGAGAGATATCGCTAAACCGAATAGCGTGCATGGACGTTAATAAGGCCAGGTGTTATTTCCTTTACGTGAGGTGGTATTAACTATGTTCATTTATAGTTATCGGATCGGAAAGAATTCTGTTCGCGTCGCGTCCGCTATTTAAACCTAACCTAACTTTGAATTTAAAGCTTTGAAATTGTTTTGTTTACTAGGTATTTTCAAACTAAAGGGCTAAAGTGCTTATTTCCAGTGCTGTATTGTTCAGTGTCTGCCAGTGGGTTTAGGGCAACAAGCAACAAATTCTCTTAGAAGGGCTAAGTCGTCATCTGCTGTAAACCTAAGCCTCTTTATAGATTCTTTAATATTGGAAGAGGGGGATCCATATTTTGGGCCATATTTATTTAATTAAAACTAATCCCAACTACTTAAATATCAAATTACCTAATAAAACTAAAGTAATAATTCAAAACAATTCAAACATAACCTAAAATAAAAGATCTCGCCGGCCGGTCCCGGTTGTCAAATACCAGCACATGCCCATTTAAGCAATTTTTAAACGTTATTTAGAAATAGCGCTTGGTGTAATTGATCCACAAATTACGTCAGGCGGTAACGTTATTAGCGGGTGTTGCGTTAAAAATTGAGTCGCGCATATCGTAACCATGATAAGGTACGCGTAAATACTGCATGACGCTATTCGGTTTTCCGATATCTCTCTAATAACTGTGCCGGTCAGGCGCTGTGCACAATTTTAGAGGCCATAAGTGGGCGTGCTATGTGCGCAAACTAGTAACCTAACTAGTGCTCGATTCCGAAAATTGGAACCACAAAAAACAATAAAGAAAAAACAAAGTTTATAATCTGTATAATCTGTGGTATAACGAACCACTAATAAACAATAAAAAGAGTTCCATCACCAGGTAAAAAATGGTATAATACAATTTGATAGACAATTAAATTGTGCATCTGATTCTCCTAAAATATACAGGGTGTTCTATTTAAATTAAACAAGTTATTGCCGTTTAAACCTAGTAATTATTTAATATAAATTTTTAGACACTCTGTATAAGGTATTATTATTTTTATTATTGCAACACAAAATTTAGTAAATAGAAAAACCTCAATACAATATTCGATCGGTTTTAAAAATTTAAATACGCCTAGAGAAATAAAGTTATTAAAAAATTAAAATTATTGATAGTGCATTTTAACAAAATCGCAAATATTTCAAAAACCGTAAGATTAAAGTGCGGTAAACTTTAATCAAATTTACCTTTATTTTAAGTAGAAACTAAAAATGTTATAATATACAGGGTGTTACATTTAAAAAAATACAACTTTGAATTTTTTTCTTTATTTGGAACACTCTGTACCTTTTGAAAATAATTTCAAATTGTAGCTTTAGTAGTACTCGATCGATCTCATCACTCACAATTTCAGAATGTGGTGAATAATCCTGTATTAATACAATTAAGGAAAAAACGAATTATACTTACTTCGTACAGAATTTTCGATTTGTATTCCAGTTTCTAATAGATTTCCAAAATCTTCCCTAAATTTTTCCGCAGCACCAAACTGGGAAATATTCGATAATAATTCAGTAACGTTCACGTTATCGTACATGACATCCACATTAATATTCTCAACCGTAATGTTATTATTAAACGTAACCCTTGAGTTTATTTTATTATTCTTGTTTTTGTTTGCCTAAAAATAATATTTTCCTAGCAATTCACGGATATACATTTTATTATAAATATATATTTACATGATTATTTACTAGGTCTTGTAAATCTACATCATTTACTAATCCTTTTATTTTCAAATTTTTGAATCTTACACCTTCTTTAATTGGAGGAGAAAAACATTTTTTTCCTTTAATATTCTGAGGTCGGTCAAATAACATTACTGTATTTTCGTTAAACTGATTATCGTTTAGAACGCCTCTCAAACTAAAAAAAACAAATGGCCAATTAAACTTTTAATTATGTTAATCGAGGGCGCAATTTTTAAATTCATTGTTGCCAACCATAGACGTACTCGGCGTCGGGCTGACTAACTGGAATTTAAATTTCCCGCTGGGGATTCAGGTGGTAGCTCTGCTGTAGCCAAGCAATGTCAAGTTGCTGCATTTATTTCCTGAGATTGTCATTCGCCGTTTTGACACTTTAGTTTTGTATTACGCGTTTTTGGTTTATGAATGATGTTGATGAATTATGTTGTGATGCTTTAAGCTTAAAATTTTTTATTTAGATGCTTTAAGCTATTATTTTTTAGCAGATCTTGCAGTCGAACAATGTTCTTGTTAGAACCTCTTTTAGTGCGAAGTGTACAAGATAGCTTAATAGGCACTGCAAAAAACTCATCGCAACCTTGTTAGAATATTTTGAAAGGGAAAGCGGTAGTAATGGCCCTTTATGTCCCTTAAGTGCTGTTAAGAAGGTGAGTTCTGTTAATGTAAATAATAACTGCAAAATAAAACACTAAATCACCACATTACACCAAAACACTTTCGCTAAACCATGTTAGCATCATCAGCAGATGATTATAAACTAAAATACAATCTACAATTGGAGCGTTTATATACTCGCTCAGTGGGCACAGAGTGGGCGTGGCAAAATCTAGCCAACCGAGTTAGAACTCACCGAGCGTAACAGTTAGATTTCCGCCACTAGAGTAGTAGGAACAAAGAACTTGAAGGAATTGGACCGTTGTCTCTGTTCATACTATCTTTACATTTATTAATTCTGATGCTTTCATATGCATCTAATTGCCTGTAATTTGAGACTTGTTTAATTAATTTCAAGTTGTTAAGATCTATACAATGTTCTTTATCAACAATATGTTCGGCAACGCAAGATTTATCCGGTCTACCATATCTTATCTGAGCTAAATGTTCTTTAAATCTAGTTAATATTGATCTTCTAGTTTGCCCAACATATTTCTGATTACAATCTTTACAAGAAGTTTCATAAATACCCGACCTTTCCAGTAGAGGTGTTTTATCCTTTGGATTACCTAATAATTGTTGTAATTTATTATTAGCACTATATACAAGTTTATAATTGACATTCTTAAAAATTCCTTTTAGACCACGGGATAACTGTTTATCAAACGGTATTGAAAAATAGTTTATTAGTATCTGCTGATGATGCTAACATGGTTAGCGAAACGCGCATCCAGTGTAAAAGTAAAAGTGTATTGGTGTATTGTGGTGATTTAGTCTTTTATTTTGCTGTGTTAAACCAAAGGTTCCAACCCTCAACTGTAATAAATAATAACTGTTTGTATATTTATAATTGATTTAATTTTTTTCCTAAAATATGTTGATTAAAAGAAAATATGTAAAAGTGGGCAACGCTGTGCCGGTCAAGCTTAATCACGTGACTAAAAGTTTAATTGGTATGAACTATATTTAAAATACACCCTGTATAAGAAGCGGTCAAGGCAGGATGAGTTTAGTTTGTAAGTAATAAATCATGAAGTAGTAGCACTGGGAAATAAATAGTTATTTGTTAGCGTTATTAATATGATTTAAATTGTTATAAATTTATGTAGTCAACTGGTATTCCTGTAAAATCTAGGTGTAAAATGCAGCAAAATTAAAAAATGAAAAATAAAAGTGATGTTTTAAAACCCCACTAGGTTTACTTATTTCTCTGAGACGAAATTACCTTAAATTTTTCTGGAACGTAGCTCTATTAAATACTTTCTTCGCTGGAACTCTGAGACTGCCGTTTTTCAAAATGGCGTTCTCTAACCAGTCCAAAATCTTCACATTCTGAACGTACGAATCGTTACTGATCTTCAGATTGTCGATTTTCAAATTGTTAATGTTTTTCTCGCCTGTTACTATATTATTTCTGTCATACATCATTACATCCCTTGTCAAATCCAGATCGTTGACTAGATATGGACTATCCTGTTCTAAATCTTAAATAAGTAAGATCAAGTAGATTTAAGCATATAGAAAAAATAGTTTAAATAAGAAAAATTAAAAAAAAAATGCAGTAACCCAAGTTTTGAAAACAGCTCTATAATTTCTCTTCTAGCTTCGAGATTTTCGTTTGGGATTTTTATTCAAATATTTTGTATACAATATACCAGCTATACATATATACCGCATACTTTGTATAAAAAATATGAGGTAATGACCCGAAACCAGAAACCTCATAGTCTAAGATCTAGCAACGTTTTCGAGAAAGTATCTTAAGAAAGCTGGCTCTTTGATATACCTTTTACTATGCTCTCTGGAACAGCATGCTGCCCATCTGGCTGCCAATACCCGTTGCGTCCACTATTGCGCATCTGAAAAAGATCCTACATTTTTTTATTTAGTTCTTTAAATTTCAGTATTGAATACAAATCGAACAAGTCTCCATAGCGCAGCGCGTAGAGTTTCCGACTACGAATCGAGGATTCCGACTTCGAGACTAAGTCAGGGCAACAACTTTTTTATTTTAATTTCGTTTATATTCTGATAGTAAAGTATTAAATATTTTTTTTTTGATCACCAGAATTATTTAATACTTTACTATCAGAATATAAACGAAAATAAAATAAAAAAGTTGTTACCCCGACTCGGTCTCGAACTCTGACTCCTCGCTTGATAAGCCGAACCTCTACGCGCTGCGCTATGGAGACTCGTTCGGTTTATATTCAATACTAGAATTTAAAGGACTAATAAAAATATAAGATCTTCTTTCAATGCGCAGTAGGGAACGCAACGTTTACCGGCAGCCAGACGGGCCGCATGCTGTTCCAGAGAGCATAGTAAACGATATATTAAAGAGCCAGCTTTCTTAAAATACTTGTTTTCCTGACGTTGTTAGTTCTCGTACTATCATATAAAGCATGTTCTGAACACTGGGCCACCCTGCGAACAACTAACAGTTTTGGTACACATAACACATGTGATAAAACTAGTATATATATAATTGGCACCTAGTATAGTCACAAATTTGTTTTTTACCTTTTACTAGTACATCTTCGAAATATACCAGACTATCAAAAGTTTGTGTAACATTCTGCAGCAGAATTGTTTTGAGTAGTTGGTCTATATTCACTCCGTTGACTGGTCCGTCAGTTTCCATACGACTAGCGGATATATTCAAAAAAGTGACATTTTCAAAAGATAAATTTGACGAAATTGTTTGAACTTTCGTTTTGCTTAGATAGTTTTGAGAAAGCAGTTTTAAGTTGATCCCATCGATATATTCCTTAAAAAAACAATTTTTAATTAATTCACAATATACAAGGCAAGTCTTAAATAACAAATAGTTTTAGGGTAGTATATTTTGACCCCAGAAACACAAATATGAGTTTTTTTTTCGCAAAAAAATTTTTAAACATTTGGAGTTGAAGTTTTTTTTACTTTTTAGTTAAAAAACATAATTTTTTGATAATATGGCGACATAGATGCAGATTAAATTTACAAGAAAGAAATTCCAGAAAAGACCAAGCAAAAATTTACAAAAATATATTTTTTTTTGGAAATTTTCAAAGTAAAATAACTCGGTTATTTTGGACTTACTTGAAAAACGGCAAAGAAAAAATATGTTTCTTTTATCGAGATCTACCAGCTTTGAAAATATTTACACTTATTTAAGACTCACCCTGTATATACAAGGTGTCCCGTAAATAAGTACAAGAATGTTTAAGGACTCCAGTCACGAGATGCAAAAGACCGACAAAAATAACAGGCTTACGTTATACACGTGCCTAGTAAGCCTGTTATTTTTGTCGGTCTTTTCGGAGACCCAGTTTCGAGACGCGACCATAAATACGGGCCTCCTCGCTTACCGTGACATCGTTTTCACTCTAGAACACTCTGTTTTAGACTTACCTTAACATACAGTTCTTTTTTGAAAGTAGCGTTGTGCGAACGAACTGTTCCAGTTATGTTCACAAATTTATCACTAAACCATACGTTTTCCAGTAAAGAATTGAGACCGATGTCGTTGAATCGTTGTAGTATAGGGCCTTTAGAAAATATAGCATTTCCTGTAAATGAGCAATAAGAAAATATAAAAGTTAAAAAGTAAGATCAATAAGAACAAATTATAGATTTTAAATTCAAATTACACCTCATTGAATTTTATATTGAAACTTATTAAAGACGGAAAAGACGTCATGGTAGCCACTTTGAATTGATTAATTTTTGTGATTTCGTTTCCTATTTACAAATTTAATATTTTGATTTTCTGTGTTTATATTGATTTATTTCTTTCTTTGTTTATTTTATAATTCATTTTATGCAAAGTGAATAAATCTGGAAAATACTGTATTAAGAGTTGCAGTGAAATTATTGTGAATCTTATAGAATAACGGGTTCAAATTGAAGCATTTATAACTACTCGTAAAGAATAAGTAATTAGTAACCACTACTTTATACTTTAATATGTAAAATAATTGACACCACATACTATAACTGATTAACCGGAAATCAAGTCAGCCATATTAAAATCCCTTCGCAGTATACGTATACAGGGTGAGTCTTAATTAAGTGCAAATATTTTCAGGACTTGTAGATCTCAATAAGAGAAACATATTTTCTGTTTTTGCCGTTTTTCTAATAAGCCCAAAATAACAATTATTCTAGTTTGAAAATTAAAAAAAATGATAATTTAAGACTCACCCTGTATACTCCAATATTAGATGGCTCCAATTTCAATGTTTTATTCAATTTATGTTTATTTTATTTTTTCAATCAATCCGATAAATGTAGTTATAATATTTTTATTTAATAATTATTATTACCTTCAATTTTTAAACTTTTTAATTGAGAATCTTCACTAAAACGACAATACTTTTCTAAATCAACCCCATTCAATGTATTCTTCAGATTCAAGGAGCCATTCACAATTACATTTCTATAAAAAGTTTTGTCAGAGATCTCCAAAGGTTTATCGAGATTCTGAATCACCATATTATACAAATCTAAATTTTCTATATCTCCTTCTAAAAACAGAGTGTCTTCCACCAAAATACTTTCATCTGAAACTTGTCTTATTGTTTTATCAAAGTTATTTAAGAATATATATTTTAATACCAATTTCAGCATTTTGGAAATGATGATCTTCGTCGGTTTTAACAGTGTCGTTTGCGATAGAGTCCAGAGATTTACCACTAATTTTGTTATCATTAATGTAAACATCTCCCAAAACTACTATTTCGTTATATATTCCATGTTTGTGAGCAATAAAATCTTCTACTTTGTTAATATTATTGTTCATAACATTTTCAAAGTCTTTTACTGTGAGATTATTCAATGTTTGGATAAAATTAACATTTTTAACGCTTGTATTTTCGAATAATTCTAAATTATCTTCTATTGTAAAGATACCTTTATTGACAGTTTCAAAAAATCTCTTTAGATCACAAGTATCGTTATTAATATTCAGTTCTCCGACATGTATTTCTTTAAAGAATTTTTGGCCATGGATGTTAAATTTGGTGCCTTTTTTGACTAGATTTTTAATGATTTCAGTTATTTTTAACGAATTTAGTAAACCATGCAATTCGATGTTTCTAGCTTTAGTAAAATTGAGTGAGTATGATCCATTAACTACTTCAGTTTTTTGGAAGTTTTGGTTTTGCTTAAACAGAGTGGTCTCGTTCCATAAACTCGATCCAAAATACGTATTTGTGCTTTTTAATCTAAAATAGATAGTTTTAGGATATATTTATATTGCAATAATATTAATCACTTACCCTTCTGCTTCTAGGTATTCTACATTCCATATTCCCTCTATATCTTGGTCAAAATTAACATTTAAAGATTCTTTCTGTAAAGCCTGTACATCTACATCGTTTATCTTTAATGCATCAACGTTGCCAGTGATATTAATATGGTTTAAAAATATTTTTTTACCAGTTATAGTTTGAGAAGAATCTGATTTTTTTAGCAGCCAATTGTGTGGATCAAAACCGTTGATTTTGTCAGCGTAAGTGTCGATCATGTCCAAAGAATAGTTGAAAGTGAGATATGGGACTATACTGGTATCCTATTTTAAATAATATCTTTCAATAATAATTGTTAAAAAAGAATATTTCAGTAGTCTTCAAAATACATAGTCAGAAATACTTACTGTCAACTTTGCACCATTATTCAAAACATTTTTCAGGTTCATTCCTTGTTTTTCTTCAATATTTTCTACTTTGAGCCATTTTTTTACATCAAGTTGGCCTTCGACTATAACATCGCCATCTATTTCGTACGGCCTACCATCCAAACTAACTGGATTCATGTCCTGGATTCGCTTGTTCCTAATTTTGTGCCTCAAAGTCATCGGGTTGAGGAGTGACAACATTTCGAAGGTTTTTTTCGACGTAACCAGCTGAACGTTGGAGGAGTTTTTGAGGAGAACATCTAGATCGCCAGTGTCTTTTAGAACTGTGATATTTTGTAAAGAATTGAGAACCTCCAGCTTGTTCACTGTCAGTCCTAAAAAGTTTATTCAATAAAACTGGGTGTCTGAATATTTCTGAACATTTCTCGCGGAATTCATTAACTCAGTGGAGGTGGAAGATACCCTCGTACAACCGCTAAGTACTTCTACTAATTCTTGTCTGGAGTATACGAGCAATTGAAAAATAAGATTCTTCCTCAAAGAAAAAAATCCATAGGCGCAAAGTCCGGCGGCCCTGACGGCCAACCACTGGGACCTTGGTTAGCTATTCAATTATTTTCGAAATTGGCTGCAAAAAATTGCTGACAATTTCAGCATTGTGAGGCGATGCCTCGACTTGCTGGAATAATATGAGTTCCATTAAGGGAGGATCATTAGTAAGGGATCCAATGCCTATTAGTTAAAAATGGCGAACTTTATTTAAAAATTCTGTATTTCGAAGGGGACTCTAACAAAATATCAAGGGTGCTATATTTTTGGAAAGGTAAATTTAAGTTCTTTTGAATTAAAAATATATACAGGGTGTCCCAAATAAAAAATAAATTTTTCTGTTGATAACTCTTAAATTATTAATTAAAAAATACGTAAACCATTAAATTCTACGTAAAAAAATCCTTTGGAAATGTTTTCAGAAAAAATACAAAATTTTCCATAGCAAAAGAGTTACAGCGATTTATTAAAAATGCACTGCAATTTTTTAAAAACACCCCGTAAAATTGAGCTTCAGACAACGATATTAGTTTTTGTCTATCTCCCAAGTGTTTAATTTAGTCCACCCTGTATAATATACGTGGCAACATTGCTTCGACACCTTGAAAAAGTTTCAGGTGAATAAACCTGCGACACTAAAAAGTTTATTTTTAATTTCTCTACAAAAGATAAAAACACAATTTTTTCTCAAAATAGAACTATTTAGCTTTTTTCGATGTCTCAATAAACTTACCTTTTTCAAAATATACATTTTGGCCCACTGTGTATTCTTCGTCATTAATCAAAACAAAATCTTTTAAAATATTTTTCTCAGATATTTTTCCTCCGACTACCAAATTTTCTACATTCAAAAAATCAATTGATAAATCCTCAGATAATTCCTGGTCTGTTCCAAACTTCTTTAAAGCCTTTTTATATAACACTGGCACGCTAACATTGTTCAAATATCCATGAATTTCCAGATCTTTGACCATCAAAGTGTCTATTTGGCGTATTACATCGTGGTTTGAAGAAATATTTAAATCCAAACCATTTAGGAATTTAGTTGTTATGTTCAAAACCTCTATGTCAGTTAGGTTGAGATCATATAAAAATATTTGATCAATATTGTTTAATAAAATAGTATTGTTATCTACACTAACATCGTTGATAGTGTCAGTTATATTGACACCTTTTTTGAATACTACACTTTCATTTATTATCATATTTTTTACAGACAGATCTTTAGTTATGTCAGTATAGTCTTCCAGTCTTATATCATTTATTGTTTCTGGATGAACGGGGTTTTGTAAATTGACAATGTCAAATTTCATCAGTAAATCTTCCTCTATATGAAAACCATCTTCAATATTTAAAACATTATCTAGTAAACTATCAACTGTAATGTTGTTCAAGTATATTGTCTTTAGTGAATCTATAAAAGTACTGTTGTTAAAAATTATTGTATCTGCACTAATATCATCTTCAAGAATATATTCTTTGTTTCTATAAGATTCGGTTAGTGAAGTTTGTAAAGTATTAATGTCGTTATGTAGTTCGTTAAGGGCACTAGCAAGCCTAGTATCCTCTTGGACTGGTGATATTCTCTAATAAAAAAATATCTGCATTAAACTTTTATACAGGGTGGGTCGTAAATAAGTGCAAATAATTTTAGGGGTAGTATATTTCGACCCCAGAATCACAATTATGATTTTTTTTTCGCGAAAAAATCAATATTGGAAATTTTTTGAAAAATTTTGAGTGAAAAAGAATAGTCTACACTCAATAGGGTGGTGTACAGGGTGGTCCCAACTGGATTCCGGAAACTTCGGCAGCATATTCTGCAGATAAAAATAAGTAAAAAAGTTCCTATAAATGTATGTTCTAAAATGCTTAGTTTCGGAGATACAGGGCCGGTGTAGAAGTTTCCTTTTTATTTCGATTTTTTTCCAAATAATTTCTGAAATAACGTCAATATATGGATGAAAATTGGTTTTTGGGAGTTTTTTGACATGCGAAATTTCATTTTGATGTCAATATGACTCCTACTTGTAGAGGGCGTCACCTACATATTTTTCAACTGGTTTGAAGAGTAATAACTTTTCGTCCGTACCTGTATACAACTACTGAGTAAAAAAATATACATTTACGACGTGTTTTTTACATGTATTGACTATTTCCATTCTAAATATCTTGAGAACGGTTGCTCGTAGCGATTTTTACCAAGAGACATTTTTTACGCAAAAAGTCTCGGAAATGTATGTTTTTTTACTCAGTAGTTTTATACAGGTACGGACGAAAAGTTACTACTTTTCAAAACAGTTAAAACACATGTAGGTGACGCCTCCTACAAATAGGAGTCATATTGTACATTAAAATCGAATTTCTCATGTCAAAAAACTCCTAAACACCAATTTTCATACAAATATTGACGTTACTTCATAAATTATTTAGAAAAAATCGAAATAAAAATGATACTTCTACACCCTGTATCTCCGAAACTAAGCATTTTAGGACATACATTTATAAGAACTTTTTTACTTATTTTTATTTGCAGAATATGGTGCCGAAGTTTCCAGAATACAGTTCGGACCACCCTGTATATGTATAACTAATAAATATTTAATATAAAAACTATATAAATGTTTACCAATAAAAATGTTTATAAACTTATCTGAACATCTACAAATATTTCTTTTTATGTAAAATAAAATATCGCAGTGTTCAAATATAGCGTTCATTATAATAATCATGTCAAAATTAGGCAATAAATGTGGCAATAAATATTTTTTTATACAGGGTGTCCCACAATTAGTTAGTGCAACAAACTGAAAGGGGTTGTAGAGGGCATCAAAACAAGTCATTTGAGTATAGGAACCCATGTCCGGAAATGTGCTGTTTTGGCAGGAGGTGGAGTGAAACGTAAATGTCAAGTCGCATTATTTATTCAAAACACTTAGAAAAACTGCTCAAAGTATCGTCCAGGCGTGTGCATTTGTGTCTTCAACAGAATGGACGGCACTTTGAGCAGTTTTTGTAAATGTTTTGAATAAATAATGCAACTTGAAATTTACGTTTCAGTCTACCTCCTGCCAAAACGGCACATTTCCGGACATGGGTTCCTATATACTCAAATGACTTGTTTTGATGCCCTCTACAACCCCTTTCAGTTTGTCGCACTAATTGTGGGACACCCTGTATAGAAAAATCAGCAAAAATAGATATCAATTTACCTCAGTGAGATCTCCTCTCAAAGACTCAGCAACAAATTCTGATTCCCCTCTAGACTGTATTTCATTTAATTGGTCCTTGCACCAAATAAGCATATCTTTATGTAATTCCCTCATTGGATTCGAATGATTAAATGATACTGAGTATATATACGAGGTGTTCTTGCAATGACCACATACCGTGACTAAAAAAAATTGCTAAAATTAATTATCATCCCCAAACATAAGAGACAAATATAGCAAATTTTGCATTAAAAAATTAAAAACATACCTAAAAATTGACCTGTGCCATTACTAAACACGTGGAGTTTTTTAATATCATTTAGTTGACGAGACAGAGACTCATCTATTGTTATATCATCCATAAAAAATTGCCAACCATCATACTGGACTCCTTTTAGACCATTAGGCGATACTCCTATTAAAGCAGCATGTCCCTGTGTATCCTAAGGTTGAAGAAAAATTTATTGAAAATTACATTTTTGATATTATAATATTATATATATATATATATTTACCTTGAATGGCTGCCATTCCGTAACTTCACTATCGACACTTTGAAATGGAATGAAATATTGATCATCGTACTTATAAATCACAGATTTTGTGATATTTTTTAAGTTATTACGATCTTTAAAGAATTGAATTAATTTTAAATTAATTAAAAAATCAAAAAAACTAAATTTATTACCTGAATATAAAGACGAAGTTGTTATCAAAAAATGGTTTTCCTCATTATGAATTTTTGTATTAAAATATTTTATATCCATACAACATTCAGTTAGTAATCGCTGGTAAATCTTAAATTTCTTCTCGTGAATATCGTATTTAAATACATCAGAAAAGGATTTAATTTCATCTGGAAACAAAGATTCAATAGAATTTATAATAATTCTACAATAAAAATGTACCTTCAATTGGTCTACGTTTTACAGCAACCAAAAATGATGCTCCATGAATTGAAAACTGTGTTATTTTATTTATATTGTATAGTTCCAAGTTTTGTATGGAATCAAAATGTTTTCCCAACCATTTGTATATTTTTAACACAGATTTTTCACCTATTGCTTTTGTAGAATCGGGAGTATGTACAACAGATAGATAAGGAATGTGATCTTGCAACCTGTTAAATTATTAGTTATTTGAGTATATTAATGCATGTTGCAATATTTTATTAAACGAATACTAAAAATTATATTAATACCATATATGAATGTGCTTTGCGTTTTTGATCCTTATATTTTCGATTTTATAAATTTTGTTATTTCTTGGGATGTACCGTAATATTTCGATCTCAGTATTGTCTCCTACTACCACGAGAACAGAATAATCATCCAAAGACAATATTCCTAAATTGGTAGAATATTTTATATTATAAGTTCTTAAACTATCAATTCCATCGCTTCCGCCCTAAAAGACACAGCCGTTTTTAAATAAGAACAAATAAACTCATACCAAAACGACGCGACGGTAGGTACCTCCTCCCGATATCCGAAAAATACCAATTCATTTTTTTGTTGCAACGAGGCTGCTAACTTATAAGAATTATGTTCAAAAAACCTCACATCATCCGAATCTTTAGTAGGAATTTGTTCATGAAGGGCAATGCCTAAAAGATAAGAGATGAGAGAAATAAAGTTTAATAAAATATAAAAATTATAAAAGTTATTTTTTGCGCGCTTTTGAATTTAAAAAAATACTGGAGTGCCATCTCTTACTCGAGCTTTATGTTACTTTCCAAAGTAGTTTCCTATAAAACCATCTCAAAGTAAAAAGTGAAGTTAGTCAAAGTTGACGTAATTTTCAGACCACAGTTTCAGACCAAGGCAGACCAAGGTCAATTTCAGATTTTAGATACAAGAATTTAAACTTGCCAAAAAAAAATAAACAAGTCTGGGTGCAGCAAGAATAATTTAAAGAGAGAATTATCGAAAATATGATAAGGAAAAGTAAACAGGTTTTAGATTATGGGAATAATATTAACTCGATCCATTGGCAAATATATGTTAGATAATTTATCTGTAGTATTTATGTAGTAGCCCGAGCGTGATTTGCAGAAACTCGTTTTCTATTTATAAACAATCTCTGGAAATGGACGAAAAAACATTAAAAGAAAATCTGCAAGTGCAACTGGACGAACTGGAAACACTAGAAGCGATGTTTTACAATCCTGGAGAGATAAAAATCGAAGATCCATTAACTTTGTTGGAAATAAAGGAATATGTTGATGGTAATTCTGTAGATGTGCCACTTTGTCTCGATTATGCAATTAATTTAGTTATCGATGGAGCAAAATTTGAGCTATGTGTGAGTCTAAGTCATGAATATCCTTATATAGAACCAGAATTGTTTGTTCGAAATAATCAATTAAACAGAGACCAGCATATTAGTTTAAATAAAAAAATTGGTAAGTTTAATTTACTACCTTAAAAAATAGTCAAACGTTATTAGAGAATTGCAAGTCATATTTCTTTAAGTTCTATTACATTGTTTTATCAGATATGGAATTTATGTACATACTTCAATACTGAAGTAGATACTTAATTAAGATAAAAATAAGACTCCCTTATATTAAAATATGATTTGTCATGTAAACAGTGATAAATACTAAAAGTATATCAATGTTAAACAATTTTGTTTGGTTATTAATGAGAATGCATATTTTTTTGTAGGTGAATTTGTTTCAGACCTTCCTAAAGGTGAACCCTGCATTTTTACAACAATTTCATGGTTGCAAGATAATGCATCTGAATATGTAGAACTCGACTCAGATGAAACCACGTCACACACTAATGATAAAGATGAAGAACTTGTGCGCTACTGGATTTATTCTCATCATATTTATAGGTGAAGATGAGCGGTTAAGAGTATTTCAGAATGTGTGTAATAAATTAAACTCTCCTTAGTAAAACTAAGAGGAAAGCAATCATTGACTTGGCCAATCAGATGAAGATTACTGGGTTTGTTATGCCCGGTAAACCTGGGATAATATGTGTTGAAGGTGTTAGCTCGGATGTGGTTGAATGGTGGCAAAGTATCAAAAGCATGAATTGGAAGAAAATATTTTGCAAAGTAATTTTTTTTTAAGCTATATCAATTTATTTAATTTATTATTATTTTTTCCTAGACAACAGAAAGTAATAAGGAAGAACTTAAAGCTCAGAATTTTATTAAATTCCATGGTTTTATAGAAAAAGTTTTTGACAATCACGGGCCAAAATATAATCATATGGATATGGGAGAATTTTATAAGTATCTTGAAGAGCACGAATTGGGATATATATTTAAAGACATTTTTGGTGTTGAAGCTAAAACAACTTAAACTTTTCCTGCAAAAGATTATATCTGTTGTGTAAATATTTTATACTTACTATTTTTTTCAATAAAGATATTAAATTGTTATATACTTACGTATTGAAAATTGTGTTACATTATCATCTTTGATACTTCTTTTTTTTCTTGAGTATACAGCCTTTTGTTCTTGAAGAATTAGAGAATATATTTTTTCAAGTTTAGTATCAATAAATATTTTAGAGCTGTTCGAAAGCTGATTATCTAAATTTAAGATTAGGTTTGCAATACAATTACAATGTTACACATACAATAATTAACATTACCTTGCAAAAAAGGATCTTCTTTCAAATTCTCTAAAAATATATCCATAATCTCCAAGGGTTCATTTTTAAAGTTATATTCCACGCTAGTTAGATAATTGAATTGAATAAATAAAATTAGTACAAAACGAAGCCACATGTTGGTATTTATTACTTCAGAAAATGTTCAGGAACGAGTAGTAATATGGAATTATAAGAAAAAGTTATATTTTTTGTTATTTTTTTTTTAATTTGGCGGCTATATTTTCGTATCTACGTTTACATTGATTTTGCTAATAAAATATATTTAATCTATGGTAAATGTTCTTCTCTTCATTTTTTTATGAGCCATAATTGTTTGCTATGAAGCCAGGTAATGTAACTAGCATACAGGCGTGATACAGGTTTGGACCTTCTATATCTCTGGTTTGACCACAAAATTAAAAAGATGAATGTTATATGATAACCTAAAACTAGTATTAATCTGTGGTTATTATTCTTCCTTTTTCTTTTTTATAGGCCACTTGTTCTTATCCCGTATATGGCCATATATATATAGAAGAAAAGATAAATTTCTATTTCTAACTTAACCTAATATTTAGTCGGCCTTGTGGTCGAAATGATTGCGCCGCATTCTAGTAGACGCAAGGTCGCCGGTTCGATTCCGGCCTCGGACATGGGTGTTAAATGTGTGTGTGAGTCTGTATTTGTCCGATTTTAAACGCTAATTAAATATTAAGAAATAAGCTGGCTGAATGTCGTAATAGACAAGTGGCCAAAAATAGAAAAAAAAAAAAAAATTAACCTAATATTTATTTGTCACATTTTCATTTTCATTTTTATAATTACTTTGATTATAAAATAATTATATTATTGTAGTAATTCCACAAAAGAAAAATGGAAGATAAAAGATTTAGCCATATCGCCAAGGATCCAAAATTTCGCAGAATCCCAAAAAATGAAACTAAAGTCAAAATCGACAAACGGTTTCATTCTATGTTTACGGACAAGAAGTTTCAAGTAAAATATACTGTTGATAAAAGAGGCAGACCGGTAAAGCACCACTCTAAAGAAGATTTAAAAAGGTATTACGAAGTGAGTTCAGAAGATGAGGATTCAGATGAAGAGCAGGATTTAAATGAGTCAGGAAAATATGTTCGAGCATCTGAAAATCAGGAAATTAGTGATAGTGAAACAGATGTCAGCAAAGATAATGAGAAACAATTGAATTCAAAGCATATTAATGACAAAAAAGTATCCGATGATGTAAAAGCAAAACTAAGAGACTTGAATATTGATTATGCCAGAGGAGAACAGAACTTATATTCTGATAGTTCATCAGGTATGTATTAGTTTAATACTTTTATGTGTATTTTTTACTTTGGCTGATTTTAAGATGATGAAGAAAGTGATGATGAAGTATCAGAATCAGAAGAAATAGATCATAGATGGGGAGAGTTAGATGCAGATTCTGAAAAAACTGATGAAGTTACTGACAGATTAGCAGCATGTAATTTAGATTGGGATAGAATTAGAGCAGTTGATCTACTAATGCTATTTAATTCATTCCTGCCACCTGGAGGTATCATCCATTCTGTAGCTATCTATCCGTCAGAGTTTGGTAAACAAAGTGAGTTTCGTATTGATAAAAATATATTAGAGGAATATTAAATTAACCCTATAATCTTTTTTTAGGAATGAGTGAAGAGGATATTAAAGGACCTATTGAGTTAGTTGATTCAAAGAAAGAACATTCAGATGAGGAAACAGAAGAAGGTTCCAAATATCATATGGAAAAATTAAGACAGTATCAGTTAAATCGTTTGAAATATTATTATGCTGTTATAACTTTTGACAGTGGTACTTCAGCAAACAAAATTTATACAGGTTATTATAAAAAAATATATTATTGATAATTGTTTTATTTACTATTGTTGGTTATCAATATTCTGTTTAATTCTAGAGTGTGATGGTATGGAATATGAATCAAGTGCTACCAAGATAGATTTGCGTTTTATCCCAAACGACATGACTTTTGAAGATGATCCTAAAGAATTTGTTGATAAATTGCCTGAAAAATATGAACCAAGATTTTTCACTACAACTGCATTGCAACAAGCCAAAGTTGATTTAACTTGGGATGAAACCAATCCGGAGAGGTTAGAATTTACTGATAAACTGAATAGTGGTAAAATTGATGAAATTTCTGAAGATGCTTTACAGAATTTCCTAGGAGGTATTTTGTTTTATAGAAAAAAAAATTATTGATAATCTTAATATTACTTATTTATTAGGTAGTAATAGCGAAGAAGATTCAAATGAGAGTAGTGGAGACGAAAGTGAATCAGAAAATGTCCATTCTGAAGATGCAATACAGAAATATAAAGCTTTACTCCAAGATATTCAAGAAAAAGAAGACGAAAAGAAGAACAAGAAATTTGAGATGGAAATCTCATGGGACATAGATGCTAAAGCAAAAGCAGATAAAATTATTAAAGAAAAAACTGAAAACAGCGAAAATCAAACACCTTTTCAAAAGTATTTAGATAAACGAAAGGAAAAAAGAAAAGAAAAAAGAGAATCCAAAAAGAAATCTCAGGAGACTGAAGATTCAAATGATAGTGATTTTCCTTCCGACATTGATATGAATGATTCATATTTCGCTGAAGAATTTAATAACAAAGAATTTAGTAAAAAATCAAATAAAAAAGGGAAAGAAAAATATGTTGAGGATGAAGAAGATAAACAGAAACAAGCCGAACTCTCGTTACTTTTAATGAACAATGATGAATCAGAGAAAAGTCATTTCAGTCTAAAGAAAATTCAAGACAAAGAAAGTCAAAGCAAAAATAAGAAAAAGAAATATAAAAAGGAGAAAGTTCATGAGCCTCAACCAGAAGATAATTTTGAAGTAATATCTTTGTTTATTATATTAAACCATTTAACACACTATTCTTTTATGTTAATTATTCTTTTAGGTTAATGTGGAGGACAACAGATTTTCAGCCTTGTTCACAAGTCATCATTTTAATATTGATCCTACAGATTCGCATTATAAGAAAACAAAAGGCATGGACAAATTAATCCAAGAGAAACTCAAAAGAAGAAACGAAGATGCTATTGATAAAAATGTATCTAAAAAATTAAAAGTGAAAAATAACACGAAAAACTCAGAGCTAAGAGTATTAGTAAAGAATGTTAAGAGAAAGACTTTAGAATATAATAATAAATGAAATATTTTATTAACACATACTTTTTTCTGACTTATTTACAAAATGAATCTCCAAATATTTCATCTAATTGTTGCAAACTGTTGAAATTCTACAGTTGAGAAATTAGTGAAATTTTCTACACTTAAACCAGGATTTTCTATTGGACTGTGGAGTCTTATTTGCCTCATATGAGTGTCTCTGCCATTCTGATGATTGCTAGTTACAGCTATCTGTATCATAAATACTCTAATTGGTCTGTCACGTATATCTCTAATTGGGACATGCACCCATCCTAAAATGAGTAATTAAATATCTAGAAAATAAGTTAAAATGCTCTAAAAAGCTAACCAGATGGTTCTACTAATGGCACTACTTCAATTTCTTGAATATCATTAAAGTGTGTCCCTACTCTTATTGATATTCTGCTAGGCGTATAACTTTCATCTAGTTTGTAATCAGTATAAATATAAATATCACTTATTGTAGTCTTTTTCTGAAATTGAATATTAACGAGGTGCGGCAGTTGGCCATCTGACTGCCAATATGTATCAGCCCTATTATCTCTCAATTGATCAACGCCAAAGCCTACAAATAAATAATAAAAGTAATAAAACGTATGTACCAAGGAGTATCCTTTTACCTGGTTTACAAGAAGAAAGACTCCAAATTGCATGTGAACCTACTTCTCGTACATTGCCTGCCCTTTCATTTTTGATAGGATCAACGTCTTTCGATGTTCGTAAAGACATAATCTACTCTCTGTATACACAAAAATAAAAAATATTTTTCTTTTTTCAGAATTTGTAAAATTATAAACAATAAATAAACAGTTTGTGAGGTTTAGGGTTAAACCACGGTCGACCACGGCACGACCACGGTTAAACCACGGTTAAACCACGGCATCCACGGCATATAAAATACCCAGAGAATAGGTACATTAAAGAAATGCTAACTTCATGTTAAAAAATGGAAACAGACGCCACCTGGTGTCGCCTGGCAGTACTAGCTAAATTGAGGGGAATTGGAGGGGCGGGGCTTAAAAGAGGGGAAATTTTAAAAAAAAATATTTTTATAAGTATCACTGACTTACTGTTTAAAGTTAATAAACATATTTTTTATTACTTTAATATAATTTAATGTATTAAAAATATGTCTATTAACTTTACACAGCAAATCAATGATATTATTAAAGACTTATTATTTTCAGAGAAAATTCATAGTAAATAAATTACACATTAGTAAACAATATCATTTATTTTTTAGAGCTGCGATTTATATTACAATAATATTGAAATATATATGAGAACGGGGCTTTCTGCCCAGGATCCCTGGGTATGGTACAAAGAAAACAAGGTATGATCCATGGTATAAAGAAAACAAGGTATGATCGATAGCGGCTCCAATTTCGTTCAGTTTGCGCATACCACCTGTGACGTCATACGCCATACAAAAAATATCCATATTGTTCAATTGCCACTAATAAAAAAAGACCTAAAGTGGACCTAAAGTAGAGAAGAATTAGGACATAACCCCAAAAGTTATGTCAAATCATCGAGCTTGACATTTAAAAAATTATTTTCACATTTATTCTGTCATCTGTTTGACAATTTGAAATTGGCGCGCGGAGCCTGCCGACCAATGGTACCGTTTATCACCTGTGACGTAGTGACCAACCTGCGCAATATCATACCTTGTATTCTTTGTATCATGCAGGATCCCAATGTTTAAAATTTCTATAAAATTTGACCTTGAAAACACCATTATGGGTGCCGAGCTGGTGCCGAGTCAGGGGTGCGACCTATGGGTGCGACTTTGTTCAAGTTAGCAACCGATCGTTTAGAAGCGATGTCGAAACCATAGGTCGAAACCAGATCGAGGTAATGGTGTGGATCCGGTGGCTGACCTTGAAAGAGTTTTTGCTGCATATAGTCACAGACACTACGCATGCGCATATCTTCGATGTTGCCAGATTGCAAGTTATTTTGGAATTATTTTCAGTAGAAAACAAATATGTGCTTTTCAGTGTTTTTTTGTCAATATATACCGTATGATCGAAAAAACGGCGTCCAGTTCGATGGGAAATTACGATTGAGGACATTTCCCATATAAAATGACAGCGATCTTCATTTCATAGTCATCGCTGACGCTATTTTTTTCAATCATAGTACGCGGTATATTTATATTATTATTTTAATATTTCGCACAACACGTGAACTCTTTTATTATGTATTTTCATAGTCAATAAAATTAAATAGAAATAAAACTCTAGATTCTTATAATTAATCTAATTGCTCTAGATTATTATGCTACGTTTAAAAAGTGCTTTATTAAAAATTAGGGAAATTAAAAGGGATGTGTCCGAGTTTTTTCTTTTTTTAAATTTTTAAATGCTGTAGCTCCATGTCATGTTCATAATAGGTTTTTTTAACATTCCATCAAAACTATATACGGAGGCCTTAAAAGGCTTTTTAGCCTCCGTAATTAAAATTGTAGAATCAGCTTCAGCAACATTAACAGTTACCTTGTTTAATTCTTCTTATACATATATTGCATTAATTTTTCTGCTACCTTAAGATTTCTTTATTCTTACACCTAATTTATGTGATTTTCTTAGCATAATATGATTTATAAACCATATTTTTCCTAATGGAAGGATGGAATAGGATATGCAAAATTAAGATATTTTAACATTTATTTTCCAGAAAAAGCATAATATAGTATTAAGATTAAGACATAACAAATATTATAAGAAAGCTCTTAATATAAATCACAAACTAAGTCTTAATTTGGTCTTGTATAAACACAGGTATAAAACTAATAAGATCAAAACTCAACCTTCACCATATTGTCAAGATTTGGCATTATAGGAAACAAGAAATTACAGTAAATTAAGAAAAGAATATGAAAGTACACGATATTAAATACTGTAATGTATTCTACGACACAAACCATCTCACTTCTAACGAGAAAAAGATAAAACATAAAGCTTATTTTAGTCTTATCAACACACACTTTTTCGATAAAATATATGTCTAAAATTGCTATTAATCCACTAACTTGATATTTTTAAGAAATTATGATACAAACATTATAATCAAAGTATATTATATTAGTAACATTATAGGTAACATGTTACCTCCATCTCCCATTGACGTGTATTGTTTTATAAGACTCGTCATGGTAGTATTTTAAAACATCAATACATATAATCAAAACTATTTGTTGCCTGTAAATAACTAGAAATTAAATAACTTGAAAGAAATAAAATAATTCTAATAAGTTTAAAACCATTAAGAAAAAATCCATAAATGATAATTTTTAATTCTAATGTAAATATATAAATAAATGTTATTATTATTACAATTTTATATATTCATAATACTTTCATTTCACAATCTTCATTATCCTTCTTATCTTAATTTTGGATATCAAGATAAATTTAAAATTATAAAATTAATTATAGAATTTGTATTGTTATTGATTAACAGTCAAAAAAAAAATTTCAACTGCAAATAATTCGAAAATCAATGTCGAAAATAAACTGCAATGTCGCAATATCGACGATGTGCGCTTGCGTAATATCGATGATCAAATGCAGCAAATATGGGCTTCAAGGTCAGCCACCGGATCCACACCTTTACCTAACCATGATATGAGGACCGCAGTTCGGATTCCGCGTAAACAAAATAGGCCCCGTCCAGATTAGCCCTGGCAGCAAAAAGGAGACGTTAACTTGGTATACTTTTTTATATATTCTTATCTATGGTCATCCATCCATCATATGCAAATCATATGTTACATCTTCTGTCTTCTGTCACTGTCAGTTCAGTTCGCTGTTCGTTTAGTTCGCTAGTAAAGTGAAAGTTTACATAGTTACGTTTGACATTTTGTTAAGTGTGGATATTTTTCATAATTTAATTATAACATTCAACTAGTTTTAATTGAAATTTTCTTTATCAAGAATGGATTTTTGTAAGCTTTTACATACTGCCCAAAAAAACGACAAGAATAGCAGTGGCGGTGTAAGTTTTTCATTTGAACGATTGTGTCCTCAATTGAACCAAAATACAATGCCATTAAAATATGTCATGTATTTTTATATGCCATTAAAGTTTACTTTAAATTTGTATTTTTAATTTTCAGACCCGATATTATAGTACTAAATTTGAGCCACCAAAAAAGATTAAGAAAGAATCTAAACAGCTCTCCCAAAATATTAAAAAGTTTTTAGCCAAAAAAGAAGCTGAGGAACAAAAAAAGAATGAAGAAGCTCAAAAGAAGAAGGAAGAACTTTTGGCACTTCGAGCTCAAGTAAGTTAAATGGTTTTTTTTAACTTAAATACTAAATAAGTGGCGAAATACCTATAAGACTTTTTTGAAGAGATTAATCCTCTATAGAGTATAAACATTTTTTAATATTAAATATGTTATGTATTTTTTAGGACAAAAAAGCTACAAGGCGGGTTAACGTTATGTTAAAGAGAACCAAATCGGCTAATCAATCTGTAATTGAAGATGCAGTTGACAAGACTCATACAGCTGTTACTTTGGCCGGACCTGAACAACCTGATGAAGATGACTATGGGTATGTCTCACAAGAAGCATCAGCCTTTTATGAAAAGATGATGGAAAAATACAGCAAAATGCCTGAGGAGAAGAAATTTGATCCTTTCAAGAAAAAGGTTAGCACCAATTTAAGTTCCACCAAGGATAGAGTCAAAGCAGCTCTTGAGAGAGAAAGAGAGGAAGCTATGCAACCCCATCGAAGAAAGAGGAAGAGGAAGGAAGGTGATGAAGAGAAAAGTGACAGCAACAAACATACTGAAGAAGAAAAAGATGTTCTAGTTGATACAAAAGAGAGTGTTAAGGTGAAACCTAAGCCTAGACCTGCTCCTCCGCCTATGAGTTTTACAGATCTGTTAAAAATTGCAGAAAAGAAGCAGTTTGAGCCAATTGTAATTGAGCAGAAACCAAAGGAGGAAGAGAAGCTATTAACAAAGAGACAAAAAAAGGAGCAGGAAAAGGAAAGAGAATGGAGGGAAAGGCGAGAGGCTAGACAAAAAGAATTAGAAAATAATGAAAAATTAGAGAGAACTAAAGAAAAAGGAAAACATATTAATAAAATTAATAATAGTAGTACTAACGATAATAACAGAGAATCATCTAAGATTTTAGAAAAACAATTAACCAAACCACTCTCAAAGGAAAATAGTGATAGACCAAGAGTTTCCAATAATGGAAAACTACCTTCAGCAGGCCAGGCAGTGCAAAAGTCAAGCAGTGATAATAGCCAATTTAGAAAACCACTTTTGGACAGTAAAGTGACAAAAACAAATAAAGCTAGTGATTATAAATTGCCCAACCCATCTTCCAAGAGTGTATTAAATAAGAATTCAAGTTTGGGTTCTGCTAGTTCAAGTAAATCCAGTCAAAATTCATCTAGAGAGGAGGGTATGAAGAAAGGAGTTTCAGTAGGCAATGAAAAATTAGTTGGAAAATCTAAAGATCTGTTACATAAAGTAAGTAAGGCATTACCTACAATCTAGGCTTAGTAATTTTGAAGCTTATTAATTAATTTTGAAATAAAACATTTTTTATCCTACTGGGTGTGCCAAAAAGTGTACATCATATTTTAAATATCACTAATTGATTTTTTGTGTAGGGAAAACCTAAAGAGTTTCCACCAAGAGATTTGATGCCAAAACCTAAGCAGTTCCCACCTGCAGATGTGCGAGGAATTAAAAGAAAGAAGCCTATCATGCCAAACAAAGGTAAATCATTGTTTAATTTTTTAAAAATTCGTTTCTAAATAATATGATTATATTAGGTCGTATCTTGGACGATTCTGAGGAGGAATATGATTCAGAACTGGACGATTTCATCGATGATGGTCCCGAAGAAGATAATAATTATTCAAGTTACATCAAAGAAATATTTGGTTATGACAAATCGAGGTATAGAGACCGTGACGACGACGTTGATGACATGGAAAGTAGTTTTGCCCAGCAAATGAAAGAAGAAGTTATCAGCACCAAAATTGGTAAGTTTTTATCCAAATTAATATACAGTATGTGCCAAAAAGTTTGGTAATAGATGTAAAAAGGTGGTTTTTTGTGTTAGCTATCTCATATATTTTGTTTCTAATAAATTCTCTTTTTTATTTCAGGCATCATGGAAGATTTAGAAGATATAAAATTGGAGGAAGAGCACAAAAGGCGGAAAGCCATAATGAAGAAGAAAATGAAACGTTAAAATCTCTTTAAAACTAAAACATATTGTGATATAATGTAAAATATATTGTTTATATTTCTTTTTTCTACACAGAGTTTGTTTTTCAGATGAAGAGTATATATATATTGTTTTTTTTTTAATCTCATTTATACCTTATGTAATACATTATTATTATTATGCTAAATTATAGTATGGGTAAATTCTAATAGTAATATATTATATGAAAAAAATAGTAATTTATTAAAATATTCGTTTTTATATTTAATATTAATAATTGTGAAAATATTATCGTTTGGCAATAATCATAAAATATTTCTAAATAATTTTGTGAAACTGCAAAAACATTAGATTTTTAAAAGTGAAAATCAATTTGTTTATACTAGCTTATTTATTAGTGTGAATCATTCATTAAACTAATTAATAGAACATTGTCCAAATAAATACTATATTTAAAGCTTAACTTTTAAAAATAGTGTAAATACTATAATAAACTCTTATTAATATCATTTATAATATAACAAAAAAAATTGTAGATAGGAAATTATAATATGGATGCATTAAGAAGGATTGCATACAGGTGGTTTGTCCTCTGTTAGCTCTAATAGATTCTCCCGTATTTCATTACTAATTTCCTCGACATTGGGTACCTCAGATATAACCCAAGTATCATCTGTACTTTCTAACTTTTCTCTGCATATTGGACATGTATCGTGACTCTCATTCCTGAAACATTGTCAACATAAAACAGATAACATTACACTTTAGTGTAACTGACCATTCTTCAATGCACTGCGTACAGTAACTATGTGCACAAGGTAAGGTAACTTCTTGTTTTCTTTCAAAACATATTATGCATTCGTCACCTGTTTCAGCAGGGAAAGTTGTTAAATCTACATTATCCAAGATAGTAGACAGATTCATTTGACTGAAGCTGTTTGTGCTATAAATATCAAATTCTAAAATAAAATTAATTCCGATTTTATAGATACACACCTTTTTGATTGTTCCGCTGCTAAAACTTGACATTGAAAGGTTTTAAAGACTTTTAAGAATTCACTTAACGACAAAAGTCTATAATTTACAACTTTGCGACTTTGACAATCAATTTTAGCACAAGCTATTTGAATTGTCGCTTTCCAAAAAGCCGTATCGTCAGTATGTTTCTTCACAGCAAAAACTAGCTGATGTCCGTTTGAATCTAAACATTTTTTAGCACTGGAAAAGCAATAATAGATTTTAGTCATCAATCCTAAGATGTTGCTCTAACTTACAATGTATTTAATTCCCATAGTAAAGCTAAGAATTCTTCATAAGTTAAGTTACATATTTCGGATGTTAAGAGTGTATTGGAAGGTTCGTCACTAATAACTTGAGAAAGAACATCTCCCATCCTTAAAACGCTCGATTAATTTTCGTCATAAAATTACATTTTATATGTTTTTAATAGTTTTCGTTATGAATAATTTAACCTCCGGCAAATATTGATTATCGCCAATGACCTTCAACATTTTATCTGATTTTATCAGGAAATAATTATAATTTTAAATCTCTAAAAGTTACCAGAGGATAATACAAGAATTTCATACAATTACTGAAATTTGAGAAAATTATACACAATGATTATGAATTATACAAATTAGATGAAATTTTGTTGTTTATGTAATGAAATTCTGATTTCTGATGAAATTTTAAAAATTCACAAAATCATAAATTCATTCAAATTCCATAAATTCAATGACAGATTGTAGTGTATCTTCCTTGATTAGTTTTAAGCTCAAGCTGCCAGGACTAACCGGCCGCTTAGTATTATAAAAAAATATAGGTAGCAAAGTAGTAGCATGATAGTATATTTGTTTATTGGCAACAGCTACCAGAGCTATCCGGCCGATCATAGTCAAAGTACCTTCTTCTTCTTTATAAATTTTAAGGCCTAAGCTGCCAGAACTATACGGCCGAGTGATAGTTTCTTATACTTTCCAATTTTTCTAGGCTAAGACACAAAATATCTCTCCCTCCAAAAAAGTGTCATATACAGTATATGAGTGGAGGGGTGAAGGCGGATCCTGTCACAGTAACAGCATCGATTAACATCCAACCGAAGGTGGATAACCCTACTAGACCAGAGAGTTGTAGCAGCCTAGGGTTATAAATTAATTAAAAAAAGGGTTATCTAGACCCTTGATCTGGACCAGAGATTTCGCCTCTGGCATAGACTTCATAGACTTAAAACGACTAAAGGAAGACAAGTATGAAGGATGTCAAGTGTCAATGTCAATGGTGACATACAATTGACACTATTGACAATTGACAAACTTTCTTTTTCTCGGTAAACAGCCGTGTAAATTAGGTTTTCCAAGTAGGTTTAATGTTTTTTTAAATTTTTAATTCATCATTGAACCATATTAACCCAAATCTGTAAAATACAGTGAAATTTACATTCCCCAATATATTGTTGTTAATATTGTAGTGCAATTCCGGCGATATTTATTTTAATTTTCAATTATCGATAATTGGAAACACCTAACCTCTTACTGAATTATATGTTTATAAAACTAATTTTGTAGGATGTTGATGCCAAAAAAGAATAGAGTAGCCATCTACGAGTACCTTTTTAAGGAGGGTGCTATGGTAGCTAAAAAGGACTTTCATGCCCCTAAACATCCAGAATTGGAGAACATCCCCAATTTGGAGGTGATCAAAGCCCTACAGTCTTTGAAATCCAAAGGATATGTACGGGAACAATTTGCTTGGAGACACTATTACTGGTTAGTATAAATACTTAGAAACTTAAGAGTTGTGTTATAACTGGTTTGAATTTTAAGGTACTTGACTAACCCTGGCATTGAATATCTACGAAACTTCCTACATTTACCCTCTGAAATCGTTCCCTCAACTCTTAAGAGATTAGTCAGGGTAGAAAGTGCCAGACCAAGGCCTGCAGGATCTCTCAGAACTGAGGGTGGCCCATTGGCAAAGGGCGCAGAAGACAGAGCTGGATACAGGTATTTTTATTGTTTACTATCTTGTGTTTGTTTGTACAAAGGGTGACTTGTGTTTAGGAGAACTCCAGGCGGTCCAGGATCAGACAAAAAAGCTGATGTTGGTCCAGGTACGGGAGATGTGGAATTCCGAGCTGGGTTCGGTAGAGGAAGACCAACATAAGATGGAAATTTTATGTTTTTTAATTTTAAGGATTTTAAAAAACGAATAAACAAATAAATTATTATTTGATATAGTTTGTTTTCCTTTTGTTCTAAAGTGGAATTAAATTTGATTAGACAGTTGTTAGTCCAAGTCATAGATAAATGAAATGTCTATATAAATTTGTTTCTGATTGTTTTCTGAAAAGCTTTTAGAAATGTCTTTGTTAAAATAATACTGTATGATTGAGAAAAACAGCTTCAGTTGGCTTGGAAATGAGAATCGATGACATTCCTCAGATAATTTTACACGTTTTACATATAAAAAATGACAGCAATATTCATTTCATAACCATCGCTGACGCTATTCAAGTAAATGACAAATTGTTTGGATTTGTTCACATCAGAGTTCACATTTTTTTATCAGTTATTAAAGTGGCGCTTAAAGATTTGACTTTATTGTTGGTTGACTAAAATTTGCTTGTGGTTGATTGCAATTTTGCCATGTTAAAGTAACAAAGATATTGTAATTAATAATTTTAATACAGCGCTAGCTACGTAATTATATAGTTATAGCAGTCCTTTGCGATACAATATACGACGCCACACAAGTAGTCAGGTTTAGTACATAAGTAGGTAGTTTTAAAGTTTATGATTTTTAAATATATATTTGTATATTTTTCTACTAAAGTGATGGTTTCTTTTTCACGTTAGCCGTGAAGAATGTATGTTATATCAATTGAAGAGTGGAAATACCAAAGGGGGTAAGTGCCAAAATTATTTTTTCGAGATAAATGAGAAAAACAGTATACCAGCATACCTGTATACCACAAAGACTGCGGATATAAATAGAACACACTTGGTATGCTTATTTCTCCTAAGTAAATAAGTAGTAATACTAAGTTAGTAAGATTCTAGCAGTTAAAAAAAAAGTAAACAAATTCTAAGAGCCAAATAAAACACACTTCCTATGCTTTGTTCGTTTAAACATTTATTCAAAAAATTAAATCAAAAGGAACAAGGTCATCAACTTAAAAACAGGCCTCACAGTCGAGGTAGTCGAAGAGACGGGAAAAAATCACGAGTATTATTAATCTAACGCAGTCTTAAACAACACGACGACGAAGGGAGAAAATGGGTTATGGTAGGTACTGGTACCACAAAATCATTCCCACGGGTCCTTCTGCTCCGCCCAGGTACAACCGCTGCCAAAGGGACTGTAAGATTCACCTCTTTGTTGCAGTCTTCTTTGTTCTTCCTAAAAACAATTCATTTCCTATTAGTGCTAGTCAGATTAGGCTTAGATCATAATAATCTACGTGAATAAGTAAATTCGCTTTGTTCTTATTGATTTTATATTTTTTAGTCTAGCCAGTCTAGGCAAATAGTATTTTTTTGCGGTTTTTTTGCTTATAACTCCAAAAATTCGGCAATAGTGCGTCGGGCATCTGTAGCTCCTAGAATAAAAAAAAGATAGGTACTAGGATGTATTTAAGGAAAATATAAGTTCTATAGGCTGGCTCAAAAAAGTGTGAGTGGATCGGGATGACTTTTTTTAAATAGAACAACCTGTATATTATTGCATTTTTGGCTTCTTTTCAGATCACTTTACATAATCCTAAGATATGAGTAAATATATTTTGAGAATTTCAGAGTATTAATAAATAAATAAAAAATCGTTATATTTTTCAACTTCCCTTTAAAAAATATTACAAATACAAGAACTGTCCTGAAATCAAAACTATATTAGGTATTTAGTTTGGATGATCTATACTTACTTTGCTACAAATATAGTAATCTTAAATCATACAGGGTGTTCAAAATTCTACGCCAAACTTTCTAAAATATAATTTATTTTTTTTGTTTTTTTTTAAATGGAACACCCTGTTATTATTTTTTTAGATGAAGAGTTAAAAAATTACATTTTTTTGTATTTAAAGTACTTCAAAAATTTTAATGGTTAACACAGATACAAGCAGTATTATTTCATATGGCTCTTTCAACGGTAAAATACGAGAGAAATCATTGGGTGGCTTTGATAAAATTAGTTGTCGAAAATGCCATACGAAATATAAAATCGCGAATATCTGTGAAACCGTTAAAAATTTCGAAACACTCTAAATACAAAAAAAATCGTTTTTTAATTCTCGATCTACTGAAAAAAATTGACGAAAATATACATACAGGGTGTTCCATTTAAAAAAAAGTAGAATTTTTTTTTATTTAGAAAGTTCAGCGTAGAATTTTGAACATCCTGTATGATTTACAATATTTATTGCAAAGTAAGTACAGACCATCTAAAGTAAATACCTAATATAGTTTTGATTTCAGGACAGGTCAGAAAGGAAGCCAAAAATGCAATAATATACTTTTTTGAGCCACCCTATAGAAGTTAAAATATTCTTCTGAAATGCATCCTCGTGCATACTTTAGTTCTGCACTTGAACAAAATTCTCAATTTTTTAGTCTAGGAGCTACAGATGCCCGACGCACTATTGCCGGACCCTGTATACAAATTCCTTTATGAAAATCTTCGGTAAAAATACTTGAAAAAGACTACTAATATAATATTACATTTATAGAGCATTAATATTTATAATATAGTTGTTTAAGTCCTCCTGTTCTCCTACACCCACAATTGCGTTGAGAGCCTTTCTTGCATTTGCAAGAAATTTAACCCTCTAGCTCACATAAAGCCCGAGTTACGACTCCCCAAATACCCATCTCAACTTCCTCTTTTTCGATTACCACTTTTTCGATTGTTACCACTTTTCGTGAAGTTAGCCCGTGTGTCACGGTCTTGAAGTTTTACTACCAGGGCGCGTAAAATGTGTCACTTCAATATATTCACAATTTTGGTTTAATTCATATCTTCATAAAAAAATTAATGATTCACATTTTTATAAAATTTGTCTACACAGCAAAAAACAGCTGATAGACAGACAATTCATAGAAACAAAGTCGTGTATAGTACGTTAAATAGCATAGCTTCATTAATTTAAAGACAATAACTATTTTTACCTCTGTCCTCCTTCTCATTTGGATCTGCTCGTCGAACCCCGGCGGAGTTCTACGAGGTGTAGCAGTCGAAACGTCGGCGGGAGACCAGGGCTTCCACACCGGGTCCCACAAATACAAGGTGTTGCTTTCCAATCTTGGAGTCGAATCCAGAACATCGCTGAATGTGTTCGACCAGTAATCGGTCGATGAAGAATATGCCGTTCTGTTCCAAGGATCCTCTGAAAAAAGGGTTTTTGTGAACTATTTGGATCAACTACAAAGATTAAAAAACACTTCCGTGACGTTAATAACAGTAATTACATTAAGGACTAAAGAATACAAGGACATGTAATGCCCATATACAGGCTGCAACAGAATTTTTTACGTTAGACCCTTGTATATGAATTTTTAAAGTAGTTCAACCTAAGACGTTTATGGATGTAAAGCACCAGATGACGGGGCGGGAGACCTACAGAAAAATATTTTTTGTTACTCTGAATTTTGAAGCGACCAATAAAAACAGAGAAAATAAAAATCGATAATTTTCGGACTGTGCCAATTGGTTACTAATCGACCATATACTTTTTGTCTATTAGATATGCTATAAAAGCTGGTAATTATACAATTCGACCAATGTAAATACCCGACAAATTCCGCAAGGCCGACGAGGCCGATGCTTTTCACTGATAAGAAAAAAAATGTTTGTTTAGATAATTTTCGAAATATTTTTTCCTTCTGAATGCACATTTTTAAAGTATTTTATATTCTTTGTCCGCTTGATCTATTATACTGGTCGCACGTATCGAAGTTCTTCTGTTTAGTTTTAAAAAATGTTCTTATTTCTTTATAGTTGTAGTGGCTGTAGTGTAAAATTAGATTAATTTTATTAAGTTTAATTATAATGTTTAGTGTAGAATACCAGAAATAGTTTAGTAGTGTTTTTATAGTTTATTATTTTGTAGTTAAGTAGTAGGTGAAGGGATAATTTGGTTATTTTTTCTTTTTGTTTGATTAATTAGTAAGTTTGATAATTTTTTCAGTGTAAAATACAAGAAGTAGTTGTGTAGTGTAATATAAGAGATTATATTCGTTTATTTTGTAGATGAGTAGTAGGTGAAGTTATTTGGGTATTTTTTCTTTTTGTTTTTCTTCTAATTGTAGTAATTCTATTAAGTATTGTGCTGGATACATATCTTCCTTCAACTTCGTTGAAAAGTGCCTTATCATATAATTTTGGTTTTCTGGTAGTAGAATATACAAAAAAAAATCAGATTAAATTTATTTTCAATTAAATTAATCGACTCTTATTAATCAAATTAATCTAGTCAAATTATAATAATAGTTAGTTTCTAATACTATACAAGGTGAGTTTCCTACGATGTTCTCTATGGGTATCTCGGAAACTACTGGAGATAGAAAGTCGGTTAAATGGGGAAAGAATTAATAAATATATATATTATTAAATAAAACCTGAGTAATAAAATTTAAACAAAAATACACTTTTAATGAAATTATTATGGAATAGAAAAATAAGAAAATTAGGTTACTTTTCAGGTGTATTTACATTTAAAGTTATGATTACGACCTGTGATTATGTTGTATAAACGCATATTAAAATTGTGATTGTGACTGTGCTTTTGCTTAAGACTAAAATTATGATTATGAAATAATAATTGATTATAAAAAATAATATTCTGCTAAAAATTATTATAATGTAATGTTTAGTTTAATAGATATGTTGGTGTGCAAGTGTTTACTTAAGATATGTTGGATATAAAATACCGTTAAGAGTAAGCACTATAAAAATATTTATACGATACGATAAATGTTGAGGGAAATGATTGAAAATACCGTATGATCGAATAAAAACGGCGTCAACGATGGCTATGAAATGAAGATCGTTGTCATTTTATATGTAAAATTATATGGGAAATGTCATCGATCGTCATTTCCAAGCCAACTGGACGCCGTTTTTTTTTTCGATCATACGGTATTTCGTAATATGCCGAAAAAAAAAGCTGCTATAATGGTTTATTATTTAGAATTTCATTATTTAAGTTTACTAAACTGTAAAAAAGGTACCTGTAATAAGGTAAAAAAAATAAACTGTAATAGACGTTGCATCATAATACCTAATAGTAATCTACAATGATTCTTTTTTGCCAAAATTTAAAAATGTCAACTTATAACTTACAGAATGTGGACAACGTGGGAGGTGGCAACATTGCATCATCTCGAAGCACGATAAACAAATTTCCCGAAACTGAACAAGCGGCACTCAAAAGTTTTTCAATATTTTCCGAAAAATGCCAAGAAAAAAAATATTATTTTCAACATTTTTTTTCGCAAAAAAACCTCATTGGCATGTTTCTTGGGGGGAGTCGAAATATACTACCAGTTAAATACTTAAAACAGATGTTTAAAAAAAATTAATATATTTTGAATTACCTATAGGTGGCTCATTAAGTGGCATGTGATGCTTATCAGGCTCAACCAGTCTCTGAGATTGATCAATAACGTTGTTAAATACCGGCTGCTGCATCGCTGGCTGTTGATGGTTCCACATCTCCATAGGAGCCACGTTTTTGAATAAGTTACCCTCTGCTCCCTCCATACGCACACCCTGCGGCTGACTGAAGAAGCTCTTGTCGCTCGCCAGCAACGTGTTGTTGCTGATCGCAGCTATAACACTTTTGTCGTTCATCGGCGAGAACTCGACGTAAGCATTGTTCAACGCAGAACCCTGATGGTAGTTTTCCGCTAACAATTCGCGGTGTTCCTTAAAGAACAGATCCGGACTCTCAATCCCCGGGGTTCCCAGACGTTTCGAACCTATAGGACCCAAATCAACGGGCTTGTAAGGCTCGACGTACATAGTTGGTTTCATGCTCATTGGTTTGCTAGGTTGCTTCAGCGGACTATTTAGAGTTTCTACGTTCTGTCTGGAGTTCGAAATGTTATGCATGTGGAAGTAATGGTCTTCTACGGTGACTGGACCTATTCTGGGCTGTAAGGATCCGATGCTGGGTTCTTGAGACTGTTCGGTGCGAGCTACTACATCGCTGAACCTTGCTCGGTTTTCGCACCAAGCCGACGAGCATGTCGTGGTGGGCGCGGGGAACGGAATATAAAAACTGACGGGGCTTTTGGAGTGCTGTTTCTCCGAACCAGACTCGCTTTCGCTTGTTTTTGAGCGACGCTCGTTCAGACTCTTGTTGCGGTAGATGCATGATTTTTCTTTGCCTCCTTTTAGCTTATCGCCTCTTCTTTTGGACTCTCTGTAATTAAAACAAAATCGTTGATACGTGAAGACATAATATTTTTACTAATGACGGGAAAAACCGATTAATTTCAATAATCGAGTACTCGAGTTTCAAGCGATTGCAATAACCGAGTGATCGCTCGAGCGAAATATCACTCGTATTTAAAAATACGGGTTTTCACTCGTCGATTGCTGTAAGTACTCGTTAACGCCAAGCGCCAAGTAGTAAGTTGCGTGCGCAGTGATGAATGGCAAGCAGCAAGCTACGAACGATTCGCTTGATTTAGTTTATTTCAAAGCATTGTCGATGTAGGTCGTAAAATTTTGTTCCTCAGATACGCAACGGATAAATATATATACGGCGTCGTATAAATTTGCTACCTGCAATGTATGTAGAAAATTCGCTCGGCTTTTAATCGAGTATGTCACATTAAAGTCGGATTTCAATTTATTTCATTCTAGGATCGCTTGCGTTCGTCGCTTGGTATTCGTCACTTGCGTCGCTCGTTCATAATCGAGAGATGTCGGTTATTTCAATAATCGAGTACTCGAGCGAATTTTCGCTCGAGTTATGCCATCACTAATTTTTACCGTTAATTGAAAGAATTGGAAAGATACGCAACCTAATGGGCGAATTCGTGACAAGGCTGATTTGATTTACCCTTAATTCGTCTCAAGTGCTGTACGGTGGAGACACCACTCTTTCTGCGGCCAACGCATAAAACACTTATTTTCTCTATTTCGGCTAGCGAATGCATATCGAAGACGGTGTGGAAATGAAAGCGACAGTGTTGCCTTATTAAAATGTGTAATATCTGTAATACTGTTACGGATTCCGTAGGTCCACTCACGATAAAATACTTAACGATTTTATTTGTCTCACTCTGTACACACAACTTATACTATTTACAACACAATTTATGCAACTACTATTACTCTAACGGTACTGGCACCTTCGCCAATTAATTCATAATTTAAAACGCGGTATTATCAAACTTCAGACCTCAACTGTCCCAACTGCCGGTTACGCCGGCTTATATACTCTATTGACTGCTTCTCGAAACCTCTACAATTCTCGGAGAGCGTTCTACTTCATACTGGACAATTCCATTGTCTGATTCGCTTACTTGTCAACTTGATTAAAAGATGGCGCCTAAAAATGTATTTTACTTTCTGGCGGATGCGCCATTTTCCTTGACACGTTGCGGTTGTGCAAGCAACCAGTAATACATTTTAGCGCTACATACACTTTGACCTTGACAATACGTTTGACAAAAATATATATTCTTGAAAATTTATTCGTGTTAAACATAGAATAAACAACAAAAATAAAAATTCTTTTATAGGTACTGAATATGTCGTATGATCGAAAAAAGTCGTTTAGTTGGCTTGGAAATGACGATTATTGACACTTACCATACTATTTTTGCATATGAGATAACAATGAACTTCATTTCCGAGTTAACTTTGACGCCGTTCTTTGTATAATTATACAGAGTGGCCCATCGAAAACGTTCCGCAAGGCATAACGGCCAGGGTAATTTTTTTTTCAGAAAATTCAAAAATACGTTAATTTTGTTTGTGAGGGGGACAACTTTTGCCCCAAAAATGATTGCAAAATCTTCAACCCTCTGAGCGGGGGTGTCATCCCCCAATTTTTTTCAAATGGGAAGGGGGGTCAAGTGGTACCGCAATGAAAAGGGCTTTCTATTATCTATACTTTCCCGCTTCGTTTTTGAAAATCGGTCGAGTCATTGAGAAAATATGAAGGATTGAAATTTGAAAAGTTTATTTAAACATTTATCAGAGTAAATGATGAGGATAAATTTCTTCGACCAATTGTTTTTTGTTATTATTTCTAGATGTTTTCGCATTTTTTCACTTGCCACAAGGTTGAACGATCAGGTGCGGTAGTTGCTAGATAGCTGTTTTGTGACTTGTGCGTTGAAGTTCTTCTCAATATCGTTAAACTTTTTAACAATTATCACAACCTACTTGCAGAAAAAGTGGAAATAATCGAACTTTATTTTAAAAATAATGAATGTGGCAATCGCGTTGCGCAGATATTCAATGAACGCCATCCTAACAAACACCTTTATGGCAAAATTGTTCGCGAGTTAGTAGCAAAATTTCGCGAAACTGGTTCCGTTATGAATAAAAAGAGGCAGAGGGAAAATCCTGTAGTAAATGAAGCTATGGAGGTATACTTATTAGGCCAAGTTGCCAAGTACGCTGAGTACAAGAAAATTAGCCAATGAGACCGGCGTGAATCGTACAAGCGTCCAAAAGATATTAAAAAAAGTTCCACCCGTACCAAATTCAGTTGGTACAAGAACTCAACGAAGACGTTTTAAAATAGAGTAAAATAAAGTTTATTTTTAAAATAAAGATCGATTATTTCCACTTTTTCTGCAAGTGAGTACACCATAAATGTTAAAAATTTAACGATATTGAGAAGAACTTCAAAGCACAAGTCACAGAACAGCTATCTCGCAATTACCGCACCTGATCGTTCAACCTTGTGGCAAGTGAAAAAATGCGAAAACATCTAGAAATAATAAGAAAAAACAGCAAATTGGTCGAAGGAATTTATCTTTATCATTTACTCTGATAAATTTTTAAATAAACTTTTCAAATTTCAATCCTTCATATTTTCTCAATGACTCGACCGATTTTCAAAATGAAGCGGGAAAGTATAGATAATAGAAAGCCCTTTTCATTGCGGTGCCACTTGACCCCCCTTTCCATTTGAAAAAAATTGGGGGATGACACCCCCGCTCAAAGGGTTGAAGATTTTACAATCATTTTTGGGACAAAAGTTGTCCCCCTCACAAACAAAATTGACGTGTTTTTGGATTTTTTGAAAAAAAAAAACTCTGGCCGTTATGCCTTGCGGAACGTTTTCGATGGGCCACCCCGTATAATATTATATTAAATTGTTTAATGATAGAAAATCCGTATTATTAACGTACTGTATCCCAAATTCGTAAATCTACGGATTTATCAGTATTTCTGGCAACACCGTCTCCGGCAACCACCCACTCTGTCGACTGAAGGCAGAACTACGGTACAGTATTCTTTATCCGCTGCGCTGTAAAGAGGGCAGAGCTACATAATCGCCCATAAGGTCGCGCATCTTATTTCTTCAATCAACGCTTTTACCGATCAAAATGTTCAGTAAACCCGTTTTATCAACTAAAATTATAGTTATTTTTTATACAAGACGATAATGCAATTTTATCGTCGTTTATAAAACAATATTTTTTTCCATTAGCGAGTTACGTTTTAAAAAATATCCAGAAAATATTATTTCAAGGAATATATTACGAGTAGAAAAAATATTGTGCTGGGTTGGCGTTGGTTTCTATGTAATTTGACAAATAAATAAAGCTGCCACCATGCCTAGGAAACTCTTATGGAAGTGACAGGTTGTAGCCGAAGGTCCAGTACTAGACGCACGAGGGGGCGCAATTAGCAATAAAAAACTACAAAATTTAAAATTGTACCTGTTTTTACCTGGCTTTTACCGTCAAATGTAAAATTTAACCTGTCAACAGCTGTCAATTTATATTTTATTTTGCCCATTATCCGTAGATCGTGTTTTAAATTTGTTTTTATACGGCTCTGTTCTTGTGTTTTTTCATATTTTTTAACTGTAGACAATGGTTTTTAAGTGTTGTGTTACTGGCTGTAAGAATTACCAAAAACATGCCCAAATGCATATGTTTCCGAAGGATCAAATAGTAAGTGTTAACACGTCTTACATAGTATAAACCAAGATAGTTTCCCTTCCTTTAAGATTGTTAATTAATTGTAAAATAGGTTGCCCTAATTGTTATAGATCTAGATATATTTTATTATTATAATGTTTTGTATTGTTTTTGCTATTATATTCAGTTCAATAAAGATGGTTTCTTATAGTTTTTTTTGTGTTTTTGATATATCCCCTTTGTCATTTTAATTTAAATCCATTTATTCGAATAAATTGGTTCTTTCTTGAATCAATTTACTTGAATAAATGGAAAAATCCGAAAAAAATAGAAACTATCCGTTTTAAATTTATGTTTTATTTCGTTACTAGACCCACGAGATGGCGCCACCGCTCGGCCCGGACAAAATGTATTGCGTTTCCTATCTATTTTATATTATATAGTATCTTATCTATGGCTGCCACTTTAGTTGTCAGTTTTGAGTCAATATTTTTTAATTCTCTTTCGTGTCGATTGCTGATTGAATTGGAGCCAGAAATGGCTCAAAACAAAATAAGTAAATTGCCAACAGATATTCAGGCTGAGGCGACAAACGCCATATCCAAACTACTCCATTTAAATCCCGAATAACTTATGAAAAGGAATACAAAAATTTTCAAAAATGGAAGCAATTAAAAAACGTGCGATAAGAAATACAGTTTTTAACCTATCCTCGCTGTTAAAGTATCATTTAATCTACCCTTACGGTTAAAGTACTATTTTATCTACTATTTTTGATAGATATAAGGCAATTTTAACAGTTGCTATGGAAAAAAATAATTACCTGTTATGAGAAAAAATTCTGTCGCTAACCCCGTCATGTTCGTGCTGTTTCGTCTTTCCTTTTAGCTTGCTATTGACAAAACTGACGTGTTTGTTCTTGTACTCTGTCAAATTCACAGCAATTTCCTTTGGCTTCGCCGATTTTTCCAATTCAGTTTTTTTCTTTGGCAAACTCTTTATCGTCTGATTCTCTTTGTCCACCTCCTCGCAATTCGAACCACTGTTACTACTTTCCGTTGTCGTAGAAGAAGATTCTTCCTCTTGAGTCGATTTGGGTGTTTTTTTGTTTGAAACCGTCTTGTTTCTCTTTAATTCGGCTTCTTTTTGTTGAGCGTGTTTTTCTTTTCTTTCCTTTTCTTCCAGCAACTTCAGTTCTTTTTCGGTTTTGCGTTCACGAGATTTCAGCCGGTGTCTTTCGAACAAAAGATCTTTCTTCGTCTGTCTCTCTCTATTCCGATCTTTATCCTGTTTATCCGAGTTCTGTTCTTCATCAATGTTCACTTCGTCTTCATTAAAGCTATTTCTCTGAGCCAGTTTTCGCTTAGCTTTACCCGTAGTTGGTACAATGGCAGGTTCATTCTTTACCACTTCTTGTGCTTCAAGATCAACTACTTCCGAAGCTACTTCAACATCGGACTTCTTTTTGTCCTTAAACTGCATCTCGTCCTTGACCTGGCGACCAATCTTTCTCAAATCGAGAACCGGCAACATCGGGGGTGCGTTTGAAGTGATGAAAACATCCCAGGCCTGTCTTTTAATGGCTTCGGCGTCCAATACCGCTATGAACATGATGAGAAAAAACATGACCTTCATGAATACGATGGTGATGTAGCTCATGTAGAGTTCCCCAGGTGGCCGCGCTATGATTTTGTCGCACGCCTGGCAGTAGACGTAGGGAATAGTGGCGTAAAGAGAGTAATTGACGAAAGTGTTAAGGCTGGTGGTTAAGATTAGCGTGCGAGAGACTTTGGTTAAAGTTAGGTCTGATGTAAAGGCGATTTCGATTCTTTTCGTTGAGTTGGGTGGTAAGGTAAAAGGGTCACAGTTTAAAACCTGAAAATTAAGAAAAGTTTCAAATTATAAGACCGCTTTAGCAAACATGATATTTTTTTATTGTTGTGTATGTAAAAAAAAGATTACGCGAAATTTCTTCAACAATGTGCCACGGCTAGAGGTGTGTAGTTCGTGAACGAACTAGTTCCAATGAACTATTCCGACCCCGGAATGAAAGGAACTAGTTCCTGGTTTCTCAAAGAACTAGTTCCTCAGGACCTATTCCGGGATCGAGACTGTGCCCGATATATAATAATATGCGACGGCGACGAATCGGCCAGCGTGCGTAGCCCGATGGTAGGCAGGAGTGGGGAGTGCCAGCCGTAGGTTATCGGATTTGGACCTAGAGGAACTATATAAAAGAGTAGTTTACGTACGTACCGATCGGGCTAGGCAGGAGTGGGGAGTGCCAGCCGTATGTTATCGGATCCGGACCTAAAGGAACTAGAGCAACTAAATAAAAGACTAGTTTACGTATGGATCAGCCAGCGCGATTGATGCTAGGCAGGCGTGGGGAGTGCCAGCCGTATGTTATCGGATCCGGACATAGAGGAACTAATTAAAAGACTAGTTCACGGGAATCTATTCAGTCGGTAGATCCGAGATATAATACAAGGCGACGACGAATGATTCGGCCTTGTCTACTGCCACAGCCTAGCCGGCGCGCGGCGTAATTACCACAGAAAATTGTCCTGGATACTGTTTTTGATTTTTAGTTTGTTTTTTAAATATTTTATGGAAATGTTTCACTTTAGGTCCATAAAATTTAGAAATATCTTATAAAACGAAGTAGATATTTTGAATTTTTAGACAAAAACAAAAAGCTTGAAGTGAGGAGAAATGCAATTTTTCGTAAAATTTTTGTAATATTTGCTCCAATTGATTTGTGATATAATTTTGTAAACTCTGATTTGAGTTTTTTTTATCTGGATAGATTTATAAAACTTACGTTTAAAGTTATAATTAGATATTTTATATTATTTCAACAACAAACACATAATAGTACAGCGTAATGTTGATATGCAGGTCCAAAACAAAAAGTGCCGTTATATTTTTCAGTTTTCGTTGTCAGCCGCGGATGTTTCAGTGATTTTAGTGTTGTCAGATATTTTTATTTGCGAAATAGAAATATTGCGTTTGGATTGCAAAACTAAAAGTGGAAGTTTTATTGCAATGTAAGTAAGCGTTTGTCCATTTTATATTTTACTTTTTTCATACCTACGACAAAAATACATATATATTGAAATTTTATAATTATAATAAGCTTGTAATCCTGTAATTGACATAACTGTTATGTGATATATTCCATTTAAATGTAATATATTACATAAAAAAAGAAGAAGAAGAAAGGAAATAAATTTAAATTGGAATGCCTGTCAAAATTTTGGATCGCGACCGTTGTACGCGATCTGGCGCTACTATAGCAGTTGCTAAGAACAACCGCAAACAAAAACAGAAATAATCTTCTCTTGTCAAAGTCAGATTCTTCAAAAATTATAAAACCTCTCAAAATCTAAACCGCTCTCTTTGAAAAAAATCCAAAAAGTGTTTAAAGCGTCCATTTTCAAAGTTATTATTATCTTGTGAGTTTAAGTTTTATTTACTCAAACCCGGAATAATTGTGAAAAAGTGGCATTAAAAACTTAAAAAGCTGTGCTGTGAACTGAAAAATAACTAACCTAACCATCGTGGACCGTGGCATAATGTCGGTTTTCAATGTTTCATAGGTATTTCATACATGTCCTTATATAAAATAAAGTTTCTTGTATGCAACACATTGTATTTTATTTATAAAATTAAAAGATAATAATAATAAATTTGATTAAACAATATTTGGTGATAGAATTCCGGAAAAAGCCGAACCGCTCCGAAATTTTCAAAAGCTTTGGATCGCGACCGTTGCAAGAATAGCGCCAAATAATATAATAGTGTTTACATTGTCCTTATGGGTACTTTCCAATCTAAACTTGTTTAATTTATCTATGTGCAGAAGTAATTCTGCATAACACTTTTTTCAATACTTCAATAATATCAATAATAAAAATTTCCCCATTTGGTGTAATCTTTTAGCACACCTTGTGTATATGTCAGTTTTTAATAAATAAATCATTCAAAGGCCAGAGTGATCCCATTTTTTCAATAAAATTTTATGTTTTCAACAAAAAAATTCCTGGAAAAATTACTGAAAAAGAATACTAGTGTTAAGCTTGATTTTCATGCATCCGTTATACGTTGATACGTTGGTCCGACGGTGCTCTGATTGGTCATAGCATTTTTGCGCCACTTTCCATCCGTAAATATTTTACTTCAGCCCATCAACGGACCCGTTCATACGATAACGGACGCTTTGACACTTTTTTGACAAATTTTATCTAACTTGAATAAAAATAAGTAAAATAGCAAAATCATTATGGAAACGAACATATAAAATGACACCAACGTATATCCGATAAACGGAGGCATGAAAATGCAATAAATTTAAAAACTGCGTTGTTTTCTAACCAAACAAAGTATTTAAATTCTACCAATAAAATTAATATCATATCAACGTATCGTCGGACAACGGATGCGTGAAAATCAAGCTTTAAACTTAGAGAAATATTGAAAATTGATACCAAACGCATTAAATTAGTACTAAATAATATTAAAAAACTGAGGAACTCTAGTAAAAATGGGTATAGCTTACTTTAAATCCGAAGCCTTCACACTGATACCCGTTTATGTAAAGCCCATACACCTGCACGGGTATTTCCCCTAAATTCTTCGCCGATATGCTCCTCTTAACCGTCAAGTTCGGCACGTAATTCAAAAAATATCCGTCGTCCTCTTCCTTTACACAACCCTGAAGGCTCTTCTCGTTAATATCAAACAACAGCGGTTGTCCCGTCCCCTGTTTGCGGTTGCCTAACTTAAAAACGGGCACGCTACCCTTTCCCTTCAACCTCACCACCTCTAAAATTGTGAGGTTGTTGCGAAGTAATATTAAGCTCGAATAAGTCTTCGACTCTTCGGCTTCAAACTCCAAAAATATCTTTTTGGATTGGTTCGGTAGTAACAACACCGGTAGTGAGGTTTTGTGAGTGGGGATTCTCGAAATGTCCCAGAAATAGTCTCGTGATTGTTCCAGGAATCTACGGTCAAAGAAAAACCCCTTGTTAGGGTATTTGAACTCGGAAAATGGTACGAAATTTTCCGGTAGACCACTGAATAATTTTTCGGCTTCTGGATAGTCGAAATCGAACAAGATCTGAACGATGACGTTCTGATCGGATGGATTGTGCAGTAGTAGACTGCAGCGCGTGGTGTTGCCAACTTGGGCCAACGGAAACTCCAAGGTAGAATTATTTAATAATAAACTGTCGGATATCAGACTGGGCCAGATATATTTCACTTTGCTCTGGAAAAAATACCCTTTGATCTCCGATGTATCTAGTCTAAGTGAGATGTTGGTCCAGGGATTCGAACCTCGTTTCGTAAAGTTTAGATATCGATTGTAGAGTGTTTTGACTAGCTGTAAATCGTAGTCTAGAACTTGTTTGGTGATGGGCAGTGTCCGTAGCCATGAAGCTGAAAAAAATAATTTCACGTACAAACTTGTAAAAATAGTAGTCTAAGAGAGACAGCTCTAACTCCTTAAAGACGTAGTGCTACAGAGCGTAGGTAGTAATAAAAAAATTTAAAAATAAAACCCCGCTTTTATGTTGTTATCTGCCTAACAGGATAAATTGTAAAATGTACTTTGTAATTTATGCAAAAAATTAACAGTTAAAAACTTTGGTATTACGGAGAGCACAATCTCATTAAGGATGTGATTATCTACAACTTTTATCTGAAACCTTTTTGTCTAAAACTGGTTATAATAGAATTAGACTCTCTAGCTCCAGTAGTTTCCGAGATATCCATAAAGAACATCGTAGAAAACTCACCCTGTATAGGCTTGGCGCATTTTCTGCCGGTGCTGCCACCATCGGAGAATATCGTAAACAGCCGGCATATACAAATACATACACGAGTTTAAGTAGCGAGTGTACGAAAAATTTATTATTTAATTATTTTAAAAGTGTTTGGAAGTATAATTTGTGAAAATTCTAAAAATAAAATTAAAAAAGTAAATATTTTGGTATCCTCAGTAGGTCTAACATGTATTATAATTTATTATTGAAGCTAATACAAGTTTTTAGATGAGTTCAACTACCGGTAGCGAGCATAGTTTTACGCACCGGTTTTGCTAGTGGGGACATAACTTGGGCTATTTCGGCTATAACAAAAAAAATTGAAGGTACATAATTATAATTTTAGAAGATATTCATAAAAAAATTTAAGCACTAGTTGATTAAAAAAAGAGCATACCATTAATATTGCAAGTTATATTTTATTCTCTCATAGTATATGTCTATTTAATTTTATGATTATGTAATGGGCACTTTGTTTACTCACTTGTTTCGTCGAACTGCTTGAATCCATTTTTGCTTTAGATCAAATCGGTTTGAGAAGCTGTGAAGCTATAAAATATTGATTCGGGAGAGTTGAATATTCGGGAAAGTTGAGTTATTGAATGTTATTGCACCCAACAACCATATAATTACGCCCTCCTTTACGCATTAACATTTTTTCGTCAATTTTATTAATATCTGAAATTGTCAGAACACAACGCGACGCCCAGTTCGAGTTCTTTTTCACTTAATTTTTACTACTTGAAACAAACTACCTCAGTGTTATATTGTTTCAATTACTGCACTAGCAAAAACTGTAATACTTAAATATTACGACAAAGTCACGATTTCAATATTATATTAATGCGATCAACATGACCTGTAACCGCGGGACGGCCTGACATACATAGCAAAAATTTCTTATTTCTACCGTATAGAGCGCTGCTGTCGAAATTTTTTGAAATCAACTGAAATGCACCAAACCTATAACTAACTGTGAGATTTGACTTGGGGTAAAACGTAATAAAACTTGACTAAAAAGTCTAATTTGTGATTTTAACAAATGTTACAGCTGAAAAAATAAAGAATTCTACAACGGTATTTTTATCACTCGGTATATTAAGTTGGCGTACGTGAGTACTTACCGGAACCTTCGTTGAGGAACCCTACGTAACACTGCAAGCCACAATCCAGGTTCGGATTGAAGAACATTTGTCCAATAATTTTGTTCGCATTCGGCGTGACCGCCGCCGTAATAGAGGCGGACACTTTTTTATTTAAAGGTAACGCCAGTATATTTTCCACCAACATTTGTTCGGGAAATGTCGAATATACCTTCAGGAGGTGGCTGCAAGTTTTCGTCTAAAAAATCGAAATTGGCGAGCTTGCTGACTAGTTACCGAGAATGCAACTGACAATACACTGAGTCAACAAACCTGACGGTATCCATTTTAATGTTATGTTCAACCGTCTAGCAGCAAATCATATACATATAACTAAATATACTCAGCATAATCTCTAAAAAGTGAAGCCCAAAAGTGAAAGAGAAATATGGAATTCTGCATAAGTCTATTTGACCCGGATATTCATTTAACTGCACATGCCTTGCCTGAAGAAGTTTTCATTGGTCCGTGTTTTTAAAGAGAAGTGGTTGACTGACATTTCACCTAACCTTCAATTTTATTTATATTTTTATTATTTATAACACATTATCATGGGAGTTGGAAAAATATCAAAAAATAGTTGGAAACAATAAACTAAACAAAATCATTCTTTTGCGCGCACAAATAAAAAGTAATCCAAACAGAACTAAAACAACAATCAATCGGAGTTTGACGCAATCGCAGTTCAATCGATATCCGGGTGAAATAGACTTATGCAGCATTAATATGGAGCTGAGTTATGTTGTCTTTTTCTTATGGCACGGAAACAGCACATGGGGTTAAATAGGGAACACTGAGTATATTTAGTTATATTATGTATATGCAGCAAACTAGTAGAGCTCAGTGTAATGCCTTTTGCATATCTGTGAAGGTACCGCCTAATCGATATTTAAAAAATTTAGAAAAAATCTTACAGGAAAACATTTGTCAAACACGAGCTCATCAGTATCCAAGAGAAAAGTCCCAGAAGACACTTTGAAATGAACTGGAAGAGACAGGTTCTCATACGGAGTTTGAATTTGGACTTTCTCCCATACAGGACCTTGTGTGCTGCCAGTGGTGATGGCCATTTTAATGATTGCGAATCCGTAAGACGATATTCTATCCTATTTTTATAGGAAAATATATCGTTACTAACAAAGGTCGATACAAAATGGGTTTAAACATTTACAATTATTCAGTAATCTTTTCTGAGTGTATTTTCGCACAGTCATTAAAACAAGGAAACTTATATTTCCCTATTAATTTTATTTCCTGCATTTCCTTAAACTGGGAACTTACTTAATCCTTTTCTTTAAAATATAGACATATCATCAATAAAAAAATAAAACACTAAATCACCACAATACACCAAAACACTTTTACTTTTACACTGGACGCGCGTTTCGATAACCATGTTAGCATCATCAGCAGATGATTATAAACTCTGTGTGAGTCACAACCAAAGGTTCCAACCCTCAACTGTAATATCATCGATACCAAATAATTTTTTAGCTACGTCATCGAGGGCGCGATTATTAAATCCAACGTTGCCAACCATTCACATATTCGGCGAAGACCTGATTAACTGGAATTTAAATTTCCCGCGGGCGATTCAGGTGATAGCCCTGCTGTAAAAAAGGACAAGTTGCCATATTTATTTTTTTTGACATTTTAATTCGTTTTGACACTTTAATTTTGTATTACGAATTTTCGGTTTAAGTGAATTGGGTTGTAATACTTTAAGCTTAAAGCTTTTCGTTTTTTTAAGTCAAAAATTGTTCTTTTTAGAACCTCTTCTAATGCGAAATGTACAAGATGCCTAATAATCTCAACCTTATTAGAATATTTTAAACGGAAAAACGATAATAATTGCCCTTTATGTCCCTTAAGTGCTGTTAAGAAGGTGAGTTTTGTTGATGTAAATAATAACTGTTTATATATTTATAATTAATTCATTTTTGTTTCCTAAAATATTTTTATCAAGAGTCTATTACGCTGTACTTTCGGGTCGTTTTCCGGGGTCGGGTAAAGCGGGTGTGTGGCCAAAGGAAATATATATTATACTTCAGAAATCTGCCTAAGGTTTTAGCCCAATCCTGAGGTTAAGTCACATCCAAAATTCCAAGCACACGTGCTTTGATTAAGGCTTGATTAAGGTTTACAGAGCTTCAGCATTTGAAATAAAATAGTGAGCAATTTGTTACAAAACCATATAAATTATATATCACTGTAATTACTAAACTTAAATCTATTGCCGTATTGTAACGGAATTTTAAATTATGTCTTTATTTTCGAGAGAATTTAGTCTAAACATAAGGAATATTTTGTTGATGATTGACCATCAAAATCTTAAAAATAAAGGAGTTGTCTAAAAATGTGCTACAATACGGATATAGTATAATCCTTTATCTTTAATTTCCTTCTTCATTTGTGTAAAAATACCTAGCCAGTTTTACATAAAACGTTAAATGCCGAACGCTTATTTTGCTACTTTTTCAGACTTGTGAAATGGAATCTCAAAAGAAAATATGTAATAGTGGGCAACACTGTGCCGGACAAGTTTAATCATGTGACTAAAAGTTTATTTGGTATGATCTAGATATTTGTATTTCTCAATTTTCGTTCAAATTTACAATTTGGAAACTTTTCTCATGTAGCTAGTGAAAATATACTCAGAACGATTGCCTACCCCATGTTCAAACAAAATATGGAAATAAACATAAAATAATTTAATAATACTTACACAATCAGTGAGATTCTTGAAGGTATTAAGTAACAACATAGTTTTGTGGTCTCCAGTGCCACAACCTTTGATCCCTAGACCTAACAGAGGCGAGAAACTTTGAAGGCTCAACAGAGGCAAATCCACAGGATTCGGATTGCTGAGCATGAAGAATATTTCTTTGGTAGTTCCACTTCCCACTAGACCCACATTCAATGAGTAATCGTTGCTAGTGAAAGGTAAATGCTGTTTTAAAAAAGAGAAAAAACGTTAGAGAAAATAGTATAGATAAAAAAATGGTTGGCGTACAACTTGTACTTTTCCGTTGTAACTGAGGAGCGGTACTTGGACCTCCGAAACGTTCGTGATCAGTTTAATGTGGCTGCTCAGTTGCATGTTGGTCTTTTTAACCGCACTTTTAAGTCTGATGTTGAACAGGTGCTCTTTTTCCAGAGGTCGTACGATTTTTGGTGTAAAAGTTTCAATCTGAAATCATTTAAAACGATCGCGGTCATATATAATTTCGCCGGACAAACTATAGGGTAGCCTAAAAAGTGTTGGACCTCATTATGTATACAGGGTGTCAAAAAAATAGTGTATCTAACTTTGGTGGGTGATTCTACAGATGAAAATGAAACCAAAAAGTTCCTATGAACATATGCCCTAAAATGTTTCCCGAAGAAATTACAGCTCTTGAAAGGTTAAATAAAAATAATATATTTTATTTATATGTTAAATGAAAATTAAAACGAGGACTTTTTTATGTAAAAAGGTGCTCTTGTTTAGTTCGAAACAGTGAACGGTTTTCAAGATATTTGCGTTTAAAGGTTCCGATGCATCAATTTTAGCATTAGCGAAAACAGAAGATTAATTTATTTAAGATTTCTTTACATTTTATCATTTCACTAATACTAAAATCGATGCATCGTAATCTTTAAACGTAAATATCTCGTGGGAACATTATGAGATCTAGTACTAAAAACACCACCGGTGAAGGTGTGGGGAAGCCCCCTAGCGACACTGGGAACATTACAAATGAAAGTTCCAAGGGACCAAATTCAAAGGAAACTACAAGAGGGGCGGCTGACACTTGCTTAGGATCATCCTCCACAAGTGGCACACAAGCTACCGCCTTCTCCAGCAAGGGTCGGGAGCCTACCTCTAGACCCAATAAGCGACAAAAGCTACCGTTTCGTCTACCCGGCCTGGGTCAACCAGGCGGGCTAGATGATCCTCTGAGAGTAGGTCTTAGTGGAGCAGAAGCACAGATTCCTCCGACTGCTCCACGAAGGACTTGCTCCAGATTAAGCAAAAGAAAAAACACTCCTCCGAAAAGGGGAGAGTAAAGAAACCAAGAAACAACCTGACTCATCTCCATCAAAGGGCAAGAGAGGGAGCGAAAACCTCTCACCTCTTCTCCGGCAGGGAGAGAAAAAAGCCAGGATGGAAAGCCGTCCAACACCGGGAGGCAAGCAGGAACGTATCACCAGCTTTGCCGCTATCGCTGGACAAGTGAAAATGGCGGTGCTGCCAAAGGATTTCCCAGAGGTTGCTCTGACCACCGACCAGCAAACGTCTCTAGAAGAGGCTATACTGGACGAAGTAGTGGCGATCGGATCGCAACACAACGATCTACAAAATGTGGGCCAGCTGCGTTTTGCGAGGATACACTTTCGGGTGGGCATGATCCTCATAGATTGTGTATCTCAAGAATCGGCGAATTGGTTGGTGGAAATCGCACCTAAGCTTAGAAATTAGCAAGGGTCAGAACTGATTGCAGTGAAGAGAGAAAACATCCCTAAAGGGGCGGCCATCACGGTCTTTCTGCCAAGGAGGAAGGGGAAAGACACCACCTACCTGCTGAGCCTTATCCAGGGTCAGAACTTCAATGTAAGGACATCGAGTGGGCGAGTCAACTGGAGGGAGGAGGGTCATGGTCAGGTCCTCACAATAGGAATTGACCTCAAATCCAAGGAGGCAATAGAGAAAGAGGGACATATCCTCCATTATTGATGCGGTACAACACCCGTATCAGGTCTAAGGAGAGACCAAGTTAAAGAGGTGGATAAAATGGAGACAGATCCTCCAGCCTCCACCTCACGGGTTCCTCAGCCGGAGGCAAGTTCCTCGACTGTGAAGGGCGGCACGGAAAGCCAAACTCCAACCGTGGAAGGGTGTGACCCTCGGAGGAAGGACTGTTGTCAGAGGAGGATGGGAAATACCCTGTCCCCTCTACAACAGGGTTTTGATGGGTTAGACTGTGTGATGACTCAAGGAAGGAGGGCACAATAGATCTTTAAGGTCGCATAGTGATTAACCCTCTTACTCATTCTACATTCTTCTACATTCAAAGGAAATATTGCTGACAAGTACGCATGCAGAAAAAGCTATTTTGAGGTTGGAAACTATTTGGACTACCCTCGTAGTTACAATTAAACCAAACTTACTTTGAACGTCGAATCTACGTCAAATGGAAACTTGACGTCCACGATTTTGACAGGATGTAGAAATTCGTTCAGCACTTCGAATTTGCGCTCTGTCGTATCGATTTCCTTGTCGTTAAGAAAGTACGTGGTTGACAGCTTGTCATAGCTGAGCCCCCCTTTGAGGGCGGTGACGTAATAAGGTATTTCGGTGCGATTTTTGCCGTTGCGAAATTTGACAATTATATTGCCCGCAAAATCTTGATTTTTCCATGCATTTTTCCCTTAAAAAAGTCGTAAGAATTTTTATACAGGGTGCGTCCTAAAAGTGGGTCACTCCTATAACTTTTATATTTTTTTTAGATAAAAAACAAAATTTGGTAAATTAGGATTGATTGACGTATTCAATTGTTTTGGTCACTTCTTGTTTCACTAGAAATAACTACAACTTTTGATTTTTAAATGGCACCAACGGTATATTTTTATTCAATGGAAAATGACATTATGAATAGAATGACATATCATATGTCAACTTTTGACATTTTCGCTTAAAAAACCGTATTTTAAAGTTCAATCTAGAGTCCCATGTCTGTGTTAAAACCACTAATTTTTAATCAAGGAGCCTTGAACAAATAGATTTGATCATCTAATGTCTTTCGTGTCTTGTCCTGTTCAGTTTAAAGATGCCCAAATCGTTTTTTAATCATATATCAATTTTTTCAAATGGAACAAAGGTGGTTCATTAGCATATTTAGAAAAAGCATTATTTTACAAATAATTTGGTACCACATACTTGGTTTTTCAAGTCAAATTGTTCTTAACATGAACCTCATGTTACAATTTTAAACAAACCATATGCGAAAAAGTCAAAAGTTGACATATGATATGTCATTCTATTCAGAGTGTCATTTTTTATCAGGGTGCATACACACCATCCTAGAAAAAGCAAAACGGCGTATCAGAGTAACGACCTTGAATCGATTTATAGCAATTCTATTGGCTGAAATGAATCATCTGTCAAAAATTTCAGCCAATAGAATTACTGGAAATATATTCAAGGTCATTACACCGATACGCCTTTCCGCTGTTTCTAGGATGGTATGGACGCATCCTCAAATAAAGTAAAAATATACCAAGGGTGTCATTTAAAAGTCAAAAATTGGAGTGATTTCCAACAATTGAATACATCAATCAATCCTAATTTATGTCATATACTAACATACCAAATCTCGTTTTTTTATCTGAAAAAATAAAAAAGTTATGAGTGAGCTACCTCTGAGACGCACCCGCTATATTATTATTATAAAATGCCTTAGATAAAGTAGACATAAAATATACAAATATAGAAAACACTTACAATCAATTGTTAACGTTCCCACATTAACACATTTGTTCTCTTCTTCGTTACCTGGCCCGATCCTGACATTATAATATTGTGTCTTGATTGATTTTGACAACGTCGAAACGCTGTGCACCCGTACAGGTTTTCTTAAAGGATTGAACAGACATAGGCTAATCTCCTTGGGAGGATCCATCGATCCACCCATGCCAAAATCCACATGGCCCTGTGGATGGAATATGTTCTGGGCAGGAGTCACTTCAACTTCCAAAGGGACTATCAAAATTTCATCTGGATTATGAACTTTTATCCTAGAAAATTGTTTCAATCAATTTTTGTCCAGTTGATATTCACAAAAATGTAAAAAATATATATCTAAATAAGAAAAAAAATTCTTATTAGACTGATGGAAGCGGTGTGATTTTACCTGATGTAAGCGGTGTGATTTTCAGCAACTTTTGCTTCGAAGCGGACTCGAATTATAGCTTTGGTTTCTTGTGGTTCAATTTCCCATAAGTCATTGGAACCTTCATGTTGTCCACCTGGCAGCTCCAAGTGGAACCCCCCTCCACTACTGTATATTTCGACTATCTAAAATTTTAAACGAAAAATTAAAGAAAATTGTTGAAATAAAAAAATAACTGATGAAATACCTGGATAGGTTCAGAATGGGGATTGTGCATATATATTACTGGAGTGAATGTAGAATTAGCTGGCAGTTTCACACCGACTATAGGTCTTACTCTATATTTGCTAAAGATGCCAAATGCCTTGACCTGTCAAAGGTATATAGCTAGTAAACAATTATACAATTTCTTAAACATTTACTTACATTATATTTTAGAAAACCAGTTGAAGTGTGTAGAAATATAGAACTTTCAACTGGTCCCTCTTGGCGACCCAAGTACACAATTTTAAAAGTGGTGTTTCCATTTGGAGGTATGGTCTGTTTAAAATTAGTTTTAAAATTAATATTGTATAAATAATAACTGGTTAAATTACCTTATCTTCAAAAAATGAACTATGAAAATGAACCGTATTTCCAGATATAGACGTGAGATCAATTGTTTTGTTGTTATCTGTGTTAAACACAGTGACTGTTTCGGAATATGGAACTCCAAGAGGCCTAAAATTAACAGTACATTTACTTCAATTGTTGTTTACGGTAATTTTATGATACCTTTCACGGAAATCTAAGAACTCCGGTTCGAACCGAATATTTAAAGGTCCGGAAGGATTTAGATTTTCCAAATATCGTAAATATGAAATTTCCTAAAAGAAAACAAGAGTAAAGACCATTTTTAATTAGTTTCGGGTAATTTTTACCTCCTGAGTATACGATATATCATCGTCGATCAAGTATCGAGCGTTTTTCGTAATAAAGCCTAAAATAAAATAGTAAAAATGTAATAGATGAAAGAACTCTAAACCAAATCTTTACCGTGACTGCTGTCATGCAAAGTAAGATGGGTTAACGTAATTAATTTTAAGAACGTAAATACACTTATGTAACATGGCACTAATTTTTCAAACATAATCTCCTTTTCGTGCAAGTTTCGTTTTCTCAAAAGCTATACTTATTTTCATTTTGACTCGACATCCTCCGATATAGACTTGCACTTGTTATATTTTTTTGGCAATATTTGGCTTTGGCATTGAATTATTTTTGACACATCACTTGTCAAATTTTAGAAACGTCATTGGCCTATGGGCAGTTATGGGTTAATAAATTTTTAAGAAGAAGAATTATTTCCCATCCTTCTATGGCATCCTTCTCCCATCAATCCTGATTTTATAAAATGGTAAATTGTGGTAAATTAGTATATTAATTTTTCTAACGTACTAATATCGGCTTTTTAGATTCGTTTAACACGACTGCTCAATTTAGGAGGCAGGCAGTTCTCTACTCTTGCAGAAAATGCATCCTTACCAGAGTTAGATAAGCTATACAAAACTTTAGAACTGGAAGTTCGAGGTAATGATCCTGCAGTTCTTAAGAGTTTTTGTAAATTTGCTACTACAGCCGGAAATCATTTTGGACTGGAATCTAAAACGTGAGCTATCTATTGTTTGCATTACAAAATCTATAACATTACTAATTTTAGGTGGAATTTAAAAAAACCTGTACATGAGAGATATACGGTTTTAAAATCGGTACATATTTATAAGAAACACAGGGTTCAGTATGAAGTAAGAACGTATTTTGCCTTTGTACAATATAATTTGCTAACGGGTTCCACAGCTGACACTCTTCTAGAATATGTAGAAAGGAATTTGCCTGAAGGGGTTGCTTTAAAAGCTACAAAAGTATGTACAAAGCAGTTTTATTTTGATCAGTTGAATTAATTTATTTTTCTATTTTTAGGTTGAAATACAAGAACTTCCAGAACATATTAGTTGATTTAAAAGAAATTGTTATAGTTAATTTTAATATATAGTTAAGAAAACTTGTGTTTACTATTCTATATTTTGTTTTTTTCCTCTACATAATAATTTTTATGTGGTAAATAGTGTGTTTGATAAAGGAATTTCCAACACGGTTATAAAATACAATTATTTATTTCTTAATATCTAAAATATTTCAAAGTTATTTAAAAATAACACACAATTGTTTTTAATTTAGTATTTCTTCAAAGTTTTTCTGATAAGTGTTGATCTGTTTTTATGCGCTTCTGTAGTGAGACTTCTTTTGTAGGGTCTCAATTCATCTGTACCAAAGCCAGGTGTCCACATGTTATAGTTTCTGTTAAGGATTTGCTGGACATCTTTAACCTATTCAAATTTTGTTTATTTTTATTTATTTTAATATTTTTTTAATTGTTTATACCTCAATGCTGCTACAACCGCGGTGTTTTGCTATCATTGCAGCTCCTTCCAAACAGTGATCAACAAATTCATCAACATAAGCCAATAATTGCTCTTCTACATCATCTTCTAGATTTAAAGTTGAATCAATTTCTCTTACAAGATCTTGCAGTCTCTGTTTTGTTACAACTTGAACTTGGGGATCCACGGAATGGTTTATTGTGGAATTTGGCATTGCTTTTATCGAGGCATTAGCACCTTGTGGTACTGTTTGTACACCTAAAAATATATTATTCCCATATTTTAGACAATTATATTATGTTTATAAAACTTATTTCACAAACCTTGCATAGGTTGATTCTCTGCCAAGTTGTTATGTACAATTTGATTTTCGTGACCAATTGAATTGGTCACAATCCCATTATTCTGGGTCATAATGTGCCCTACTGGAACTTGATTAACGATAATATTCTGTCCTTGAAAATTATTTTGCATATTGGGGTGCAGAAATTTTACTGATATAAAAAAATTTTTAGTATACTGTTTATAAAAGCTGTGATAAAAGGTTTTTAAAAACAAAAGCTTGGCGAACAATTTTCAAGGTTATCTATACGAATTCTTTATTTTCGAAACGGGCTCTAGAAGTAAGGACATAGGACAAGCTATTAGTTTCATATATAATATTTTTGCTGCTAAATGAATGAAAAATAAATCATATATAATTTGTTACGGCCATAGCTGCCAAGATAATCAACATTAAATAACTATCAATTGTTTATGGCCTAATTTTTAAAAAAGAAGAAATTGTCATATAAATTTTACAGCAATGAATTTGCCGAATAGCCCTGGCAGCTCAGGCCCGAAAAACTAATAATGAAGTACGTTCTGAAAAACGTTCTGTGGAAGTTAAACAGGAAATTTTGTTAATTGACAAGTTTTTGATGACCAATGAAAATATAGTCCTTAATTTAATTTTAATTATATTTTAGTGATTTCTTAAATAGAAATTAGAAATATATTGATAAAATGATTACCCTAAATCAGCCTGAAGTTAAACATTTATAAGTTATCTGTTTTTTATTAATTTTGGAGATTCTGAAGAATTGTTTAACAATGAGTTATTTTACTTTAGTTGGTGGTGACGCGAATTCTGGACTTTCTGAGGCATTTACTCTGGAAATTGGACCATTTGAAGCTGTACACCGATGGAAGTCATTACCTGAATGTGATGAATTTGTTGGAGCTAGGTATTATATGGTGTTCTGTTGTTTTTTGTCATTAAAACTAATAATATTTTAGGCGAAGTAAGCATACCATGGTTGCTTATAACGATGCTATTTATGTATTTGGAGGAGACAATGGAAAAAGTATGCTAAATGATTTGTTGCGATTTGATGTCAAAGAAAAAAGTTGGGGAAGGGCCTTTGCAACAGGTGCTCCACCAGATCGAAGGTTTGATAAATGATAAAATATAATGATAACATATTCAACATTAAACTCTTAGATACCATCACTCTGCTGTTGTTTATAACGATTCCATGTTTGTATTTGGCGGTTATACCGGGGATATTCATTCAAACTCAAATTTGGCAAACAAAAATGATTTGCATGAATATAAATTTAAAACTGGTCAATGGCTAGAATGGAGATTTACTGGCAAAATGCCTGTGCCTAGGTCTGCTCATGGAGCAGCTGTGTATGATGATAAACTTTGGATTTTTGCTGGATATGATGGCAATGCTAGATTAAATGATATGTGGACTGTTTCATTAACTTTGGTGAGTAGAATTCATTAATTTACTATACTTATTTGTACAGTATTGCTTGTTAGGGTGACAGACAATGGGAAGAAGTAACTCAAAAAGGTGAATGCCCACCAACTTGTTGCAATTTTCCTGTTGCAGTGGCCAGGGAGTGTATGTTTGTTTTTAGCGGTCAGAGTGGAGCAAAAATTACAAATTCTCTATTTCAATTTAGCTTTAAAGAGAAGGTGTATGTAGATTTTATTATTTAATTTATATATAAAATTTATTCTTAGAAATTTTTAGCTGGACTAGAATATCAACTGAGAAAATACTGAGAGGCGCCCCACCTCCTCCTGCTAGAAGATATGGTCATACCATGGTTTCCTTTGACAGACACTTGTATGTCTTTGGAGGTGCAGCTGATGCAACTCTATCAAACGATTTGCACTGTTTTGACTTAGATTCTCAAACCTGGAGTGTAAGTATTGTATTAGTTTTAAAAATAAAATTTTAATTTACTATAAATTTAGATTGTTCTGCCTGATCCAGAATCACATGCACCTTCTGGAAGGCTTTTTCATGCAGCTGCAGTTGTCAATGATGCAATGTTTATCTTTGGTGGAACAGTGGATAACAATGTACGTAGTGGAGAGATGTACAGGTACAGCTACAAATGTCTTAATTTGATGTTTTAATGATTTTTATAAAAGATTTCAGTTTGCAAGTTACCCAAAATGTACTTTACATGAGGATTACGGAAAGTTATTGAACAAGGAGGAATTCAAGAGGTACAATGACATCTGTTTTGTAGTGGGAGAGAGAGAGGAAAAGATCTATTGCCACATTCCTATAGTGGCAGCACGTTCGGCTTATTTGAGAGATAAAATCAGACAAGCTAAGTTAGCTGCAGCCAAACTGAAGTCAGCTGCAGAGAAAGCCAGCGACGAAACATTGAGTAAGGTCTAAAGGGTCAAATAAAAATAAAAAATCTCATTTGTTGTGAATTCTTTGGCATACCCTGTATATTTTTTTAATTTTTATTTTTAGTCGGCCAAGAAGAGCAGCAATTTTTGGAAGTCTTACTTCCTAAAGCAAATTGTGATGCTTTTAAAATGGTTTTAGATTATATTTATACTGATTATATTGACCCGTCAAAATATATTACCAAAGATGAAACAGATCCAGAAAAAACTATTCTAATAAGGTAATAAATGTGTAATATTTTGTTTTTTTTGCAGACTTTTCGAATATATTTGCACTAATTTGATATTTTTTAAACGTGATTGGGACATAAAAATTGTGTCTGCTTTATGTAAAGACAATAAAAATAAAATTATTCTAAAATTGATATAAACTGTAAAAAAATATGATTGTTATTGTCACAGAAAGATCTATATTTACATATATTTACATGAAGGATGAAATAAATATGGAAGCAACACTAGGGATGTATAAAATATATCGATAGTTTTTGTGGTAGTTTTTAGTATGTATAAATGTTATACATACAGTACGTCTGTTCGTTCTGTAGCTACGCGGTATCCGTGAGAGGGGAAACGACATTCTCTCGATATTTTTCGTAAAAAATTAGACGACGCGTCCCATCAATAAAAATTAGACAAATTTGCAAGTGGCCAATAAAATGAGTGGGCGGAGCGATTTGCGGTGACGTACTCGTCAAGTCGACGTATAAAATATATTGCTGTTTATTTAAATGTTTTTTGTCAGCATTCCTTTCATAGACACAGATCCAGCAGATGTACTGTACAGGGTGGCGCACCTCATTCGCCTCGGTTGATTATACGAAAACGGAAAGATGTAGAAACAAAATATTTTATGGGTATATACGAAGAGGCAATGTGCACAATTTAAAATTATTTTCAAATGTACAGGGTGTGTCAGAACTAAGATCCATACCAAAGTTATATTTTTTCTTACGGAACACACCCGTTATTTTATCTCATTTTTGGATTTTTGGGCATAAAATAAGGCATTTATTATAAGGGTTTAATATGTTTAAAAGTTTTGGTTTTTGAGATATTTAAAGCTATTTAAATGTGCATGTTATAATAAAAAAGTTTGTCAACACCCTGTACATTGCTTTTCAAAATTAAACCTTGTGCTGACTTTTTAGCCGGAGAAATAAACTTTATTAAAACATTTGATTGCTTCCTAAAAAGTATACAGAGGTATCAAAAATTGCTTGTCTATTTTAAATATCTATTTTACATAAAAACTTCGTTATTTCAACTGCAACATTATGTATATTTTAAAATAAGTCGAAACAGATTTAAATGCTCTTTCAAACTATATTAGGGTTTCCTATAACTATCTGGTTCAGATTTTGAATAAAAAGCGATTTTTCAATAAAATGGCTATTAAGATGGCTGCTGTCGCCATGGCAATTTTCTAGGGACACTTAGTAGCTATTGTCAAAATCGACATTAGTTTATTGACTTTATTTAAATTTATTATAACAGTTTAGTTTTATTTAATTTACCTAAAATAGTTCAATAAGTAAGTATTTATTATTTTATCAAGAAAAACGAAGTAGTTCTTTGATTTATATTACAATGACTTGTAGATATATTGGATTTTCTATAAAAGAACCAATTAAGGCAAATTCATTTTCTTCGCTTCCAACGACAGGTTTCTGCCTAATAGTTTTTCATATACGACACTATCAGCTCTACGAAATAGGAAAAGTAATTATTGAAAGGAACGCTTGTCAAGAAAATTCCTATTTGGATATCTTTGGGCTATAAACCCTTCAGGCCAACAAGCAATTTTCTTCACAAAATAAAGTGTCACTAGAAAATTTCCATGGCGACACCAGCCATCTTGATAACCATTTTATTGAAAAATCGCTTCAAAATCATTCAAAATTTGAGCCAGATAGGTATAGGAAACCCTAATATAAATTGAAGGAGCATCTAAATCTGCTTTGACTTATTTTAAAATATACATAGTGTTGCATTTGAAATAACAAAGTTTTTATGTAAAATAAATATTTAAAATAGACCAGAAATTTTTGATACCCCTGTATACTTTTTAGGAAGCAATCAAATTTTTTAGTAAAGCTTATTTCTCTGGCTTAAAAGTCAGCACAATATTTAATTCTGAAAAGGAATGTACAGGGTGTTGACAAACGTTTTTTATTATAGCATGCATATTTAAACGTCTTTAAATATCTCAAAAACCAAAGGTTTTAAACATATTAAACCTTTATAATAAATTCCTTATTTTATGCCCAAGAATCTAAAAATAAAATAAAATACGGGGTGTTCCATAAGAAAAAGTATAACTTTGGTATAGATCTTAGTTCTGACACACCCTGTATATTTGAAAATAATTTTAAATTATGCACGTTGTCTTCCAACATATACCCATAAAATATTTTGCTTCTACATCTTTCCGTTTTTGTATAATCAACCGAGGCGAATAAGGTGCGCCACCCTGTATATGCTTATAAGTTATTTTGTGAATCAGCATTTTCGTAATCAACTATCGTAAATTTAACAGTACTGACCAGCGGAAACTGATAATTAAAAAGCTAAAATTACTGGTGTAATAATGATAAAAGATTATATTGTTTGAAGTAATCCATGTACTGTGAAATAAATCATCATGATGTATCGATATTTTTAAGATATTTGAAAATGTATCGATTTTTCAAATATCGATATTTTTAAATATCCTTAATCACCTAAATTTTTAAAATATTACGAAAAAACGTGAAAGTCGAATTATTTTTTTTCGTAAAGGGTTATGGATGTTTACCAGCTTGCTGAAGAATTCAAGATGATGCGATTAGAACATTTATGCGTGCAATTTCTAAACACCACAATTTGTTTAAACAATATAGTGGAGGCGTTGAAGAACGCCGACAAACTAAAGCTCGAATTTATTAAAGAACAATGCCTGAAATTCATAGTGAAGGAGACGAATTTTAATCATATAATCATGAGTGCGGAGTTTGAGACGCTGGACAGCAAGCTGATGGTTCAGATCATTCGTAGGAAACAGATACCTCCTAAGAAGGTAATGAAATTTTATTTTTTTACTCGCCCTGTAACTAATTATTATCATAATATGCAGCTACTACAACTGCTAATTGAGATTATTCCTTCATTTCAGCATGTATTTGATTGTTGAGTTGTTTTATGCTGTTTTACCACTGTGTTTTTATAATAGTTTTGATAATATAGTTTTGATTAAGAGTTTTCTATTACTATATCTAGTCCATATATATCATTACGTCGCAATAAGTTGACTACTTTCGTGACGCCATATTTATTTGTATCAAGTCTCTATCTTCGTGATGGTTGCGGTATTTCACAGAATTTCTGGGCAGCGTAGTCTATAGGCAGCAGGTTGCTATATTTGTAGGCGTGGTAAAAAAATGAGCAAGGCGGAAATAGAATAGCATTAATTATTATAGTTAATGTGACGCTATTACAACTGTAATAAAATATTAATTTTTATTGTTGATATACCGTATGATCGAATAAAAACGGCGTCAGCGATGGCTAAGAAATGAAGGTCGCTGTCATTTTATATGTAAAATTATATGGGAAATGTCATCGATTTTCATTTCATAGCCATCGCTGACGCCGTTTTTAGGGTTCCGTACCCAAAGGGTAAAAACGGGAACCCTATTACTAAGACTTCGCTGTCCGTCCGTCGCGTCCGTCCGTCCGTCCGTCCGTCTGTCACAAAGGTCTATCTTATGAACCGTTCTAGCTAGACAGTTGAAATTTTTACAGATAATGTATCTATGTTGCCGCTATAAGAACAAATACTAAAAACAGAATTAAATAAATGTTTATAAATAAAAAAGTACTTTCACTAAACATTATATTTTAAGTAAGAATTTTACAAAGTATCTTTCAAGTAGTCGGTGGCCGCGTGGTTAAAGCGTTAGGACTTTACGCTGCTTTGACGTTGGAGCCGTAGTAAGGCAGGTTCGAATCCTAGTCAAGGCGACTTTTTTTAATCGTTTTTTTTTAATTTTTACATATTTATTTTTACTTTTTACATATTTATTATTGATTAATACAATTTTTAGTAATGTGTTTCTTCGTTTTTTTTTAAATTACTTATACGTGCATTCAAAATTTCTAATGTTGTATAGATAATGAATGGTACGGAACCCTTCGTGCGCGAGTCCGACTCGCACTTGACCAATTTTTTATTCGATCATACGGTATTAAAGGGTCCACTAAATGCAGCAATACTACAGTTGATGCCAAATAAACTTTTAGTCACGTGATTAAGGTTGCCCGGCACAGCGTTGCTCCCAATGTTGTTTTTTATATTTTTTTTATATATTTTTATTATTTATATATATTCTTTTAATCAAAATATTTTAGGAAACAAAAATAAATTATTTATAAATATATAAAAAGTTACTATTTACATCAACAAAACTCACCTTCTTAACAGCACTCAAGGGACATAAAGGGCTATTACTACCGCTTTTTCTTTTAAAATATTCTAATAAAGTTGCGATGAGTTTTTTACAGCTATTAAGCTATCTTATACACTTGGCACTAAAAGAGGTTCTAAAAAGAACAATGTTTGACTGCCAGGTCTGCTAGTAAACATTTTCTGGCTTAAAGTATCACAACACTATTTATTTAAACCAAAAAGTCAATGTCACAAAATACAATATTTCCAGACAATGTCAGGAAATAAAGAAATAACTTGACTTTTTACTGTAGGGCTACCACCTGAATCTCTAGCCCGAAATTTAAATTAAGCAGTTAGTCAGCACTCCGCCGAATATGTTTATGGTTGGCAACAATGAATTTAAAAATCGCGCCCTCGATTGCTTAACTAAAAGTTTAATTGATATGAAATATATATGAAACGTTTACTTGTACTTCCTCCTAGGGTATATTTCTTGTCTTTTCAGACTTCTCACGAGACCGTTTTTGATCTAGCCAGAAATTCACTAGAATTCGATATGGAACGATTTCTGCTGGTTACCGGCAAAGAATTTTGCGATGTAGATTTAATTTTGGAGAACCAAGTCATTCCAGCTCATAAAGCAGTTCTTGTGGCCAGGTCTGGCTACTTTGAGGGCAGGTTTAGATCGTATATGCCCAACGAAAGTGACAAGATTGTTAACGTAAGTCATTTTTATTAATCTGTTTTTCATTCTTTTCCAATTTTTTCAATTCTTTGTATTTTCTTAAATAATGTTGAACATTAGTAGCCTCTTTGTTTATGTATATGTATTTAGATTTTTTCCGTTTCCTATAGATAAAAATCGGCGAGTTGACACCTTCGAGAAAATCCTTTGACACCCTCCTCCGCTACATCTACTATGGAGACACCAAAATGCCCCCCGAAGACTCCCTGTATCTGTTCGCGTCCGCGTTCTTCTTTAACTTCTCCAACATCCGTTTGCAAGCGTTCTGCAAGCAAAACCTCGAAAGGAACGTCACTCCGGAAACGGTGCTGGAAGTCCTGGAAGCGGCACACACTATCCAGGCCACCGACATGAAGAAGTACACGTTGGACTTCATCGCGATGAATTTCACCAAGGTGGTGAACCAGCCGAGGTTTGCCATGCTGGACAAGGCTTTGATGTTGGACTTGTTGTACGCACTGGCGGATTGTATGGGTGGTAACGTCAACACCGACCCATGACCACAGACGGGTTTCTAACAGATCAGGCATTTGCTACGGTATTTTTTATATATTACGTGCTTGATTTGTTGTGTGATAATGAAATCCACTCTTGGCTACTAAAATTCCTCGCTGTCGTCAGTGAGAAATGATTATCTGGATGAATGAATCTCTCTATATCTCCCCGCTCTCTGTTTCTAGTATTTGTCACTTTGAATATGCCAATAAACGTTTAGACATTGAAGTTATTTGAGGTTAGTTAGAGAGAGGTTATAATTTGGTTTGATTTTTAAGTCTACGTCTTCATTTCGCTACCACAGCTAATCTGAAACTTGATTTTGAATCAAATTGATCGTCGAAGTTCAAACATCTTTAACGTCGCCTAACTTTGACCAAGGAAGGAATTTTAAAATAACAAGGGACCGTTTTTTATTTGACTTGATGGAAGTTATGTCAAAAAGTTTATATTGATGTTTTGCATTGCATTAATAATATGCAATATATGTTACAAATAAATGATATAAAAATAAATGTATGCTGTCGATGTCAATCAAAACGTAATTTTGTTATATGTAAGATTAACACCAAGCAAGATATATTATGTATTACATTATGGTTTTATATAAATGCAGAGTTTATCATAGAGTGTGCCAGAAAGTTTGTAACAAATGAAAAAAAATTGTTATTGAGTTATTGAAAAAAAATATGTGGAATTTCTTGAGGATGTTTTAGGCTGTATTCCGTTGCAAAAACCGACCAAACCAACCAAAACCAGGCGAACCAGACCGTAAAGAGCGGTTCAACGGCAAACTACGGTACCAGGCAAACTACGGTAAAGAGCGGTTCCTGAAAACATCGGTTTGGTAAAATATTGTAAACGTCAAATCTATTATAAAATTTATCTCTTATGCATTTTTAATGTACCTATTCTCTGCTTTTACGTTTGCTTCTTCTTTTCAATGGAGTTTAATATTGAAAAGTACTTTTTTAATAAACTGTTAAACTCGTTAGACAGCCCAAGTGATGATTTGCAGGTCCAATATTAAAACAGATCAATAATAAATAAACAAATCTAATCAATATTTATATTTTTATAGCTTACAAAACATTCACGATTACTTGTTGTCTTGTTTTTCATGTTTTCTTTAAATGTTCCTGACTTTAAGAAACAATGGCTGCATGATAAGTTTAAATGGTCCTATAAAGTCATTTTATTTAGTTAATGAAATTTATGTACCTTTACTGCCTACCTCCATTGCTTTTATACATATTATTACAAATTATAGAAATTAAATTAGAATTTCATTCGAACTTCCAATATTTACTTGATTTCTGTCACATAAATGACATTGATTGACAAACAAAACCAGAAAAACTAGCCTTCTCGCGTTGGTTAGTTTGGTGATAGTTATAACCGAATTTTTCAGGAACCGTGTTCCGTAATAGGAAAACTTTCAGGAAACCGATAGAAACGGAACATAAAACCATAACCAAGGTGAGCAACAGAATACACCCTTAATAAAAAAAGTGACATATATCCATAGATAAATTAAACAAGTTTAAATTGGAAAGTGCGCATAAGGACAATGTAAACACTGTTTGGCGCAACGGTTGCAACCCAAAGCTTTTGATAATTTCGGATCGGTTCGGCTTTTTCCGGAATTATGTCGCGAGATATTACTTATTCAAATTTATTATTATTTTCTTTTAATTTAATAAATAAAATACAGTGTGTTGCATTCAAGAAATTTTGTTTTATATAGGGACATGTATGTGAAATACCTATGAAACATTGGAAACCGACGTTATGCCACGATCCACGATGGTTTTTGCAGTTTACAGTTCACAACACAGTTTTTTAGTTTTTAATGCCACTTTTTCACAATTATCACGGGTTTGGGTAACTAAAATTTAAATTAAACTCGCAAGATAGCAATAATTACTTTGGTTATGGTCGCTTTAAACACTTTTCGGTATTTTTTCAATGAGGGCGGTTTAAATTTTGAAAGATTTTATAATTTTTGTTTATTAAGAATATAATAGAATAGATGTTAGAAGAATAATTTGTTTATGGAAGATTCTGACTTTGACAAAAGAAAATTATTTCTGTTATTGTTTGGGGGTTGTTCTTAGCAACCGCTATAGCAGCGCCAGATCGCGTACAACGGTTGCGATCCCAAACAATTATATATTTTGACGGGCTTTCCAATCTAAATTTATTTCCTTTATCTATGCATATATCATGCGATAAATGTCAAGTTGTGTCAAAAAGTGGGATTAGGTGTTAAAATTAATATGACAGGTTAAAGTTTTTCTTGTCTATAAAGTTAACAAATTAACATTTTCAAATTTAACATTGTAACAAGTTTGGTACCTCGAAAATTTTAATTTTTGTTTTTTTTACGATTTTACAGCACAGTAATGAAAAAAAAAACTTTTGTTGGTTGGATTTACTTTGTTTTATGTATTTTTACCAAAAATACGATTTTTTGAAAATCGTTCTAAAATACAAAAAAATATTAATCATTTTTGTAAGTCCTTATATATTTAAGATAAACAGTACATAACGCGGAATAAAATTCCGAATAACTTTCTTTATGACTTTTTTTCGAAATTTTTGACCTAATCCAAATATTTTGCATATTGAAAGAATTTTTTTTTGATAGTTATGTTTAAAGTTTGACATATATGCTTGCGCAGATTTGTTTTTAAACTTTTTGATTGGAAATTTGTTTTTAAAATTTCTCCATTTGTTGCGAACTTTTTTGGCTCACTCTGTTTGTATTTAGCAAACATTTTAAAGAAATGCGGGATATGTTATAAAAGATGTGTTATAAAAACCATATATTCGTTGTCGATGTTATTCAAGAGGTAATTATATTATCTGTAAAATTAATATAGCAAAAATATTATAACAAGATATGTGTATTAAGTTATTGTTTTACATAAATACCGAACGTTTATTATTACAAAATATTCAATCATTCTACTCTAATACTTAACTTGATGTGCAAGAGTATATAATAAGTGTTTACACTATTCTACAGTCTAAATTAAGATCAAAATAAATGTATCTGAGCATCAACAATATTGACTTTTATTTCATTTGACACTGTACTATATATTTCCTTTAGTATTTCTATTATATATTTTTTTTGGTTTGTTTCTTATTATATGTCTAATCCGGTGCTTTCACGTATTTTTGTTATTATGGATAATAATCAATATTACAGTTTGTAAAAGGTAATGTTAACATTATTGATCCTATAGGCCAGTAAGCGAGGGTTTTAGGGTCCGAATTCTGAACATCTGTACCGATTGACGTGAAATTTTTACAGTGAATAGAGATATATGTAAGAAATAAAAGTTACATAGTAGCGATGTGTGCTTTCACCCTGGGGGTGAGTGTCACCCCTTCTCGGGGGTGAAAAATAAATCACCCATTTTAATTGCAAAAATCAATAGGGGGTGAATTTTAAGCAAAAAATGTTCTATAACATTTTTTCAGAAAATCAATATTTTCTTAGTTACTTAGGATTGAATATGTTGATTTTTCATTTAAAAACTGCATATTTTTCTGCCATTTTTTTATAAATTACTCGAAAACCTTGAGTTTTCTCGCAAAACTCGTTTAAAGTAAAAATGAAGCTTTTGGAATAACTAAACGATTAATTTTTTGTTGATTATCGTAGGTGTAATAATAACCGAGTTATCACTCTGTAAAGGTCATTTTTTATTTTTCGAAAACTAAATTGCAATATTTTACCGTAAAATAATGGCGAAAGAACACATTTTTAGAAGAAAATGAATTTTACCGTTTTTAAAGTGCTTGAAAAGACCTTTTAAATGCTTTTTTAAAAAAGTTCGTAACTCAAAACATCGCGGAGTTATGATAAAAATAAAATGGCCACCTAATTTTTTCTGAAAAAAAATTAACAACAAAATCTATGACCAAAATTATAAAAATAAAAACTAAGCGTAATACATGTACAGTTGGCTATATTTAGGTAGTAACAATGGGCTTTGCTAGTTCGAGCGGTTTATAATGCCTAAATTTGGAAAAAGTTGAAAATAATGAAAATTTTTATTTTTTATTTTTTAAAAAAAAATATTGATTTTGACATATCTCAAAAACTAAGCAAGATACGTAAAAATGCAACAGAGAATTGAAGATCTTTTTTTTGCAATATTTTTGCGATCTTTCAATTTTTCTGTAGATTTCTTTATTTCGTAGATATATATTACCCTTGTATATATATTTTTAAAGTAGATCAACCTAAGACGTTTATGGACTAAGACTACTAGATGGCAGGACCGGTTTCCCGACAGAAAAATATTTTTTGTTACTCTGAATTTTGAAGCTACCAATAAAAACAGAGAAAATAAAAATCGATAATTTTCGGACTGTGCCAATTGGTTACTAATCGACCAGATACTTTTTATCTATTAGATATGCTATAAAAGCTGGTAATTATACAATTCGACCATTGTAAATACCCGACATATTCCGCAAGGCCAACGAGGCCGATGCTTTTCACTGATAAGAAAAAAAATGTTTGTTTAGATAATTTTCGAGATATTTTTTCTTTCTGAATGCACCTTTTTAAAGTATTTTATATTCTTTGTCCGCTTGATCTATTATACTGGTTGCACGTATCGAAGTTCTGTTTCTTCTAGTTTTAAAAAATGTTCTTATTTCTTTATTGTTGTTGTGGTTGTAGTGTAAAATTAGATTAATTTTATTAAGTTTAATTATAATGTTTAGTGTAGAATACCAGAAATAGTTTAGTAGTGTTTTTATAGTTTATTTGCTTTGTAGTTAAATAGTAAGTGAAGGGATAATTTGGTTATTTTTTCTTTTTGTTTGGTTAATTAGTAAGTTTATAATTTTTTCAGTGTAAAATACAAGAAGTAGTTGTGTAGTGTTTTTATAAGAGATTATATTCGTTTATTTTGTAGATGAGTAATAGGTGAAGGTATTTGGGTATTTTTTCTTTTTGTTTTTCTCCTAATTGTAGTAATTCTATAAAGTATTGTGATAGATACGCTATATATTCCTTCAACTTCGTTGAAAAGTGCGTTATCACATTATTTTGGTTTTCTGGTAGTAGAATATACGAAAAAAAAATTGATCAAATTTATTTGAAATTAAATTAATCTAGTCTTATTAATCACATTAATCTAGTCAAATAAAAATAATAGTTAGTTTCTAAATACTATACAGGGTGAGTTTCCTACGATGTTCTATATGGGTATCTCGGAAACTACTGGAGAGAGAGAGTCGGTTAAATGGGGAAAGAATTGCAGTTTTGTGGGGTCATAAATATGCGCCTTCCGGATTTTTCGGAGAAGTTCAAGGCTTACTAGATATTTCGAAAAACACAAATTTTGGCTATTTTAAAACTTGTCTCTAATTCCATTATAATCTACCGTATGACCGAATAACCAACGCTGACGCCGTTTTTATTCGAACATGGTATTTTAGACAAAAAGTTTTCAGATAAAAGTTGTAGATAATCACATACCTAATGAGTTTGTGTTTTCTGTGTTTTTTTCTTAAGCCTGTCATTTTTGACATATGACACAAACATTATGTTTTTTTTTAAATGGAAATCCTAGTTGGCCATGACTTCATAAATAGCGCCATTCTTTAAGCTTTTCAGCGATATAGGTATAATATGTTTTCTTTCGAACAATTACAAGTTATAGCCAATTCTTTTCTTTCTTGGCTAATTCCCATACCAATAATACCATGCCAATTAGTTGGCATCAAAAATGTAAAAAGTTTTATGTTTTCAAAAAAAAAATATCATAAAATTCGTAAGCACTCAATTTAGAATAAAATAATCTAAGAATGAAATGATTCTTTTATAAACCTGCATTAAATCAAATTAAAATAGGTATGTAACTTTTTTTTAA